TTAATGTAAAGATGTACATGCTTTTTGCTCCCATTGTCTCAGATCAGAAGCTCTGTCTTAAACTAAGAGCCTGGTATTCATGCAATTGCTTGGACTTCCTCATAACATTTAAAACCACAGAGCACTTTTACACATCTATACATCTGGTGTATATACAAGTCTCTATTCTGGTGTTTGTAGATTCACTCTTTATTCTGCTTTTCTGGAGTGTTAAGGGCTCCTGCATTTCTTATTCCTCTTAATTACACAACCCCTTCAGTGCCATTGAAAGCATATGGCTGCCCCTTTGAGTCTTTCAGTGGCGTCAGATAGTTTCATGTTGAAGCCTAATTATTTTACCATAAATGGCTTTCCTTTTATTTTTCAGAAAATGTTTCTTGGAGTTCTATGAGCCATTATAGCAAATTAGTTGAACCCAAGGAGAAGGTACATGTCATTGGAACCTCCAATCTATAGCCAATCAGTCAGAAGCACAGGTGACAACTTGGATTTGCAAGTGGCATCTGAATGTATGTGTGTGTTGGAGGGGGTGGGGACAATATTCTAGGTCTGAACCCTTAACCTGATGAATCTGATGCTCTCTCTGGGTAGATAGTGTCACAATTGAGTTGCATTCTTGGACATCCTCCTGGTGCCTGAGAGCTGTTTGTTGGTATGGGGGGAATGTCCACTAACATTTGGATCTCAGAACCCTTTTTAAGGGGTATTACAAAATACTTGTTATAAAAACAGGGGGTGAAATCTAACATCTGATAGGATGGGAACCACTGACATCAAAGGGCTTGGTGTAATCGCTTTTGTTTCTAATCAGCCTCACTGTTCATCTTCCCCTATCCAATCTTAATAGTCAGGCCAGAATATGGTGGTTCTTTAAACAGGTCATGCTTATTCACACCTCATTGTCTGCAGGTGCTGTTGTCACAGCCTGGAATGCTCCCCAACCCTCGCCCATCCACACAGGGCCACCTGTTCATTCATCAATATCAAGCTTAGATGCTACTATCTGGATTACTTCCTGTAAAATTAGATGATCTTTGCCTCACTCCACCTTGTAGAAAATAATAATAACAATAATAATAATAATATAGTAGTGCTACAATTTATTGAGCACAGCTGTGCAAGGCACTGTACTCAACATTTCACAGGGAGTAGTTCACAGCAATTTATAAACTATCAACTGTTATTGCCCCGTTTTGAAGATGGGAAAGCTAAATATTAGAGAAGTTAAGAAATGTGTCCAAGTTTTCAGGATTGGTCAGTGGTGGAGATGGCTGTGTGGCCCCTAAGCTGGACTCCTTAACATGTAAGTCCACTATGCATCTCCACTATACTAATCATCACACAGTGTGGTTCTTATCTGTGAGTGGTTTTATTTCATTATTGAGCTGCACATCATGGAGCGCAGGGGCTGAGTCTTTTTATTACCATAGATAGTTAGCTAATTATTTATAAGGAAGGAAGCAAAGGGAATTGGACATTATTGAACATAGTCAACCAGGGAGCATAAACCTGTTTACTTCACCAGGAAGCTATAGTTTCACACATTCCAGGGGATCACAGCATTGCCCTGCAAAGGATTAACACCCCTCTTTTCCCCCCTCCAGTACTGGATTGTTGGGGCAAGCAGGGAGAAGTAAGCACATGCACAGTAGAAGTCAGAATTGTTTAGGGGGAGGTGCTTGACTATGGAGACCTGTCAGTCTAACCTGGAAAAGGGCTGGTGGGTGGACCTATAATAAACCCACCAAAGGCCTGGCTGGTGTGGCTCAGTTCATCGGAGTGTTGTCCCATATACCAAAAGGATGCAGGTTCAATTCCCGGTCAGAGCACATGCCTGGGTTGTGGGTTTGATCCCTGGTCGGAGAACCTACGGAAGACGACGAATCAATGTTGTGTTTGTTTTTTTTTCCCTCTATCTCTCTCTAAAAGCAAGTCTGAAAAAACGTGTCTTCAGGTGAGGATTTAAAAAATTTTTTTTAAAGAAACCCATAAAAGCTGGGTAGTTGATAGGTTATTTTGAAAAAGCTCCTGGTCCTTCCCAAGATAACAATTCCAGGAGAACAAAGAAGTGCTCACTCTCTCTCCCCACCTCCCCACCTGAAAACCCATGCTTGCCCCATGGGCTTGTGCATTCTCTCTCCACAACTATGTGGTGGTAGCTGACTACAAACGGCAGGCTCCAAGTGGGAGCCTGGATACCAGAGCACAGCAGTAGATTGCAGCCAGAAACACAAGCTAAGCTACACGGATGGGGACCGAGACCATTTAGCAGACATCTGTGGGCTCCAAAGGACTACGTTTTGACACAGAACCTCTGGACACTAGCCTTTGTTTTTGCCTTGCTGAGGACATGGTTGGACTTTTTCCATCCTGGGATGGATGGAGATAAGACATGGGCAGCCTTCCACCTGAACAAACCTTGCCACACTACAATCTCCCATGTGTGGGTCTGTGGAATGCTTTCCTCATGATCCAGTGAAAGAACCCTACTTCCACCAGCAATGTTCCCATTCCTAGAACGCTGAAGGCTGACCTTCTGAGTTGAGTCACATCTTAACACAGAATAGGTCAGTTCCTAAATCACACATAGTAAAAAATGACTCTTGGGAAGTTTATTAGCTTCTAATTGCTGCTGCAACAAATTACAACTCAATGGCTTAAAACAGTGTAAGTGTCTTTCTGAGGCAGCTACTAAAGGTGACAGAGGGACAGGTCCTGGTGCTCCAAAATGCCATCTCCTGGGCCACCTGGTGGCCATTGTAGCCAAGTGGATACTACTGGATTAGAAGGTGATGGTCGTGCTCTGTGAGATCATCAACATTTCTGGTGATTTCTACAGAAACAAGTACCTGGTCATCCTCTGCAAGTGGATGAATGCCAATCCAGCCCCTGGGCCCTACCACTTCCGAGCCCCCAGCAGCATCCTTTGCTGATGGGAAGAAGCAAGTGGCCCACAAGACCAAGCCACGCCAGGCCACTTCTAACCTTCTCAAGGTGTTTGATGGGATAATGCTGTCCTATGTCAAGAAAAAGCAAATAGTGGTTTCTGCGGCCCTCAAGATTGCGCATCTGAAGCCTACATGGAATTTTGCCTCCCTAGGGTGCCTGGTCCAAGAGGTTGGCTTAAAGTACCAGGCAGTCACAGCCACTCTGGAGGAGAAGAGGAAGGATAAGGCCAAGACCCATTTCCAGAAAAAAAAAAACAAAACAAAAACAAAAAACAGCTCATGAGGTTATAGAAATGAGCTGAAAAGATGTGGAGAACAAAATTGACAGATACACAGAAGCTATCAAGATGCTTGGACTTCTGGTCTGAGTGCAATAAAACTGACTGTTAATTCTTCTTGCTTCACCCAGCCTGTCCTTTCTCTGTACTACCTAGGAAGTGGGGGACCCCTGGGTGTTGTTGTTCTGGGGCCACAGGCACCCTAGGCCTTAGAGGCTGGGAACACAGAAGAGGCCTTAGTCACTGCTGTTTGAGAAAGGCATTTTGAAAAGTTTAAATGGCTCTAAGAGCTGTATGGCATAATTTCCCGTGACCTATTCATTCATGAGAGTTGTAGAAAATCAACAGTTGGAACAGCTATTTCTATTTCAGTATTTACAAATAAGCTGAAAAACTCATGGTTAAACTTCCCACATGGTCAGATATACTCTGCAGCTGTTCAGATGTGAGCTAACTTTTGGGGACAGGATGAGTCTGGTGTTGCACAAGGTATTGCTGAGATGGGGATGGACAGCTATGGGGTCACAGGCATCGCCCTTGTGCCTCCCCTGTACCTTGTGATCAGATGTGAATAAATTATCTTTAAAGAAGAAAACAGCACAAGGTTATTACCTTACAGTTCTTAAAGCCATACATTTTCAATGAGTTTTAAAGGGATAAAATCTAGGTAACAGCAGGGCTGAATCTCTTCTGTATGTTTTAGGGGAGAATCTACTAATTTGCTTTTTCTAGTTTTAGAAGCCACCTGCCTTTCTTGGCTCATGACTCTATTATTCTATCTTTAAAGCCAGCATCATTGGGTCAAATACTTCTCAAATTGTCATCTCTGATTTCCTTCTCCAATTTTAAGGACCCTTATATTGTATTAGTTACACTCAGATAATTAGAACATTCTCCCTCTCTTAAGAAGAGCTGATTAGCAACCTTAGTTTGATCTGCAAATTTAATTGTCCTTTGTCATGTAACTTAACTTATTCACAGGTTCTGGAGTTTAGGATGTAAAGACCTTTGGGGGACATAATTCTGCCTAGCACAGGAATCCCTTAAATGACCAGTGGAAGTGCAGTTTACTGAGGAACAGCTTAGAACAATGGTTTGAAACACGAATTCAGGAGCAAGGTTATTTGCCTTCAACTTTCAGCTCTACCACTTGAACTCTCTTACCTTGGGCAAGTTACATAACTTCTCTGTGCCTCAATTTTTCCATCTGTAAAATGGTGATAACAATAGTGCTCACTTTGCAAGTTTGTAAACACTCAGAATGAAGCCTGGAGTGTAGTAGGTGTTATGTAGGCATTTATTAAATATATGCAATTTTATTAGAACAAGATTGTAGTGTTTGGCTGAGCCTCAGACATAACTGTTGGCTAGGCCTTGTCCCAGCTTGAAGGTACCTGGGAAACAGAAACTGACTCAGGTGTCTTGTTTTTCTCACTCTTGGACACATGCTTGTTAAGTGGCAGAGGTTAGTGAAACCATCTGTACTATTTAAGTTGTTTATTTTTCTTTATATTTTGCCGAGTGAGTGAATTAGCAGCAATTAATCATGGATTTGATAAAACTTTACGGTAAATATTTGCTGAATGAATGAGCGAATGGCTGGATGGATGAACCTACCCTCAGGTACATCTCCACACGTCTCCCCCCACCCATATGTGTCGTCTTGCTTGGATGTTCCAAGGAGGCAGCCACGGAGAGGGTGAGAAGAGTGGTGCCAGCTTCTGGCATCTGACAAGCACCTACTTCCCACAGGACTGAGAGTTCGTTCAGCACCATGGAGAGCGCCCCCAGCAACCCTCAACTCAAACATTCGGATCCCCTAGAGGCCTTTCCCCACAGGAGACTGGAGGCAGGTGACATTGCGGTGCTGGTTCTGTACTTCCTCTTCGTCCTGGCCGTTGGACTATGGGTAAGTCAGGTCAGGGGGAGGTAGTGGGCGGGAGAAACTAGCTCAAGGTCATACAGTAATCAGAACTTAAATTTTTAAAAAATGCATCAAAGTTTGACTCGGTCAGGTATCATGTTAGGCACTTTTACTGATGTAATCTCATGTAATATGCACAATCCTTATGAAGAGGATACTATTACTATACTCATTTTATAGATATGAAAACTGCTTCTCAAAGAATTTCCATTTCTTTTTCTGTTAGCAAGTTGGGAGAGCTGGGGACAGAATCCAAAACTCTTTCACTTTGAAGCCCATGCTCTTTTTAAAAGTTTTTTTTAAAGGCACATGGTTCAAAAATAAAAATGACCTAAAATGAGATACACTGCAAAGACTCATGACTCCTCTTTCTTCCACAGGCAACCACTGTTATTAATTTTTTAGTAAATTAGTGTATTCTTTTATAGTTTCTTTATGAAAATTCAAACAAATATTGTGTACATTACCTCTTTTTAAAATAGATGGTAGCTTATTTATTTTACATATTGTTTTTTACCTTGCTATTTTTCACTTTGTGTCTCTTGGAGATCTTTTCATATCAGTATGTAGAAGTTTCCTCATCTTCTCAAAACTTGCACAGTATTCCATTAGAAGATTTTGCTGTATTTTATTGAACCTGTCTCCTGCTAAGTTTTCCCCTTTAACATTTATGTTATAATTAAGTGTTTAACTCTTGTTCTGAAATAGAGTTTCAATTTTCTGCTTCTGTCTGTCAACTTACTCAAAATTTTGTGTATTTTTGTCATTTTGTTTCAGGTAAAAGAGCTGCGTTCAGCATTTCTTGTAATGCAGATTTTCTGATAAATCCCTCAGATTTTGTTTGTCTGAGAAGCCTTTATTTCTCCTTCCTATCCAAAAGATAACTTTGCTTTACAGAGATACACCTTTGTTCTATTCTTGGCTGGTAGTTTCTATCTTTCCATATTTTCAATATATTATTCCACTCTTTCCTGGCCTGTAGGGTTTCTTCTGAGAAATCTGATGGGGGTTTCCTTCATAGGTTACTATCTATCTTTCCCTGGATACCTTGAGAATTCTTTCTTTATTATTAATTTTTGACAGTTTTAATATAATGTGTCTTGGAGAGGTTTTTGAGCTGAAATAATTAGGTGTTCTGTTAGCTTCTTGTACTTGAATATGAAATTCCTTCTCTAGGTTTGGGAAGTTCTCATCAATTATTTATTTGAATAGGCTCTCTCTTACCTTCTCCTTATCTTCAGGAAACACATTATCCTTATGTTGACCTTTCTAATGAAGTCAGATGGTTCCTGTAGAGTTCCTTAATTAAAAAAATCTGTTCCCTTCATCTCTTTACCTTCTGGGATGCCCATTATCTTATATTGTCATTGCTATAGAAATCAGATAGTTCTCATAGGGTTCTTTAAAAAAAAAAAGTTTAGTTATCTCTCTTCTTACACCTGAATTATTTCTAGATTTCTGTTATCAAGCTCGCTAATTCTCTCTTCCATATGATCTACTTATTTCCAATGTGTTCTAATGCATTTTTCATCTCATTTATAGAGTTCTTCAGCATTTTTTTTGGAGGGGTGGGGGAAACTCTTCATTCCTCCTTCAATTTAAAAATGATAGCCTTGCTGGGTAAAGAAGTCTTGGTTGTAGATCTTCGCTCTACATCACTTTGAATATTTCATGCCAATCTCTTATGGCCTGAAATGTTTCTGTTCAGAAATAAGCTGACAGTCTTATGGGAGCTTCCTTGTAGGTAACTATTTTTCTCTTGCTGCTTTTAAGATTCTCTCTTTGTCTTTAACCTTTGGCATTTTAATTATAATGTGTCTTGGTGTAAGCCTCTTTGGGTCCACCTTTTTGGAACTCTCTGTGCTCCTTGGACTTGAGTGTCTTTTTTCTTCATTACTCAGGGAAGCTTTTGGTCATTATTTCTTGATATAGCTTCTCAATCTCTTGGTTTCTCTCTTCTCCTTCTGGTACTCTTATGATGCAAATGTTGTTATGCTTTACATCTTCCCAAATGTCCCTTATACTATCCTCATTCTTTTAAAATCCTTTCATCTTTTTGCCGCTCTGATTGGATGTTTTTTTCTACCTTGCCTTCCAAATCACTGATTCAATCCTCTGCTTCATCCAGCCCACTGTTTATCTTTCCAGTGTATTCTTCATTTCAGACGTTATATTCTTCATTTCTGGTGGGTTCTTTTTTATGGTTTATATGTCCTTTTTAATGCTGTTGAGAATTTTTATAACCATTTGAATTCTATATCTGATAAATTGCTTCCATTTCATTTAGCTGTTTTTCTGGAGATTTCTCCTATTCTTTCATTGTGGCCTGTTTCTTTGTCTCCTCATTTTGGCTGCCTTTGCATTTGTTTCTATGTATTAGATAGATCTGCAATGACTCCCAGTCTTGGTGGGATGGTCTTATATAGTAGGTGTCTTGTGGGATCCAGTGGTGCAGTCTCCTTGATCATGACCCCACAAGACACCTACTATACTGAGCTGGGTGCTTCAGGAATGTCCCTTGTGTGAGTTATGCCTGCTCTTTTGTTGTAACTGGCCTGTTTGTGCATGGGATTGACCTTCTGGCTGCCTGACTGTGAGGATCAACTCCTACCATTGGGTACAAGCTGCTGGGCAGGTGCTGATCACTCTAAGTGGAATTCACTCCAGCAGGGTCTAGAGCCTGCCAAGATCTCCCTTTTGTTATTCCACTTGTGAAGGTTATTGGGTCCTGCTTTCATGTTTGATGACACTGGGTTAGTTCTGAGCCTCTTGGAAGGGACACTGGAGCAGACCAATGTCAGATGCTGCCTGTAATGGGCTCTGAGCAACCCGTTTGAAGCTACAAACAATCCACAGTGTGTGGCTGCCTCTGCTGGGCCTGGATGTGCATAGGAATGACCAAGCTGTGCACCAATGTTGGCTTTTACCACTAATGGGCCTGGGGGAAAATCAGAAAAATCTCAAGGCACCCCAAGATCTGCCTTCACCTGCTGGCTGCCTGTTAGGCTCAGTCATTGAAAGAGCCTTTGGTGGTACTCAAGCTACATGAGGTAGGTTCTTAGTGAGTCACCAGGTAGGGGTGAATGGTGTTCACCAGGTTGATTCAGGTTCAAACTCGGTGCCAATGCTGGGTCTGAGGCCACTCAGCAAATGTCCCTGGGTATACCAACTCTAGCTGCCACTTGCTGGGTGCTCGCACACTTTTGTGTTGGGGTGGGATCTCAGGGAATCATCAGGGTGAGACTAGCAGCATTTATCAGGCCAAAACAGACCAAGATTTTGCTGTGTGAAGGGAGGGGTCTGCTCCAGCTAGGCATGCGATGGAAAATGGCCCCTGTTGCAGAGCCACACAACACAGTCTGTTCCAGATTCTGCCAAGAGGAGACAGAGCTCAGCAGGGTGGGGCCACTGAGAGTAGAGAGGATGCAGCTAGTGTAGCTCCCATGAAGGGGAGGTGCTGGTCAGGCTTAGAGGAAGGTGGGGTGCATGCTGCCCACCCCAAAGCAATACAACACAGTCAGTGACAATCCTGAATCTGCCTAGACCTCTACACCCTGGCCAAGGCAGCTGCCCTTTTCAGCAGGGCATAAGCTCTCCAGAGTGAGATGAGAGAGGGAGCCCAGAATGTAGGGCTACTGTTCTTCCCCAGGCTGATGCTCCACCCAGGAAATATGGTTTTTGTAGTATGGGAGAATGATTCAGCACAAAGATCCTGGGGGCTGTCTCTTCAGCTCTCTCCCCATAGCCACAAACTCCAGGCTCTCCTCACATGACTAGTCCACTCCACCCTCCCTCTGCCAGAGCTGAGGATGAGGGGCTGCAAATGAAATTTTGTGTGTTGGTCCTGTAAGGGGACACCTGTACTTCTAGCAGTCTCCCTGATGGACAGAAACCCTGCTGCTTTTCATAGTCAGATGTTACGTGGGCACCTCTTCCAGGCTCTGGTGCTCTGGGCTGGGGAGCCCAGCTAGGGTTGAGACCCCAAGCTTCTTGGGGAGAACCCACCCTGCAGCTGAGATATCCCTCCAGAAGCTCAGCCACTGCCCAAGGGAGTGGGGTCAGCCCTATTCATGTCTCTGCCCTTCCTACCAGTCTCAATGTGGCTTCTTTGTAAACCCTTGGTTATATGATTTCTCTTCAGCTAGTCTTCAGTTAGTTATTCAAGATGATTGTTCTATAGTTTAGTTGTAATTCCAGTTTGATCCTGGGAGGAGGTGACTAGCTTCCACCTACTACACTGCCATCTTAGATTCTCCATTCGGTTCTCTTTTTTTATACTTTCAACCTCTTCAGTAAAGTACTCTTCTGTTTATTAATTTCATCCGTGATCTCACTGAGCTGCCTTTCTGTGTTTTGTAGATCTTGCTGAGTTTTTTCAGGACTGCTATTTTGAATTCTCCGTCATTTAGATCCCAATTTTTCATGACGTGAGTTTGGTTTATGGAGAATTGCCATTTATTCCTGCGTTACTATGTTACCTTGGTTGTTCATGGTGCTTTATGGGTTGTTCCTCTACTGACACATTTGATATAGTGAACACTTTTCTTATATAGGCACCATTTTGATTTTAACAATTCAGGACGTTGATAATTAGAGGTCTTTCTTTTGTTTTTCAGCAGAAAAACTTTCTAGCACAAGTTTTTGTTGTATCTGTGTTAGTTGTGCCTTCAGGGTCCTGGTGGCAGGGTGTCACTGTTGTTGTGGGAGTCACTGCTTGGGTGATTAGGATGGTGGGTGCCCCTACTGTGTCTGTGCCACTTTGGTCTCAGGGCACCACCACCATGCTGGGGGTTTTGCCTAGTTGGAGGGAGCCAGGTTCATGAACCTGCTGTGCTGTTACCAGGTTCTCTATGACTGCTGGCACCACTGGGCTGTATCAAGAGGCAGAAGATGTGTCCCCACTGCTGCTACCAAGCTTCATCACAATCCTGGAAGGGAGCCAGATTTTCAGGCCCTGACACTACTTCTACCCCTTTCACTCTCCATCAGGCTGAAGTAGGGAGGATGCACTCTGATTTTTCCATTGCTGCCACATTAGTTTGTGCCATGGGTTCAGCTGCAGCAGCCAGGGGAACTGCATCTTCAGGTGCCACCCTGTCCTTCCTCCCATCCTGCCACCCCTATGCTTTCTAATACACCCACCTTCAGATGTGCTGATCTGTGGCTCTCTCAGGCATGCTAGTGTGTTAAGCAGAGGAACCTTTGTTAAATTATAGATGTCCAGCTAGTTATAGATTTAAGGGGAGATACAAAAGGGGTCTTCTCACTTCACCATGATGCTGACATCACTCTATAGTGTCTATTTTCTCTAGGAAGATTAATTGCAGGGATGAAAATATACAAAATCATGCCATCTCTCATCTAGTAAGAATTCCCTCACCAACATTCACACCCAGAGGCTTAGAGAAGTTAAACAAATTATTTAATATTACTCAAACTATTTAGTGGCCAAAATGTAAAAACACCTTCAATGTCAGGAAGCTTACTTCTTCTAAAGATGGCTTTGTAGACCAGTTAAAAACATGGGCTCCAGAATCAGGCTGAATGAGGCTCAAGTTCCTTTCCCTTCAGCTATCTAGAAATGTGGCATTATGTAAGTGACTTGACTGCTGAGCCTCAGTTTTTTCATGTTAGACTGGTCTGATGATATCAACCTCATGGGAGTTGGTAAGAATTAAAATGAGACAATGCTTTAAAATGCTTGCCATAATGCCTGACACTATGCTTGAATGACACCATACAAATGCTAACACTGAATAAGTGATACACATTATGAGCTATTATAGATAAGCTATGGGCTTAAAACTCAAATGCCTAGAGACTAAGTAGGTTATCATAAATGTGTGAAACAGGGACAGGTAGGGGCTGTATGGGTCTGATGAGTTTATGTCTCCTCTAAAAGCATTCAAATTAAAATCTTCTTCATAACCATGGGTCAGACAAAATATGTTTGATGTCAAAATCTTGCCCGCTGGACTCTCACTTTAAAATTTGTGGCTTAGGTCATTTTTGAAAGGCCTCTGTTTGTTAATGTTTTCTCTCACCCACTTTTCTTCTTTGTTTTAGTCCACAGTGAAGACCAAAAGAGACACAGTGAAAGGCTACTTCCTGGCTGGAGGGGACATGATGTGGTGGCCAGTAAGTGGTCTTTCGTTCAATTAAAGTCACTTCTCAAAGAATTTTCAAGTGCTGATGTTCTATTTAACCTTTGCTTTCTCAGGACTCTTTTGTTGCTCATTGTGTGGAAGTCACAGTCTATATTAGAGAAGGCTTAACTCCAACTCAAATTTGTTTAATTAAAATAAAATTCGACTCACCTAAGGAAAAAAATCTAAGGTTTTAGTTATGGCTGAGAATAGGGGCTCAAGTGATATTATTAGGACCTGGTTTCCCCTTCTATGTATTCTTTATATTTATTTATATATATATTTATATGTCTGTCTATCAGACAGATATATATTTATATGTCTATCTATCTATTTATCTATCTATCTATCTATCTATCTATCTATCTATCTATCTATCGTTTCTTCTTCTGGATGGGAGCTATTCCCAAGCAGACTCAACTTTATATCAACAAGACTACAGACAGTGCTCCAAACCTTTCATCCTCTTAAGTTCCAGCCCTACATGGAAAGAGCATCTGCTCCCATGGATGTATCCATGGAAAATATCTCATTTCTGATTATGTTCCATGCCTATCCCTCTGCCAATGACTGTGGCCAAGATTTGATGTGCTGACTGGCTCAAGCCTGGGTCATACACTCAGGGCTTGGGAAAGTGTAACCTCCCCTGAGATATATGTTATGAGAAATAACCAGAACTAAATCTCTAAGAAAAATTGGAGGCCATTACTGTATTTTATTTTCAAGTAACTCTAAGGGCATTGCCAAACACACAGACATTGCACATGCCCATAAATCTACTTAGTGGACCCTGGGAATGTGGTCAGGGATAATATTTTTACTTATTATATCCTAAAATAGTTAAATCTTTAAACAAAGAAGAGGGAGGGCCTCCCCCATTTGCAGTGAGTCTAAAAGATGCAGTTTCAGATACAGAGAGATAATAGGTGTCTGAGCCTCAAGTAGATTTTAAGCTCCATTTCTCATAGAATTGTCAGTATTTTCCCCTTCCCGAAGTTCCCTGGGAAACTCCACTTGCAAGACGTGTCCTTATTTGCCCTGACTCAGTGACCACCCAGTGTGAGCAGCCTTTCTCCAGAGACATTTGTTGAAAACAATCAGGTGGCGATTGTTTAACATTGCAGCTGTCTGAGGCAACAGTAACAGTTGGGGCATACAATGGGCCTAACCAAGGCACTTAAAAGGAAAGCTGGAGAATGAGATATTCATAAAGTATTTTGAAAAGTTCTGACATATTTCTTGAAATATAGAAAGTCATGCATATCCAGGACTATGCACATGCTTAGAAAAGACCTAAAGAGGCCCTAAGCTCTCATCTCTGGCTGACCTTGAGGTGCTGCATAAACAGGAAGTAAAGACTAAGACAAAATTGTAAACATCCAGGCTAAGTGTTGAAAGCATATCCTGACATGAACATAGAGCTCCTTGGCAAAAACTGGTAGGCTTATTGGTTTCAGTTATTAAAGGAAATTTCTGTCTATTTATTAGGTGACCACTAAACTAAGTGGAAAGAGACTTTAGTGATCACACATGACCAAAAATACAGACTTTATAGAATTCATTCAAGAAAGTCTCTAAGCAAATAAACAGTAAGAGCATCATCAACAACAACAAATTGCAACAACAATCAATCCTGGGGAGTGGGGTACAATCAAATCTCTACAGATGCCACATGACATTATTTTAAATGTCCACCTTTAACAAAAAATTATGAGTCATGCAAAGAAATAAGAAAGTATGGTCTAGATACATGAAGAAGAGCAGTCAATAAAAAGTGTCCCTGAAGAAGCCCAAATGTTGGACTTACTGGATAAAGACACTAATCCTTCACAAACTCTTCTCAAAAATGTAAGTGAACACTCTCTAATTCATTCGGTGAGTTACATATTATGCTGGTGCCAAAATCAGACAGATACTGAAAGAGAAAACTATAGACAAATATCTCTTATGAATATAGATTCAAAATCCTTAACAGACCAATCCTAGCAATATATACAAAATGTTATACACCATGACCATGAGAGAGTTATCCTAGGAATGCAAGGTTGGTCCAACAAACAAAAATGCTGATTAACATAATATACAATATTATATAATAATAAAGGACAAAACTTTGTGATCATCTTAATACATGCAGAAAAAATGTTTAATAAAATCCAACACCTCCATATAATTTTTTTAAAAACTCAGCAAACTAGAAACAGAAAGCTTTTAACCTGACAAGTGACATTTACAGATAACCTCACATTTAATATTATACTTTATTATGAAATACTAAGACCTTTCCCCCAATATAAAGAACAAGACAAGGATGTCCTCTCCTGCCATTTTTACTCAACATTTTACTGGAACCTCTAGCCAGGGCAACTCACAAGAAAAATAAGTAAAAGCCATCTGGATTGAAGAGAAACAAATAAAGCTATCCCTATTTGCAGATGACATGATCTTGAAAATAGAAAATCCTGACTAACTCAGAAAAACTACTATAGCTAATAAATGAGTTAAATAAGTGCATAATATAAGATCAATATAAAAATCAATATAAAAGGTCAACATTTGTTAATATTAGCAATAAACAATTTTAAAATAAAATTAAGAATATTCCATTTACAATTGTATCAAAAGAATAAAATACTTAGTACATTTTACAAAAGAAGTGTAATATACACACTGAAAAAGTTGGAAGAACTCAAAGAAAGACTAAAAAATTGGGAACACAGCCTGAGTTTATTGATCTGAAGGCTTAATACTGTTAAGTTGGTAATACTTCCCAAAGTGATCAACAGATTTGACACAGTCTTTTTCAAAATTCCAGCTGCTTTTATTTTTTGCAGAAATTCACAAGTATATCCTAAAATTTATATGAAAATGCAAAGACCCGGAGTTGTTAAAACAATCTTGAACAAAAACAAAGTTTGAAGATTCACATCTCCTGATTTCAAAACTTACTACAAAGTGACAGAAATCAAAAAATGTGTTACTGGCACAAGAATAGATTGATGGAATGGACTTGGATGAAAACCAGAGACTAGAAAGTCAGAAGGAGCCACAAGAGCCCTCTCAGACAGTTCTGTCCCCGTCTCCATCTTTCCCTTGTTCCTTCTCAATTTCTGCTCTGTATCTCCACCTCCATCTCTTCTGCTTTATGCTCACCTGGTCTGAGTCTCCCTGAATCCCTCCATCATACTTCTTTCTCTCAGCAAAGTGGCAGTGATGAGTACATTACTGAATATACCACCCACCACCCATCTCCCTGCTACACGCATACTTCCCCCAGTTATACACCCTCAGTCTAAGGGACCAGCCCAGGTGGTGTCTAAATTCCAGGAGAGAGAATGCAATTGGCCCAGCTCGGGCCAAGTGCTCACGCTTATCTTGTCTAATCAACAGACCAGGGATTAGGGTCAGGTACAGTCTTACAGGAACTGGGGTCAAGTACCAGGAGGAGGGCTCTCTACTTTGCTAATATACAAGCAAATCTGGGAATAACACAAGCTTCCTGACTCTCATCATGAAGCACTTTGTGCAATCTCTGTCGTCCTTCCTTCCAGGGATGCCGCATATGGTTGTGCCCTGCACAACCCTGGGAGGCACAATTCACATTTTGGGATATATATATGCACATTTATTATGCTAATTTATGATAAGTGGAAGTAAAGGTTCTTGGGGAAGGAGAGTCTTTTCTAATTTGAAAAGAAAGTGCCAGGTAAGCTAGGAATAGCCCTGTCTTCTCCACATCTCCTTTTGTCTTCATCCCTTTGGAGTGTGGGCAGAACTGGGGTTGGGAAGGAGGTACTCCAGACCTTGGCTCCAAAATATGACCTGTCTATCTCCCCACAGGTGGGTGCATCTTTGTTTGCCAGCAACATAGGAAGTGGACATTTTGTAGGCCTGGCAGGGTCAGGTGCTGCTGCGGGGATTTCTGTAGCTGCTTATGAGTTTAATGTGAGTATTGTATCAAGGAGCAGACAGCTTACTTTCTACCTAATAGGTAGATCCTTGGGGCGGGGGGTAGTTGTATGAATGCCCTGCACTTCTAAAAATAGAGCAGTACTTTATGAAAAGATAAACAGGAAGCATGAAGGCACCCTGGTCAGCAAAAATCAGTTTGATCTACAAGTCTGCTTGATGGGGGTCCATAAGGCCAGGACCCCAAAAAATAGATGTGTGGATAAGAGGGCTTGGAATCTCTCCCCGGTGAATGAGAGGATAGAAGTTATCCTGGGAGTGAAGGGTGTTTCTGTGGATTAGATACCAACTGGCCATCACAGAAATTACATGGTCCAGTGGTTCACGACCTTTTTGCCACTCTACAGATACCCGAGAGATAGGACATACTCTCTGTGTAGCAGGTCTCATTCAGGAGATGATTTTCGGGGGCAGAAGATGTACTTATTAAAGTGACTTTCTTGTTTATAATAACTAACTTTTTAGTGCTTACTCGGTGCCACTGACTTAAGTACTTTACATACATTATTATATTATGGGATTTGGTTACAGACTAGAATCAGACTGCCTGGGTTCACATCCTGGCTGTAACACTTACAAGATGTGTAACCTTGAACAAGTGACTTAACCTCTCTGAGCCTCATGTATAAAATAAGGATGATAACAATAGTACCTGCCACATGGAAGGTTAAAGGAATAAATGCTGAAAAGGTGGCAGAGGAGTACTTGGTGTATAGTAAGTTCTCAGCAAACATCATCTCACTGATTTTCCTGCAACAACCCAGAGAGGCTCTGCTGCTCCTATTTCATAGGTGAAAAAGTAGGCCTCAGACACCTGTATGAATTCTTTCAGCACCACCAGCCTACCTGACCTGATAGCCCTGTTTTTTAAAAACATATTTTTATTGATTGATTTGAGAGAGAGAGATTTGTTGTTCCACTTATTTATGCATTCATTGGTTGATTCTTGTATGTGCCCTGACTGGCGATTGAACCTGCAACCTTGATGTGTCAGGAAAATGCCCCAACCAACTGAGCTACCCCCAGACCCTCTCAACCCTGCTGTAACCAAAGAAGAGGGGGTAGAATAATCTTGGATAAAGGAGGATCATGTGAGGTTTACGAGATACTGTGCTAGGATTCACAAAAAAGCTTCTATTTCAACTTGTCCCTACTTCATCCCCTTCTCCCATCTAAACATGGAAATATGATGGTTCAGGGAGGGTGAACCACTCAGCGAGTAAGAAACTGATGCAGAGGCACAGGCTGACCATGTTACCTCAGGGTGCAGAGGAAATTCAAGTGGGCACCTAGACATGGGTGGAAGCTGAATCCTGGGTCTGTTTTCTCTGCAGGGCTTATTTTCTGTGTTGATATTGGCCTGGATCTTCCTCCCCATCTATATTGCTGGCCAGGTGAGTCTGAGGGGCATCAGGTGCACTGGAATAAAGAGCCCTTTGGAAAGGACCTGTATTCCCTCCCTTCTTCCCCCTCCCAGCATCCCTGCCTCTGACTGTGCACATCCAATGGACAGTACCTAAGAAGTCTTAGCATTAAAGAGTGGCAATGCACAGGTAAAAAAAATTAGGAAACTTGTCCTTAGCAGTCCTCACTAGCAATGGATGTCAGGGATACATATGAGGCTTTCAGAGACTGGAAGAAATGTGAGCTCAAAAATATTTTTTTAAAAGCCACAACATGAATATAAAACTTGCAGTCTCTTAAATGTTTAAGCCATAGCATTATTACTTTTAACTTAAAAAAATCCAATTCAGTGGTTTTTTCCTCCTTTGTATGCAAAACTATAATAATTGAGATCTTTCTGGCTGGTATAAAATATTATAATTTTTATTACCAAATAATGCTGCTTTGGAATTTTTGAAAGAGCACTTTTAAATGTCATTTCTGATCTTATTGACAACTTTCTGTCACTTGCACTGTCTAGACTTAATTCTGTTTTAGATGTCCTACCACATACAGCAAGATCATACAATGTCATAATATTGTTTATAAAGCAATAACTGATTTTTCACTTTCTATTATGAAAATTAAAAAATATACAAAGTAGAAAGAGCTGCTTCATGATGAGAGAAATCACTTTGAGCCAGAAGCAGTGTACTCCATGTAAAGGGCAGTGATGTGGGGATAAATAATCTCACTTGGAGATAAGACTGAGTCTAAATAAACGAGGCCTTTGGTGAGTGGGGACCTGGGCCTGCCCACTCCCCCTGTGACTAGCTCCTGCCATAGGCACAATATCTGGGGTGTAATGGCACTAGATGGAGCATGAGGGTCTCTGGGCCAAAGCATTGTTACATATTTATTGAGCACCTACTTTGGGAAGACATCAAGGACGGTGCAAATACAGGTTAGTTCACAGGTCGGGTGGCCAGGCATTCTTAGGTGATGGTTTGCATTTTCTGTGGCAAGTAGAAGACTGTGTCATCTGCTGAGAGTGAGGAAGGAGCTCATGTGGCTGACGGTTGAGAAGAGGCACAGAGACTGGAGATGATTGCTGTAGCTGTGATAGAAAACCCAGGGAACAACCACGTGTCTATCAGCAGGGTACTGGCATCAATAGGACTATCATGCTGAGAAAATATACAAAGCTACCTAATTCATTTTTACTAGGAAATAAAATGAACATACAAAAAAGTGATAAAACACAAGTGAACAGCTTCATGAACAATTGTAAAATGAACACCCACATCAAGACATAGGAGGTCCTAATCTCACCCACTTGCCTTCAGAAGGAGGTCTCAATGCCTCCCTCTTTCCCTGACATTTATCACGCTCATCCTTGCTTTTCATTACAGTTTTAACTGTGCATGACTAAACAGTATGGTGTCATTTTACTTTTTAAACCTGATGTGTTCATTTTCATTGCTATGGAGTGTTATGTAGTATGATGACACCCAATATATTTGTCCATTCTTAATGTTTGGCTTTGATGGAAATGCTGTTATGAACCTCTCTGTACAAGTGTCCTGATGTACACAAACATGTGTTTATGGAGACATACCTGTGGGTGGAACTCCTGGTCATTGGCTCTGTTTTTCTGGCTTGATTAGATATGACCGAACTTTCTCCCAGAACAGTTCTATCAGCTTATCCTCCTGCTTGCAGTGCATGCAAATTCCCTTGACTCCGTTGTTCCACATCCTTGCCATCACTTGATATTTTCTTGTTAATCTGGTTGGTGTGTAGTGGTGTCTCACTGTTTTTCAATCACCAATTCCTTTTATATATTTTCTGGTTATTTGAATTTCCTTTTTGGGGAAGTAACTTGTCTAGGAGCTTTGCCAACTTTTCCATTAGGCCATATAGTTTCTTATGGATTTGTAGAAGTTCTTCATATATTCTGGAAGCAAGTCTTGAGGGTGGTTATATGTGTTGCAAATATCTTTTTTATCCCTTTTCTGTAGTTTGCCTTTTCGTTTCTTAATGTGTTTTCGTAAACGTATCCCAATTTTAATGTCACATTTCTCCCCCTTTCCTGCCTTACTTGGTCTGTTTCAAAAAATCTTTTTCCTATTCTAGGTCATAAGGAAATTTGCCTATATTATCTAATAGAACTTGTTACATTTAAGTCAATTATCCACCTAGAATGAAGACACATTTATTGAGCTGAATGCCAGCTGCATGCCAGTTCCTGACAGTCTCTCATCTCACCAGATCATCATGATCTTTTCCTTCTTGCTGGGAAAATGTCCTTCCCTTCATGGTACAGTTAACTTCTATTCACCTTCCAAATCCTCCTTGATGTCACAGTTCCTCCAGGAAGCCCTTCCTGACCTCCCCTCTGCTGTATTTTTCATAGTTGCTGTTTTTCATTTGCCTGTGTGATTATAAATTAAAATGTCTCCCCCGCTAGACCAGGGTTTCTCAACCTCAGCAGGAGTGACATTCTGGGCTGGCAGATTCTCTGCAGTGCGTGTTTGCGTAGATGGGCTGTCCTGTGCACTCTATGATGTTAAGGCATCTCTGGTCTCTACCCAGTAGATGCCAGTAGCATCCCTCAGATTTTGGCCACTGAGATGTCTGCAGATATTGCAAATGTTCCTTGTGAAGGTGCAAATGTTCCTTGGCTGAGAGCCACCAAACTGGACAGTGTGTCTCTCCCATTGGACCATAACAGCGATTTTCAACCAGAGCGCCACAAGTATTTTTAAAACATGCAATGCCTGACCTCTTTTCCCTCAGACTGTCAAAAAAGTAACAATAGCCATCCAGTGTGAATTAATTACCTATTTTTCTTGTCAGATAGGCAAAAAACTTTATATATTTTTTTTGTTTGTTTGTTTTTTGTTTTTTGGTGTGCCACAAAATTTTAGTAATTAGTTAGTGTGCCATGAGATGAAAAGTTGAAAATTGCTGGACTGTAAGGTCCAGGAAGGTAGGAACCGTCTTGTTTTCTCTCAGTATCTGGAATAGTGTCTGGCCCATAGTAGATGCACAATAAATAATTGTCAAAATGACTCAATAGCAGGGTCTTAAATAGATTCAGAAAGAAGTGAAATGAGGAATGAGGTGATGTCCCCAAAAAGAGGCACCAATTAGGGACTCGAAGTCCTGGCTGAGCCCCAAAGCGGGGCTCATCAAAGTTAGCAAATGAGAGAGCTGTACTGATGAAAATTTGAGGTTTCAGAGGTGCATGGGGGTCTGAAAGTGACAAGGTTCAGGTGTTGGCCAGAGAAACAGGTGGCAGAGGGAAATGACCAACTGTTGTTGGGGCTGAGCAAAGTAGGATACTGTGCAGGTTATGGCATGTGGGTTCTCTGCACTGTCTTTGAAGCTGCTTTCAGACTGGGGAACCATGTGGAAAGAACACAGGTGTTGGAGCTGGAATCCCCACTGAGTGCTGGGCAGGGTTCCAGGGAGGGATGAGGGTAGGTGTATGGCTTTCTGAGGAAGAGTGAGGGGTTCTCTGTGAGGATGGGGTTCCAATCTGGATGTGATGGGGAAAATGAACAGATGCTGAAGTCCTCCTGCCACCCTCCCCCCCAGGAGATGAGGAGTGTGTGAGGGAGGGAGGAACTACCAGCAGCAAGGTCTTCAAGAGCTAGGGTGATCATCTCCAGGACAGCTGTCACTTACTGTTTCCTGTTAGCATTCACCCTGCAATCACCAGAGGGTGGTTTCCCCCTCTGTATGAACTGCCTCGTCTCTGCTTCTGTCTTTCTTGTCTCTCACACCCTTACTGACTGGCAAACTACCTTCTTGGGTACTTTACAGTAAGCAGCCTAGGCTCTGCCTTCCATCTGTCAGTGGGCTTCACATTTCTCCCTGGAGTCTGATTTCCAGATACCAATGCTGCTCACCTTCTGAGACTTTCATTCCTCCTTCCTTTCTTAGCTGATTAGAAACTTCCTACATGTAGAGGCTGTGCTGCTGTCTCTAGATAGAAACAAAGGTCGATGGATAATAAAGGCTGCTGGCCAGTGATAGCAGTCCAGCTGCGTAAGACCAGCTGGTGGTTTTCTTTCACGGATGAGAGAGTGAACCCACTTACCTGAGTAGGCTGAAGCCCTCGTGTGCTCTCTCTAATTAGCTTTTCATACACATCACCTAGAATGTGTTCATTCTACTTGGTGTGATTGCATCTCTCTGTGTGTTACTACTCCCTGATAGAGTGTTAGAGTTCAGAATAACGTGCTTCTGAAAAATCCCAGTTGTGTTGGCCTTGCAGCAGATCTGGGGGTCAAAGCAAGACATTCAAGAGGGTCAGAATCCCAAATGGCCCTTTTGGGGAAAGAAAGAGGAAAGAGAAGTTTTGTTCTTTTTTTCCCTTTTAAAATGTCCATGTATTCCTGGAGTTCACTTTTGTGAATACTTTATTATGAAGAAAACATCAAACATACATCAAAATTGAAATAATTTTACACTTAACAGCACCCCTGATAGTCTTGAACATCCATATCCTACAATTGTGATTTGCTGTTCTTGTATCAAGGCTGGCCATCTAGTCTCCTAGTCTCCTTCCACATCTCCTTCTGCCTTCGTAATCTGAACTTGCATTGGAGGGTTAGCCATTCATCATGGCTGGACACCTAGTCCTCTCCTCCCTGGGTTATATTAGTGCAACGCCCTGGAGGAGGAGCTGCAGACATTTCTACAAATACCATCATTACTCTGTCCTTTTCCTTCCAAGATCTAGTAGCTTGTGGAAGAACAGTTGTTGATTTGAGGTCCCAGAGGCTAGATATGACATTTTTTCAACCCCAAGTCTGAGAGTACAATGGAGATGAGAAGATGGGGAAAGGAAATGCCGAACCTCAAGAAAAGTGTTGCTCAGATAACAGTTCTCAGCAACAGGGCTCAGACCCTGTGGTGTCCCATATGGTAATGACACCTGGCTTCAGACAACCTACCCTAGGGTATGAGGGAGCATCCCTAATTCAGCACCCCCCTGCTGAAGGAGTTCTCTGAACTTTCTGTAGTCTCTGGAACCTGCATAGTTTTCTATTAGAATTTTCTGATTTTCATGGTGAAATGGCTAAAAGTTTAAAGCAGAGTAATTTCCCCAAAATTTAAAACACAGATAAATGAAGATTACTGAGATGATTTTAGGTGTTCAGCATAAGGCCAATGACACTGAATCACATAGTGAACTTATTTCCTTTCTGTAGTCTTTCAGCTGTTTGATGAACTCCAGGGGAAAGTCTCATGCTGGTGCTAGTAAGCCTTTAATTCTCTCCAATGCTTCTCCAACAACTTTTTTCTTTTTAATGAAAGAATGAGTAGGCTTAACAGCAAGTTTCCAGAAAAGAAAAGAAAATAAATTAATTATTTCATTACTTACATATTTATTTTTGCTGGTTCCCATAAATTTAGGATCACTTTTTCACTTATAGTGCAAATTTGAAATTTCCTTTCAGGATCAATTTATTTACATAAAAACATGAGTTGGTTGAAAGGGAAACATTATTAATTAATAATAGTGAAGATGGCAAAAATTGGGATGGGGGTACACAAATGCCTCACATTTTGGAAATGATAGTTGGGTATATACACCTGCACAGAATGCCAATTCCTCCACATCCCACCTCTTTGCTCCCATTTTCTCCTGCCTTTTTTTGAGTCCTCCACAGAGAATCCCTCCAGGCACATGTTTCTGAGTTGGGGGAGATAGAGGGGGCAGTTGGTGACTTGAGGCCACAAGCCCAGAGTTGGTGGATGGTGAAAGCTCAGCTCTGGCCCCCAGGTCACCACGATGCCAGAATACCTCAGGAAACGCTTTGGTGGCAACAGGATCCCCATCATTCTGGCTGTGCTCTACCTGTTTATCTACATCTTCACCAAGATCTCGGTAAGGTGAGAAGATCAGTGATAGACACCTGCTAGGGTGTCTCCATCCCTTTCACTTTCTCAGGGCTTCAGGGAGGTTAGAGGAATATGGGAGGGGTGGGGAGAAGGTAAGCAGGGGCAGAGGAAGTCAGGAGAAAGGGTGGAGGGAAGGACTCCTCTCCCACTCCTGCCAGAGCTCCTTTGGAACATCTCAAGATGGTGCAGGTCACTGACTGGGACTCCCAAGAGCCCTTGGATTGGACTTGGGTCTTTCTCCTGAGATAAGCAGTGATCAGCTATTAATCAGATGTGCTGATGGCCCATGAGCCTGCCCCACCCTGACCTTTGGATGGGCAGAGCTCCTGGAAAGTGTCCAAGAGCAGAGGCACCACAGCCTCTTCCGGGCATATGCTGCTCAGACAGCCCAACTCACATGGATGCTGTCGTTTCATCCAGCTGGAGCTGGGAGAGCTGGTCCTATGTGAGGGGATGAGGGGGCAGAGGAGTTCTATTTGACCTAAACAGGAACTGGCTCTACACCTGGGGAAGTCTTCACAAGGGCAGTTACATCAGAGGAGAAGTTTAGAGAAAGGGGAATTGGCATCCCAAAAAGACAGGCTAGAAACAGCAAAAGCTTGGAGACATGGATGAACATGACTTGTTAAGGAAATGGTGTGTTTCAGAGTGCCTGGAGGACTGGTGAATAAAGGAAATGAGGCCAAGCGGCAGGCAAATCATCCGGGCTTGGTGTGCATCCCTAGCTGATTTATTTAGACCACCGTGGAGGTGCTGGAGAGCCACTGAAGAGCTTTACTGGGGAGAAGGAAGAGATTACCATGATGGCATCTAATTAGATGTGCTGTGGATGAGGGGGTGGAAGAAGACCAAGAGTAGAAATGGGAAGATCACTGAGGAAGTTGTTGTATTAGCCCAGGGAAGAGGTCTCAAATGTAATTGTCCACGGGGCTCCAGTTTGAGACTCAAAATCTGGTAGGAGATGGATGAAAGGATAACAATATGTGATTCCTCTGTCTTTTCCAGATCTAGGTTGGGGATTGAATGTAGGCTAGGGGTACCTGTGCTGCACATGTCCATCCATCCATCCACCCAGCCATCCACTCATCCATGCATGCATGCATCCATCCATCCACCCATGCATTCATTCATCCATCCGTCCACTTCATGTTTTTATAGGTGGACATGTATGCAGGCGCCATCTTTATTCAGCAGTCTTTGAAATTGGATTTATACCTGGCCATAGCTGGGCTGTTGGTCATCACAGCTCTATACACTGTTGCAGGTATGCCTGAATAAGGGGCGATGCTGGGAGGGATGGTGTGCAAGGACCGTGGGCCACCCCATCTCTTCCTGGCCCATCTTCTGGTGTTCCACTGTGTTAATATTTCATTAAACTTCACTTCATTACCCCAGATAATATGATTTCTCTTGGCTGCTGTCCTAAGGAAGAGGGTTGCCTGATAAGACAGAGGATTTAAAAGTGTATTACAACTGCATCAAGCTGTTTTTCATTTATTCAGGACCTATTTCTTGAGAATCTACTAAGTACTTAGTATGTGTATTCACATGCACTGAACAAAACTAGGTCCTAAACTACTAGAGCCTGAGGTTGGACAGCCTCATCTTTCCCCCTCAAACTTACATCTTGGAATAGTGACTGGCATAGAGTAGAGCCTTGACAGGTATCTGGTTTTGAATACTTACCCTCTCAACTTCTTTGCCTCTTATTGATATAATAGACTTCATTACACTTATATACATACATACATATATACGTACACCCTACCATATGCCAGACATCATGCTAGGAAGGAGGGTGAAGCAGTAAACAGACAGACAAAATCTTTGCCCCAAAGGAACTTATGTGCTTGTGGGGATGGAAGACAGTGAACAAGAAAAACAATAAACAATGTGAGAGTATATTGTAATAACCTAACAAGTGCTATGAAGGAAAATTCAGCTGTGAGATGGGGAGAAAGGGGGGAAGAATTTATTTTTACATGCAATATTAAGCTAAGGTGATATTTGAACTAGATTGAAGTGATGAAGGAAACATCCATGAGAAGTTTAGAGGAAGAGAATTCCAGGCACAGGGAAAGACAAGAATAAAGGCTCTGAGATGAGAACATGGTTTGCTTGTCTGGGGGACAGCAAGGGAGGATTGATGTGGCTGAAGATAAGCAAGCAGATGGTTCAGGTTGTGTTCTGCTCACCTGCAGGGGTGCCATTCACATGAACTAGGATGAGAGTGGCACCTCCCACCCTGGCACCATGCTGAATAGGAAAAGCAGTGAAACAAAGGGTTGGCATTGGATTGAGGTCTAAGTGCCATAGAACACCGTTGGGGGCTCTAAACTGAAAAGTGATCAAATCTAACAAATGCAAAGGCCTCTGATGGTGAAAGATTTTGGCTGATTTTTTAGCACTGAGAAAAACTGTGCCTGGAGCCCCGAGGAAAGGAAGGGCCAGTCACAGTTGCCAATTTCTCTTCATGTTTCCTTGTTTGAGGGTCTGTTCCCCAATTAGACTGTAAGCTCTGCGAGGGCAGGGAAAAATGCTGTTGTTCTGTTTGCCTCTGTATCCCACCACATAGAGCTATGGGGGAGCATTCACCAGATGTTACTGAATGATCCAATAAAATACTAAACATAGTGTCTGGCACATGGTAAATGCTCCATAAATATTAGTGTAGAAACGATGGTGGGTTTCAGTGGTACCAAATCTTCAGGATCTCACCTCATTCATACAGATTAATTGCATGGGAGGACAGCAGAGAACTGGGGCTGGAAGCTAGACCAAGTCTCTCTCTGCTTGGAACAAGGCCCTGTTCCTGTTAGCACAAAAGGAGAGTCATAGAAGTCCACACCCATGGGCATGGTTTTTTATGGCACAGTGACCTTGCCCACTGGTAAACATGTTTCTATCAGATGTGGCCCCTCCCTTTTGAGAAGAAGAGGGGAAGGAGGTATAGGGAAAAGACAGGAAAGATTGCTTTGTCCAGAATTATTACAAAGATTTTTCTAGGTGGCAAAACCAACAAAAATCCACTGAGACCAACTACCCTGACCCTGTTCAGGGAAGTGACCCAGGGAAGATTATTAGGGTTCTGAAGACCTCACATTCTTTTTCCAATGTTAAAAACAAAGGTATTCAGAGCCTGGGGACTGTGGCCTAAACATCACTTCCTCTATTACTCAGAAATTACTGTGTAACAACTACTGATAAATTTAGGGACTTAAAACAACAATGGTTCTTTGTTGTTCACAACTCACATCACAGATTGTCTGTTGGTGGTGGTTCTGCTGGTCTCACCTGGTTCAGTTGAATTGTAGCTAGATGGCACCTGGCACAGCTGCTGGAACAAGGTGGCCTCACTCACATGGCTAGCAATTTGCTTGGGCTATCAGCCAGGCTTCCCCTCCACGCAGACCATCATCCTCCACTAGGCTTGACTAGGTTTCTTAACGAGGTGTGTTGGACCTCAGGGCAACAGTACAGTAAAAACAGGAGCTGAAAGCCCCTTTGAGACCTAAGTTTGGAGCTTCACAATATCACGTCCACCATATTCTATTGGTCAGATCAAGTCATTTGGCCAAACCCATATTTGAGAGGTAGAGGAATCAACTTCATCTCAACATAAAAGTAGTAAAGTCACGCTGCAAAACAGGCATGCACAGGAGATATTGTGACCATCTTTGCAGACAATTAACACTGAGAAATCTCTGTGGTCAGGTGTCAACCTTTCAGATTCCCTCTGTGACCCATAGTAACTCCTCTCCACCAGAGCACCTGACCCTCACGTTAGTACTTATTCCTCCTTCCCCAGGTGGCCTGGCTGCTGTGATCTACACGGATGCCCTGCAAACTGTGATCATGCTTATAGGAGCACTCACCCTGATGGGCTACAGTAAGTGGGCACCTGGTCACTTGGGTAGATGACAGTACCTCCCTCAGGCAGGGGTATCTGCCCTCACAACTGGGATCAGCAAACCCAGCTGTCAAAAGCCTACAACTGGGGCCTTTTTGCTTGAGGCATGGTTACTTTAGCAGAAAGAGAGCTGTGCTTATCACAAAAATCTGTTGTTTTTTTAAAGTCAAAATTAATAGCTATTTCTATATTAATATGGGTAAATGATTACATAAATAAATAAAAGGGATATATATGTATATATGTTTTTATCATTTTACTCTTAGCCTATCTGTATTATAGTTAAAGCAAGTTTCCTGTAGACATTATATAGTTGCTTTTTACATCTAATCTGACAATCTTTTTTAATTTGTGTTTTTAGGTTAATTCCATTTATATCATTATTGATAAGGTTGGATTAAAATCTATGTTGCCAGTTGCTTATTTGTTCCATTTGTCCTCTGGTTCCATTTTTCTTCATTTACAGCTTATTTTAGTGTTGGCCCTAGGGTTTACAATAATCATTTCAGTCTACTTTCAGATATTATTATACTGCTTCATTTACAGTTTCAGAACCTCACAATAGTACACTCCCAAATCCTCCCTCTCTTGTTTTGTGCTATTTTTGCCATACATTTACATATGTGATAAATCCCATTCACTGCTACAAGTTTTGCTTTAGATAGTCTACTATCTTCTAGAGTGATTTAAAAAAAGAAAAAAGTCATACATAATGATAATATAAACCTTCATTCTAACTATTTCTGAATATCTTTATTTCTCATAATATAGGGCTTCTGGTAATGGACTCTTTCAATTTTTGTTTGTCTGAAAACATCTCTATTTTTCCTTCATTTTTGAAAAATATTCTCACTGGGTATACTATTATACTTCTAAGCACTTTGAAGATATCCTTCTATTGTTTTGTAGCCTGCATAGCTTCAAAGAAGTCTGCTGTAATTCTTACCTTTATTCCTCTCTATGTAACATGGGTTCCTCCCTGTCCCTTTTGACTGCCTTCAAGATTTTTTCTTTATTTTTGATATTCAGCAGCTTTAATGTGTTATGTCTAGATGGGAATATATGATTTTTCACATTTATCTTGCTTGGGATTCTTTAAGATTTTTGGAATCATGGTTTAATTCAATAATTTTGGATAATTTGGAGCCATCAAATAAGAAAAACTCAACAAAACTTAATGACTATGGCTTGGGTTAAGAAAATTGAACTTTATATAGTTTGTAAGTGACATACATAAAACAAAATATACCATAAGGCAAAAAAACATTAAACAGGGGAAAGTCACTTTGTATTGAAAAATTGCACATTTACAATGAAGATATAACCTTTGTGTATTAAATGACAAAGATATACAAAGCAAAAGAAATAGGAGAAATCAACAGAAACCAAAATAGTATGAAAATACTTTAACACATGACAGAACAAAAAGCCAAAAAATAAATAAAGTTTTAGGAGTTATAAATTGTATAAATGAAAAATTATTCTGAGAACAGTGAATATACATTTTCCCAGCATCATAGAACCACCTATGACAATTAACTATTAAAAAAATAACCAATTTTTGCAAAATTACCTGTGTAAACATTGTTCAGATTACGTTACTTTACCCATGTAAAACAAAAATAAATAAATAAGCTTATTAGAAAGTGTACATTTAAAAAACCTAGTTACTTAGAAATTTTAAAGCTGTCTTCTAAATAGTGCTTGCATCAAAGAGGAAATAAAATTGCAATTACACACTATTTAAAAGTAATGATGAGAATATTACATTTCACAATCAATGATGAAATCAAAACCCGTAACCCTAGAAAAACAATTATATCCATGAATATGAAAACCCAATTTAGTGAATTAGAAAAGAGAAAACTACAGAATGAATTATTGCAATGTCTGTTTCTTAGAAAAGAACCATGAAATACAGTGGCAAATCAAATCAAGAAAGAGAAAGAAAAAGAGGGCAGTATAATTAGGAATGAGAAAACAAACTAAATGCACAGAGAAAAATATTTTAGGAGATAATATCATATACAAAGCTTTATGCTAATAAATATGAAAACTCATTGGAAATCCATGGTTTTCTAGAAGAATCTAAATTACTAAAAAAAAGTTTCACCCTCACCTGAGGATATGTTTGTTGATTTTAGAGAGAGAGGAAGGGAAGGAGAGAAAGAGAGAGGGAGAGAGAAAATTGTTCAGTTGCCTCCCATTCACACCCTGACCGCGGATGGAACCTGCAAGATTTTGGTGCATGGGATGACAGTCCAGCCAACTGAGTGACCTGGCTAAGGCTAAATTACTAAATTTGACTTAAGAGAAAATAGGAAATCTTAATAGCCCAATAACTAAAGAAGAAATCAGAACAATTTTTTATTTAAAAAAATCAAAAAAGCAATCAAGGAACATGAAATGCAATCCTATTAGAATCAGAGAAAGTGCTATCTAAAATTTAATGCAATGAAAATAAAATCCATAAGATTTAAAAAAAGAGACAAAATTATTATCAATTGCAGATGACATGACTGACAACTTATAAAGAAAAAAAAAAGAAACTGAAAAACTGACCTAAAAAGGGAGTTTATTAAGGTGGTTGAAATCAGATTAATAACCAAAATCACTCACTTTTCTTTATTCTAAGAGGACTTTGAATTCCATCGGTGTCTACTCAGAGTATGGTGTGTGGACAGGCAGCATCAGCGTCAGCTGGGTGCCTTTGAGAGGCAGCATTTCTGGCCCTACTCAGACCTGCTGGATAAGAGTTTGCACTTTATTGATTCCTGTGCACATTACAGTTTGTGGAGCTGTGCCTTCTCCATTCTCACCCACCCTGGGGTGCTTTTATTCTCAGCTTTTCTACCTGCTCTATATGCTACCTGAAGTGCCCATACTTTACACACTCAGATGGGTGGGTCCAATTGTTGGTAAAAATTCTTTTGTGTTGATTATTGTCAATTATTGACACCCTCCACTACCACCATCACCATAAAATAATTTTTCAGAAAAATAAATTATGACAAAAATTTATCAGCACAGTAATTGTTTTTTTCTTAGTAGTTATTTCTACCCAAGTTGTAAAACCAACCGTCTTCCATTTAAAAAAAAGTCTTCTAGAATGTAATCTATTGAGAGCAACATTATTTTGGGGTAACATCGCCTTCCATTAATGAGAAAAAGCAGATTCCAAAAGACAGTACTTTATTATTTTTTGGACTAGCTCAAGTTTGGGCCAGATACTGTGCATTTCATGTGCAAGGTTTCATCGAGCCCTAGCTCCAGCCCTGTGTGGTTGATGCAAAATTATCCCCACTAGCAGATGAGGAAACTCAGCCTCAGAGAGGGGAAGCCACTTGCTCAAGGTCACGAAATATGCATACCACTCTTGTGATACCAAGAGTAGAAAAATGCTGAGAAGTTCAGAGATGAAAGAATACTTCCTTAAGGCAAGAATTTTTTTAACCTGGAGTCTGTGGGAAGAATTCAGGGCATTTGTAAACCCTGAAGGAGGGGGAAAAACCACCTCTCTTTTCATAAATCTGTCACTGAAATTTAGCATTTTCCAATTATAAATGTAGGCAATGAACAATGGAAATATTAGCCATATATGTGACTTTGATACCGAAGAATACCCCAGATGTTTTTATCGAGATATTCTTACAGTTTTTGCTGATGCATTGAAATCTTCTTTGTGTTCAGGGCTACTTTGAAATGAAATTGTCATTAGATTTCCTGCTAGGTTTTACTCCTTAATGGGCAAAGAGATAAATAACTAGGTCACATTAGTTTTTACATTTTGATGATTGCCTTTAATATATTTGGTTTTCTTTAAAATCCTATATACTTTATGTTATGCATTTAGCAATATTTAGCTCAGAAGCATTCCATACTCACTACCAAAGGCATTAAAAAGATAAGTAGCTAAAAACCTTTAAGGCACTAACTCTCCTTTGTAACTGTACTCTGAGTAGGGTTTCATGATCTCCAACAATCCCATCACTGCTGGAGATCCATCTGAGCTCTTGGCACATTCAGGTTTCCTCTGATGTCTAGGTTTTGCTGCCGTCGGAGGGATGGAAGGCCTGGTGGAGAAGTATTTCTTGGCCTTGGCCACCAACCGTACTGAAAACAGCAGCTGTGGGCTTCCCCGAGAAGACGCTTTCCACATCTTCCGAGACCCACTGACATCTGACCTCCCGTGGCCCGGGATCCTATTTGGAATGTCCATCCCGTCTCTCTGGTACTGGTGCACAGATCAGGTATGGGAAGGGCAGTTGGCTGTGCTAGCTCCCTCCAGGACACTCCTGGGAAAGCCTGGGGACTTTCTCCCTCCCACAGTTCTCTCATTTGCCTTTCTCCCCTCTACACCCATCTTCTATAATGCCTTCTTTTCTACTGCTCTACACGTTATCTTACTTCTTGCTCTGCTCACTCAATGGCAAAGCTTAATCCAGCCTGCTGAATGGGAAGATCCAGTAAGTAGAAGAAAAAAGACAATCTAAATGGAGGTTAAAACTACTTACTAGACAAATGCTCACTGGACATTGTCTGTGTACTGGACACTTAGAAATTATGAGTAAACAAATCAGACAGAGCTTGAGGGAGATCCTGGAGCTCACCTTCCTCCAGCTGGGGTAGATAGACATAAGTAAATAAATTATGTGCAATGTAAAAGGTGAGGTGAGATGGGGCTGGAAGTGACCTTTGAGCACAGGTTACAGGAGGGAAAGTGAGGGCCCCATGAGATTGTGGAGGAAAGAGCATTTGCAGCAGAGGGAACTGCCAGAGCACAGGCCACAGGCACATGCATAGCTAGTGTGTGGGGAGGGGAAGCAGAAGACACAACAGTGTGTGCAATAAGTCCCATTTTGTTAAAAGAGAGAGAATAAACTCAATATTTGCATTTTACTTGTATATGCATGAAGAAACTGGATGGATGTACCTAAAATAAGAAAGAGCAGATACATGTGGGCAGAGGCACCAGGGCTGGTGGGGACCATGTCACTGTTCACCTGCTTATATTCTAGGTTTCAAACCCAGCAACTATGTTATCAGTTGAAATGGTTTGCTTTTTCTTTTTCTGTTACATTAACAGCCAGGGCTGCATAGCAGTTTAGAAGCCAAATTGAATAGTTAGAGCTGATGAGACTTTTTAACTAAAGGAAACAGTGCCCAGAATGAAGCCTACGCTCCCCCACAGGCTAGGATGCCTCCACAGGAAGAGCCTAAGTACTATGGCAGTGATGGTGCAATACCCAGACACTGTCCCTTTAAGAGGCAGACCCCCTTCTCCTCCTTAGACGTCTCAGGTGGGAGAGCCCTTGGAGACAGTACAGGTCTAGACTAACAGCATTGGCTTTACAATGAACAGACCTAGAATCCAGTTCAGGTGGCATAATTGAGAGACATGATTTAATATCTCTGAGCCTCTGCTTCCTATTAAGTGGGGTTACTAATAATTACAAAGAGGGGCGCATGAAGAATTTTGGTCATAGTGTTCCTGTTGCAGAGATATTTAATAAACAAACCATTAAAAATATTTACATTTTACTACAGTTTGTTACTGCTCTCAACACAGCTCACCAGCTTACATTGATTGATCTGTACAAACATTTACTTGAGATTCCTCAAACCTTCAAGAGCTGGCATTCTGGTGTGTACCCCCCAAAGGCCACCTCCAGCCCATCCTGTTTGAAGGATCTGGAGACTTAGTCCAAGGGGGATCAACCTCCTTTCAAATGCCAGACAGGGCAAGAGGGTGCAGAGACCCATGCTCCCATGAGACCTGTGACTGTGGTCTTGGCTGCACAGGTGTTGCTGTTGAGCAGGATTCCGTAGACTCCAAAGACTGTTGGTTCACTGTGCATGCTGCACTGGGATGTGCATGTCTTTGCCAGAACTGTATTAGGCTCATTTTAGGACAGAAGAAAGGCAAGGAGACATTCACTGTTTACTAATTGTGAGCTTGTTCCAAGTTCTCCTGGGCAGAGACAGAAGAGGTAAGTAGCAATTGCTAAGATAAATGATGCTCAACCATTTACTAATGCTGTGCCACTTGCCTGTCACTAATCTAACCCTTTTATATATGTATTAAAGCAATTCATTTTCTGAACATTAGTATGAGCCTGGGAGGTTGTTGTACAGGGTGACAACACCCTGGCTCCCAGGGCTTGTGGGATTTTGAGAGGTGCAACTGTCTTGAAACTTACTCAGCTGTCTTTTGAATCTATATCTGGATGCTGTACTCCGAGGGCTAAAACCAGGATTCTTTTCAGTCACAGTTTTGATCTCCAGTAGGAATGGCTTTGTTTTCCAAAGCATAAATGCTTTCCTCTCTTTTTCAAGATGGACTGGCTAGGGTCGAAGCTGCTTTGGCACTTTAATGAAGCATAAAGCAGTATTCTATAGACTCTGATATCCTTATATTTTACAGCTACATTTTTAAGTGTTCTACAAAGCCTCACTAGGTGCATATTTGGAATTCTGAGAAATGACAGATAATAATGAAACCAACTTCTGAACAAAAATACTAACTTTCCAGCTCTGGGTAGAGACCCTCACTGCTCCCCACCTTTCCTCAAATAAGCTGATTCCACATTTAAGGGTCTTTCACTTGCAACATCCAAACAAATATAATTTGTGCATCTAAGTGTATACTTGGTTGCAAGTGGCAGGAAAAAAACCAAACTTAAATTAGCTCATGAAAATGGTGGGGGACTTATTAGCTTATGGAATACAAACTGTAGGAAGTTGAATGAGGCTTCAGAAACTACTGGAACTTATTCTGGTTTCCCTCACAATCATCTTTCTTTCTCACTTATTGACTTCATTGTCTCCATCACAGACCAAGAGCAAAGAAGCTGACAATCCCTAAGTCCCAAATCCAAATATCCAATGCTTGGGCTCTGATTGGCCCAGCTTGGGTCAGGTGCTGACCCCTGGATCAGGCAACTGTGCCCAAGATGATACAGTAGCCATATGAAGAGGGAGTGGACACTGGGGAGATTACCCCATTGATAGTCACTATAAAACAAAAGGGAAGAATTCCAACTTTGTCCTGCTTACCACAGCATCACCAGTATAACAACATTTTACTCCTTCTTGTCCACAGTTCACTGAACCAGCTTAGAAAGGTGCTGGTGACCACCAAGGCCCCTGTAACTTCTTCAGATGCTTCAAGACCCAAAGCTTAAGGAAAAAGTAGAGAAAATTCTGAGCTCATGTAGATTCGATCTGAAGGCTGGAAGAGGCCTTGTGGGGACCAGTCTCCTAGGCAGAAAACACTGTGACAAGTCATTCCCTTTGAAGGGAAGAATCTTGGCAAGACCTAGCTTCACCTCACCCAACAGAGAGCTCTTGAGGCGGCATCAGGATAAGATGTAGGCATACTATACGCAGTAACTACAACTCAGATAGCCCGATCCTTTGGCAGCATTACCTCAGACCCTCTCTCTCTCCCGCTTAACTCCTCACTCCGACCAGACTTGAATGTCTGCATTTCTTGTCTGCCTTCCTTCCTGTTCTTGCTTTCTCTGTCTTGGTCTTTTTAAGACCCTCTCTACTACCAGGTCAAAAATCATTCATGAAAACCAGATACAGACATTTACACCTGCCCAGGTATTGCCCTAAGACCAGCTTCTTGCTTGTATTATTGGTCCAATGTTAGCTGTTTCCACATTCCTGGACTGTGAACATGTTGCTCTCTGATCTGGCTTCCAAGGTTTAATTTTAACTCTTCTATTTTGGTGACCTATTTGAACTTCTTTCTCTAGCTTCATCCAACAACAGCAGTGACAATGATAATAATCACTAGTTCTCTCTTTGCATAAGAACTGCTAGACACCTCAGAATAAGCACTATTATGATCTCCATTTGGCAGATGAGAAGACTGAGGGCTGAGGAATTTAAGAAACTTGTCCAAGCTTACAAAAACCTGATAGAGGAGGATCCACACTTAAGTCTGTCTGCACTTTTAACCACTCTATTCTTTTGCTCCACCTCACCAACTGAGTGTTCTCTTGATTCTGGGGTTTATGCAGAACCTTGTGTTAGAGAGAACCACGCCCCTGCTGCCCATGTGTGCACAAGCCACTGCCTGGCCATCAAGCCCACCATTACCACCTCTCCCTGACAGGCCTCCCCATGGCCTTCCCACCTCAGTAAGGGGAAATCTGCATGTGGTTGTTGCAGGAAGAGCAAATGAAGGAAGATGCATGCCAGACACCATGATGGGTGAGGACCAAGCTCACTAAGGACCTCCTTCCACATTCTGTATTATTCTTTCATTCCTCTCAGTTAACTTGTTTTTTCAACTGAGATGTTTGTTACTGATAAAGCGCCACTTGACCACTCTTCTTTTTAGGGTTTGAAAGTTGCAAAAAACAAACTCCTAATCTGGGTGACCAGATTGAGACAGGGCTCTTCTGAGTTCTGATTGGCTGAATGGGTTTGTCCCATGGGCATAAGTGCCTGCCCTTGAAACTGGTTCACAAGTCTCGGTTTGTGCCGCTGTTACTGCTGTTAGATAGCAAAAGTTGCGGATTTCACATTGAACTTGACCGTTCTGGTGTCTTCTGACAATTGTGTGAGAAGGGCCAGGCCCATGGCTTCTGAGAATGAAATGCCCTCAAACACAAAGTTTTCTCCCAAATAGATGTGCATGTTTGTACTGTGGAACCTAAAAATTATTAGGGCTGTGGTGTGGGGTTGGGGGCAAATCTTACGTCTCGACATTCTTCCCATTAAGTATTCTTTGATGATTTAATGAGGATTCTTAGTTGTTTGCAGGGAAAAAAATAGTTTAAGTCTATGTTTTCTTTAACTTTCATGACTAGGGGGGGCAGAGGTGGATAATAATTAGTATTTATTGGGCAATTACTATTTATGGACTCTATCCTAAATATTCTCCATGGTTTGACTTCATTTAATTGTCAAAACAGTCCTAATATTACCCCCATTATATATATCAGGAAACTGAGGAAAGGATAGGTTAAACTGTTTGTCCAAGACCACACAGCAAATAAGTGGGGAAGTAGGGTTTCTTTCCAGAGTTTGCACGGCTTGATTGAGGGGCTCTAACTATGTCATCAGAAACTGTTTCTCTTTCTCTCCAATTCCTCCTTTCCTTCCTCTGAGATGACTTCATCCTCAGAAGCTTTTCCTGATATGATGGCAGAGATGCAACTGTAGTCTAAGCTGCTCTCGCAGTAGCGGCTGCAGGGGTAGAGTGCCTCTTTCCTTTGTCTCTTTTAGGAGAAAGCTCCGTGTAGAGCTATAATTGGACTACATTGGGTACATACTTTTTCTTAATCAATCACAGTGGCCAGAGAAGTGGAGTAATTCTATGGAGAACTCTAATTGGACAGATCTAACACCAGAATAAAGGAAGGAGATTGAGATGAGGAAAGAGATGCTTCCTCTAAGAGAAGCCAGGAAACCAAGCTCTAAGTCCACTATGCCTACCAAGAAGCTACACATACTTGGTGTGCCTTAAGAGAAAGCCATCTCAGCTTCCAATCATACCACTCTTTTTCAGGTTATTGTTCAGCGGAGTCTGGCTGCCAAAAACCTGTCCCATGCCAAAGGAGGCTCTCTGATGGCTGCATACCTGAAGGTGCTGCCCCTTTTCATGATGGTGTTCCCTGGAATGATTAGCCGTGTTCTCTTCCCAGGTGAGAAGTCAATTGGAAGGAGAGGTCATGTGAGTCGCAGACCCCGAAATGCTAGAAACATATTACTGACTGCTGTAAGGGAATGTGACTGAAACCCCTCCCAGTGACTCAACTGAAGTGTCTCTATCCAGGCATCAACTGACTCTAAACCATTTCCTAACACTGGTTCAATGGGAACATGCCGTAAGTGTCTCAGGTCAAATGGAGTACACACCCACCTGGGACATTGCCTCGACTATTTTTTGTGAAGTCAAGAAGTAGGCTAAAATTTGTGGCTTCAAATGTGAGTTTCCTGAGTCTCACATTAAGAGTTCCTTGTGCTTTAGTGTTTGAGCTCTGTGGTTTGGTAACTTAGGGCAAAGGAACCCTATTGGGGCTATTTTCCTTAACAAAAATAAGGGATATTAGTGCATTTAGAGTACTTGCATTAGTTTTTTTTTCTTTTTGTAATGTGGTAAAGAGATGGAGTTTGTACAGTGGGGATTAAACACGACTAGGGGCAGGGATTGTTATGGTGGGTTACTGGGATGTCAGGAAGTGGTGATCTATACAGAAAAAAGCTTCCTCCCTCATGCCTTATCCTACACGATGTCAAACACAGATAAAGAAAGGATAGAGTGACATGGTTAGTTGGTTGGTCCAGAAGTTTTGTCAAAATAATTCAGGACAATAAGAATTAGGAGGGAACCTTTCTTTTCCTTAAATAAGGAAAGACATTGGTCTAGCAAGATATTATTTGTGCCTCAAGGATAGAAATTATAGAATAGATCCAGCTTCTGAATTTTGTTGCTTTATTTGTTTACAAAGGTTAATACCAACCAGTCTTCAAAGAAAACTGAGGTGAAGACTGATTGCATTAATAATCAAGAACATCTATGTTTGAGATGGGAACATGGTCAAGGCAGCTTTGGGGATTTTCTGTATTTAGGAGATCTTGAATTCTTGATTGTTGGCCAACTTTCAGGCAAGTAAAATCAGTGCAGCCTACAGTGCAGGTTTTCTAACTTTACCAAAAAAAAATAAAAAAGAAAAGAAAGCTCTACCTTTTGTAGCACATGCTTGTGCTCTAAAGTCTAAATCCTCAAAATAAAATGTAAGGAGGGGACTAATAATTCATTATATTGTGTTGCTAATTCCTACTTCATAGAATTATTGTTCGTAATGGGTAAATAGCATATCCTGGGCAGATGAATTCGACCTGGTAGATAAAATTTTGTTTTGGTCAGGTTGCCTATGAATATGGATTTCAAAACAAACACAAAAGCTTAACTTAGGATTTCATTATGTTTCAGAATCATTACTGCCTTAATGTTCACACATCTCTTTAAGTTCTCCTAGTAAAGGAGAAATGCATGTTTGTTTATAGCTTTTTGTACATATAAATGCAGTGATCTATGGCTTTAATTTTTTTTGTTTCTGTGACAGTGTTTGTTGATCCAGCCAATAGAGTTATTTATAGAAAATGGAGCATGTTGTCGTTCTTTATGTATATGGGAGAAATGTTTCCCCAAAAACCTTAGTTACCTGAATTATTCTAAGATTATTTGTAAAAAACTGAAATTTGGTTAGTAAAGAGAAATAAGAATCCCCCCCACAAAAAAAAAATTAGGAGGGAGTCCAGCCAAGATGGAGGTATAGGTAGGTACACTTTATCTCCTCGCATAACCAAAAGAAGGACAACAAATTTAAAAAAACCCACAGAACTGACAGAAAATTGAACTGTATGGAAGTCTGACAACCAAGGAATTAAAGAAGAAACATTCATTCAGGTCAGTAGGAGGAGCAGAGACAGGCAGCCAGGGCAGAGAGGACATGAGGCAAGGTGGTGGCTGGAGGACCAGGTGTTCCCCCATTTGTGTGCTGATAAGCTGGAGGAACAGCTGGGGAGCGAGACAGACCACACCATCCTGGGTTCCAGTGTGGGAAAAGAAGCCTCAGAACCTCTGGAGGTAAAAACCCGTGGGGATTGTGGCTGCAAGAGAAACTCCCAGCCATACAGGAGAGTCTGTTGGAGAGGCCCATGGGGTCCTAGAATGTACACAAACCCACCCACCTGGGAATCAGAACTAGAAGGGCCCAATTTGCTTGTGGGTAGCAGGGGAAGTGACTGAAAGCCAGTTGAGAGCCAAGCAAGTGGCACTGTTCCCTCTCGGACCCCTCCTCCACAGACAGTGTCACAACTCAGTGACCTGGGTTGCCCCATCCTGGCAAATACCTAAGGCTCCGCCCCTTCCAACATAACAAGCGCACTGAGAAAAAGAAATATGACCCAAATGAAAGAACAGATCAAAGCTCCAAAATTAGAACTAAGCAATGAACAGATAGCCAACCTATCAGATGCATAGTTCAAAACACTGGTAATCTGGATGCTCACTGGATTGGTTGAGTATGGTGCAAAATGGAGGAAAAAATGAAGGCTATGCAAAGTGAAATAAAGAAAATTATACAAGGAACCAACAGTAAAGGGAAGGAAACTGGGACTCAAATCAATGATTTGGAGCAGAAGGAAGAGATAAACATTCAACCAGAACAGAATGAAGAAACAAGAATTAAAAAAAAATGAGGAGAAGTTTAGGAACCTCGGGGACAACTTTAAATGATCCAACATCTGAATCATATGGGTACCAGAAGGAGAAGAGGAAGAGCAAGAAATTGAAAACTTCTTTGAAAAAATAATGAAGGAGAACTTCCCTGATCTGGCCAAGGAAATAGACTTCCAGGAGATCCAGGAAGCTACAGGATCCCAAAGAAGTTGGACCCAAGGAAGCACACACCAAGGTACATCATAATTAAGTTACTCAAGATTAAAGATAAGGAAAGACTCTTACAAGCAACAAGAGAAAAGGAGACAGTTACCTACAAAGGAGTTCCCATAAGACTGTCAACTGATTTCTCAAAAGAAACCTTGCAGGCAAGAAGGAGCTGGCAAGAAGTATTCAAAGTCATGAAAAGTAAGGACCTACATCCAAGATTACAGCAAAGCTATAATTTAGAATGGAAGGGCAGATAAAGTGCTTCCCAGATAAGGTCAAGTTAAAGGAGTTCATCATCACCAAGGCCTTATTATATGAAATGTTAAAAGAACTTACCTAAGAAAAAGAAGATCAAAAACTGTGAACAGTAAAGCAGAGGGGAGGGGGAGGGGGAAGAATGGGAGAAAAGATACAGGGAATAAGCAGCATAAATAGTAGGTACAAAATAGACAGGGGAAGGTTAAGAATAGTATAAGGAATGGAGAGAAGCCAAAGGACTTATATGTACAACCCATGGACATGAACTATAAGCGGGGGTGGGGAGGATGCTGGGGGGTGGGCCGTGGAGGGTGGAGGGAAATAAAGGGGAGGAAAAAAATGGGACAACTGTAATAGCATAATCAATAAAAAATATATTTTAATAAAAAAAGAATTAGGAAGGAAGAGGTGGGACCAGAAACAGGGAGCTGTCTGTGGTCCTGGACTTTGGGCTTGTGCTCCCCCAGCCCGGATGGGATGAAGAACCCAGAGAGTCACTGGTTCTGTTTCCAGAGAAGGGGCACCAGTCCTGGAAAAGCCCAGATGGGAGTAAGAACTGGTTTCTGGGTTTTGTGGTGACTTGAAGGAAAATATACAGCTCTTGGGCAAGGCTTGAGATATGAACAAAGAATGTGACTTAAAACAGCCAACACTCATTGTTCTAAGGGCCAGCCCCTGTGCAAAGAGTTTGACAGCAAAATGTAGAGGTTAATAATATAGACTCTGACCTGAACTTCCTGAGCCTGAATCTTGGCTCTGCCCTTTACTAGCTGTGTGACCTCGAATAAGTCACTTATCCTCTTTTAGTCTCTGCTTCCTTATTTGTAAAATAGGAAAAATACTTGCTAAGGTTTAAAGCAGTTCCTGGAACATGGAAAGCACTACACAAAATTCATTCTTATTATTTTATACCTGTCTTATTTCCTTTATTCCTCAAAATAACCTCATGAGGTTATCGTTACTATTATTGTTATTTTCATTTACAGATGAGGAAACTGAAGCTCAGAAAAATTCATTCAGTCATATATTAATTTGTCCATGTGTTCAACAACTATTTTGAGAGCCAGTTTTAGGCCTTATTTTAGAAGACCCAGGGGATTTGTAAGGGAAGAAGACATACAGTATCCCTGCTGCTGTGGGTCTTACATTCTAGTGGGAGAGACAGAAAAGAAAGTAAATAGATAAATGAGATATTTGTTGATTGTGCTAAGTAAGCGCTGTGAGGAAAATTCATAGGGAGATGTCACAGGGAGTGCTGGGCAGGGACCCCTTCTGAAAGAGGCCACAGGGATGGCTTAAAAATATATTTGAGAGTGAAGCCAACCAGTTTAATGATGGATTAGATGTGGGATTAAGGAATAAAAGAGGACTCAATTACTTCTAGGTTAAATAACTTGCTGGAAGTTACATGGCTAGTGTGGGAGAGCTAGGGTTCAAGTCCAGATGCATCTGCCTCCAAAAACTGACTAAATTATGCTGCTGTCTCTCTCAGAAAATCATATTTTAAGCTTTGGCACAATACCCTGGACAGTCAGCCAATCAACAATGTTTTATTATTAAATGAACCTAAGGTTATGTTCTACTCTTCTAAGGACTTTGTAATGTAACAGATGAGTCCTGTACTCATGAAAAAGTAACAGAAAATAGATATCAAAACACTCCAGCATATGATACAACCAATAATCCCAGAAGGTTTAAAAGAGTAGAGTGAAGAGGACACTTCTCAAAGTGTGGTCCTAGTTGCAGCAGTGGCACCTTGGGACCTGTTAGAAATGCAAATTTTCAGGCCCCAAAGCACTACTGAGCCCGAATCTCTAGGGTAGAACCCATAAATCTGTTTTGACAAGCCCACCAGAAGATTGAGAAGCCTTGGCCTCAAGTGCCAGAGTTGGGGAAAAGCCACTGTACCTTTCCATTTCCACTTCACCACATTTTGGCTCCACCAGCTCCCCACTGAATCTTCAACTGGTTCTGGAACTTCCTGAAAGGAGGTTCCAATCCTGAGCTCTCATGAGCCTGGACAGCACCCTCTTCCACTTAGTCCACCTAAGAAATGGCACACACTTTTAAAGAAAATCTAGTGGAAATCAAGAGAGAAGCAAAATAACCCTCAAGACAATAAAACAAAAAAGCCCAGAAACACACCTATTTACAAAGCCACCTGAGCTTTGGAATAAACTAAGGATTTGAGGTCTGTCCATGATACTTACTAGTTGTATGATTTGTGGGAGCTATCTAACCTCTCTGTGCCTTGGTTTACTTGTCTTTGAAAGATGTATAACAATATCTTCCTCAATAAGTAATGAAGATTACATGAGAAGGTGTATGTGTACAGTGTTTATCTGTAGGCTAGAGTCATAGTGAAGGTTGGCATTTGGAAGAAGGAGGTTTGTGTTATGCTTGCATTTGACCGTTAAAGGCCTCATACATTTTAAGCATCAGAGGGCCTGACAAGGGAATCCACTCCAATATGAAATGGTTGATTAATTAATGCAGAAGTGGTGAGCAGATGTTACTGTGTGGTGTTGGCTTCATGAATAACTTAGGTGGGCCAACTAATGTCCCTATGATGAACATATTTTTTAGACCAAACACAATTTTCTACCTCAAACATGGTTGAAGGTTGCATTCCTAGAAGGTTAAACAAAAACTTTGCAGTTAATTAAATACTGCAGAGAGATCTTTGCTTCTTCTCAGTGTCCCTGGAAGAGAGGAGCTTTTAGACAAGAGGCAAAGACCATAGATTTGAATGTAAACATGACCTTTGCCCTACTTGCAAGGCTTCTTACCATGTTCTGGCCATGGGAATGTAACTGTTTTCTAATTTTTTCCCTAAACTTTCTCAGAAGAATCATAAAAAGTCAGGAACTTTGAGCTCTTGAAAGCATTTCTCTCACTCTGGCCAGGAGGCTCAGTTCACTGGAGCATCATTTTGTGCACCAATATGTTGTGGGTTTGATTCCCAGTCAGGGCACATACTTAAGTTGCAGGTTCCATCCCTGGTCAGGGCACTTACAGAAGGCAAAGGACTGATGTTTCACATCATTGTTCCTCTCCTTCTCTCTCTCCCTTCCTCTCTAAAATCCTTGGGTGAGGATTTTTTTTAAAGCATTTTTCTCAACAAGATTGCTTCTTCTCAATACTTCTCATCAAATGTCATCTTTAGTCTACAGTTTTAATTTTGTCTAAGACTGAACCAGAGTTTTGGGAGCATCTACTTTTATTCCATAGCAATTGCTATCACTATTATTAATCATGGCCTCAGCACCCATTTCCTCTCCCATTGATGGATGTTAGTGGAAGGAAGGGTCCTAGATTTGAGAAGAGAGGATAGAGAGTGGAGGAGTTTTACAAAGACCACTTGGCCCTTGGGCTTCCCAATGGATGAAAGGGCCTGAGGCTATTTCTATTTCTTAGGTATTATGCTCCATTAAATGAGAAAATGAAGCTACAATATTGGATTTTTAAATTGCGGTATACTTCAAATGTTAGCATCTATTAAATTAATGGCCTTCATACAGATAAAAAATAGAGACTAAATATACAACCTAACCTGGAGATGTTGTCAAACAGCTGCATTCGAGGTTACTTGTGAACTTGAGGCCCTGATGAAAGGGTCATCATGGTGTTGCTATTGCATGAGAACCAGGGAGAAATGGGCGTGAGCAGCGAAGGGCTCCATGCCCACCCCTAAACTGAAGTAGTTCCTGTTTACCACAGAAGGTGGTCAGGAAGGCAGTGTAACCTGTCAGAATGAGGAAGAAGGACCGAAGCCTTTGGACTGAGCAGAAAGAGGGTCTGGGAGCTATTTAAGGAAGTTATTCCACCTGGCAAGAGACGTGAGAAGTAGTAAGTGGTCAAGCTGGGGTGAATGGTGCTGGCTAGGCATTGAGATAGTGGTAAGGAGTGTCAGTTAGCTCAGAAATGTGGAGCTGATGAAGACAGAAGGTGATGAGAAAGCCATCCTTCACAGGCAGGTGCCAAACCACTGAGACAACATGGAAAGTCTGAAGGTCCTAGTGGCCAGGATGAGGCCCTGCACAGGGTGACTGCCAGCTCATTCAAGATGGAAGAGCATTCACTCCCTTGGCCTTCCTTCTCTGACAAACTGGATTGGGAGTCGGGAGACCTGTGTTTCAGTTCTGACTTGGCTGGGCGATTACAAGTAGGTCCCTTCCTCTCTCTGAGACTTTCTCTTTATCTATGAAATGGTACAGTTAATCTCTGTCTTTCTAAAAGGCTGCCTGTGCTTGCGTGCTTGTGGTGTGTTCATGATACTAAAGGTAGAGATGTAAAATGAGAGGTGCCGGGAAGCCTAGATGAATTTACATGGGAAGATCAGAATGCTGTTCAGGAAAGACAAGAACCAAAAGAGGAAAGAGGAGGTCAGAACCAGCATGGTTGTGTTTTTATGAGTCTAAAGTGAGGAATGACTGTAGAGAAGAAGATGGGAAAAGAGGAATTTAAAACATGTTTGCCATGTGTCAAGTGCTGGCATTCTTCTTTGCAACTCTGTGTCTCGGTTTGGGGGTCAAGGAGATGGAGCCTGAGGTGGGACCTGTGTTGAGACTGGCTACAAGGGTCCTCAGCTTTATCTGAATTACAGTATTACTGTAGTTACAGCTATGGTCATAGCTGGCATGTATTCAGCACTTCCTGTGTGTCAGACCCTGTGCTAAGTGCATTATGTACACCATCTCAGCCCATCTTCACTATAATCTTATGTTATTGTCCAAATTTTACAGATATGGAGCCTGAAATTCAGAAAGGTTAGGTAAGAGGGTCCTGGTTTGTAAAGCCTAGGCTCCTTTTTATTTCATTGAGCCATGAGCTGTCTCTTGATGCCAGCCAGGGTCAGGCCATGTTTGGGCTTGGTCTGGGGCCCTGAGGGTCTGTGAGCTCACCTCTGGGTCTTGTCTTCTCCGCAGAACAAGTGGCCTGTGCAGATCCAGAGATATGCGGGAAAGTCTGTGGCAATCCCTCTGGTTGCTCTGACATTGCATATCCCAAACTTGTGCTGGAGCTCCTGCCCACAGGTAATGTTCCCTCACCCTTGCAGCACCCAGGAGGGAAGAGCTGGCTGGGCTCTTATCTGAGGGACAGGATGGGTGGGTGGTGGGAAGGAATTGGCTCTGGGCCAAGGAACTGAGCTCCAGAGCCAGGGACCCTGAATGAAGCCCAGGCACTGGCTGTGCAGGGGGCTCTGCCCAGCCCCCTGCCCCAGTCCTTCTGCAGGGCTCCCGCTGGAGTTCTGCTTCCTCAGAGTTGAACCTCCTGGGTCAGCTGACTATGGGCCTGGGGTCATGAGATCATGAGTGAAGGCAAGGGCTGTGAGTAGAAAAAGCCTGAGGCCCATAGACCTCCCTTCTGCCCCCAGGGCTCCGTGGGCTCATGATTGCTGTGATGGTGGCGGCTCTCATGTCCTCCCTCACCTCCATCTTTAACAGTGCTAGCACCATCTTCACCATGGACCTCTGGAATCACATCCGGCCTCGGGCATCTGAGAAGGAGCTCATGATTGTGGGCAGGTACGGTCTTCTTGGCTGGGGCTGAGCCAGGGAGGGAAATGTCCAGGTTCCAGGAAGCAGAAAGCCGAGCTCACCCAGGGGCAAAGTCCAGCTAGAAATTTGCCCAGGCTGAGCCTCCTCTGATGGCAATCATGAGGCACATTAGGACGCCGTGTGTAAGTCATTTATTCATTCAAGAGATTTTCGATGAGCAACTACTATGTGCCAGATGCTGGACATAAAGCAATGAATAGAAACAACTCAGTTCTGTATTCATAGAGCTAGAGAAAGGTAAATAACCTGGCAACTATGCCCCCAATAGTGCTATGACTAGGGAGTTAGGAGACCTAGGGTTCGGGGGGGGGGTCCCCAACCCGGACTGGGACCTGAGGGGGGAATAGGAATTGGCCAGGGAGGAGGGTGTCCTGGGTTTCAGAAGGGAAACTTTTCTCTACCAAGACTTCTATGAGTCCTGAAGTCCAACGGGGATATGAAAATGACACAAATGAGTGGCATGTAAATTTTATGTAAAATACATGTAAATAAGCACCTTGGATAAGCTCTGCCCCATAGGAAGGTACACCCTGAGAGAAGTCTCAGCCTCAGGCTAGGGAAAGAGTTCTTAGGTGTGACCCCACAAGCATAGCCATAGAAGAGAAAAATGGTGAATTAGCCGTCACTAAGAAAATGAGGAGACAGGCCACAGATTGAGAGAAAAATATTTATAACCATGTATCTGACAAAGGAGTTCTAATATAGAATAATCTACAAAACAAGGTTGTAATCTAGAAAACTACAGTGAGACACCACCACACACCCACTAGAATGACTATAATCAAAAAAGACAGACAAGGAGCTGAGGAAACTGGGACTCATGCCTTGCAGGTCGTAAAATGGTTCAGCTTTTCAAAAACAGTTTGGCAGTTTCTTAAACAGTTAAAAATATACTTAACCATGCAACCTAGCAACTACAGTCCTAGAAATGAAAACACATGCTTGCACAAAGACTTGCACGCAGATGTTCACAGCAACATTTTTTTACAACAGCCAAAACATAGAAACAATCCAAAGATCCTTGTTCAAGTGAAGGGTGTGGAATGACATGTCCATGGAATACTTGTCAACAATAAAGAGGAGTTAAATACTGATACATGATGCATGGATGAACCTCAAATACATGCTCAGTGAAGGAAGCCAACTGCCAAAGACCACAGATTGCATGATCCCATTTATGTAAAATGTCCATAAGAGACAAACCTACAGAGACAGAAACAGATAAGTGCTTGTTTAGGGTGGGAACAAAAATAACCTGTAAATGGGCTGGGGGAATGAAATGGAGTCATAAATGTTCTAAAACTTGATTGTGGTGATGGTTGCGCAACTCTGGAAATATTCACCAAAAGTTTCTGGCTTGCAACTGCCCCAATAAAGATATAAAAAAATAAGAGAAATGTTCAGGGAAGACAGCAATAATGATGGGTCTCTCTCTGCTTGGCACCAGGGTGTTTGTGTTGCTTCTGGTGTTGGTCTCCATCCTCTGGATCCCTGTGATCCAGGCCAGCCAGGGTGGCCAGCTCTTCATTTACATCCAGTCCATCAGCTCCTACCTGCAGCCACCTGTGGCTGTGGTCTTCATCATGGGGTGTTTCTGGAAGAGGAGCAATGAAAAGGTAGTTGTGCCAGACCCCAGTGCTGCCATGAACATGGGAGAGGGGACCTGAGGATGTCTTGACTTGGGTATTGTTAGGGAGGATGAGTTCTGTGGAAGAAAATACAGGGAGGGTGTTACCTGGCCTTTGAAAATAGCAGCGGGTGTTCTATTTCAATGTACTCTCTTATAGCTGACTTAACAAGGAATGAGTAAATTATATGTGATTAATTATATGCAAAAGATAAACAGAGACGTAGCTCCCACCCTTTTTGAATTACCGACCCCTACAGTGACCATCACTAGAATGAGAAACTCTTGAGATGGCTTGCTAAGGTTTCTGGAGGCCTGAGCCAGCCACCCAACAGCCCTGGATGTCACTAAGATGGCCTTGCTCTGATTTGCAGGGTGCCTTCTGGGGTCTGATCTTGGGCCTTCTCCTAGGCTTGATTCGGCTGGTCCTGGACTTCATTTATGCACAACCGCGGTGTGACCAGCCAGATGAGCGTCCCGCTGTGGTAAAGGACGTCCACTATCTCTACTTCTCCATGATTCTGTCTGCTGTCACCCTGATCACCATGTCCACTGTGAGCTGGTACACAGAGCCACCCTCCAAAGAGATGGTATGCTTGGGTTCGACGCTAGACCCATTGAGACCCTTGGCAGCAAGTGACAGGAGAGGGACCCACAGTGACTTAAGCAAAGAGGATGGCCTGTTCAAAAACTTGAAAAGTCCAGAGTGGAGCATTAGGAATAGCTTGATTTCAAGACTCAGAACAAACCATCAGAACCCAGCTCTCACTATGCTTCTCTTCTCAGGCCCCATGTGGGACTGGCAGCTTCTCAGGATTCATTCTCTCTTATTCTCAGTGAGAGCATAAACATTTTGTCCCAACATTTCCAGCAAAATTCCTGATTCTCATCGATGGAGTCAGCTCAAGACACACATTCACTTGTGAACAAAGTTGGTCCCTATGGCCAGAGAAATGGTTGAGCTTAGTGGCTGATTGCTGGGTCCCATAATACCCCAGGACTGGGGTTAAGCTCTGGGGACAAGCACGAGGCAGGGTTAGGCCCTGACATAAGTATTAGGGTTGTTAAGAAAGGTGAGGAAGTGAGTGTGGGAAGTGCCCACTGGTTCTGAAGCATGCGGGGAGTTGAAGCTTGGAGGAGAATGGAGTGAGAGGGTGAGACTGGGAGCAAACCCAGTCAGACATGAAGGCCGAACTTGGGGCTGGGCAAGGCATCGTAGAAAGGGACGACTGCTAATCTCACAAGCCTTCTCTTTTCCCTAGGTCAGTCGCCTGACCTGGTTCACTCGTCATGACCCCACAGTTCAAAGGGAACAGGTGCCACCAGCAAGTCCCCTGCCTCCTACCTTCTCTCAGAATGGGACGGCAGAGACCAGCAGCACAAACATCCAGTTGGACACTGTTCAAGAAAACATGTCCAAAATGCACAACTGTGAGTTGCCTCTCTCCTCAGTTACAGTAGGTGCTTCAGGAAGCATTATGTGTATAAGGGAAGTTTTTCTATGAAATCACAAGTCATAAAGGGGCAGATTTGGGATTTTGGCATCCCCTGACTCCCAGGGTCTAGTTCTTCCCTACTCTTCAGCCACCGGAAGTGGGTTCTTCAGTAACTTTCAACAGATGCCTCAGGTGGGCAATTTAACACATGCTTGTAGAGATTTCACATAAAAATTCTCAAGTCCCATCTCCTCTTGAAAAATGGGAAGACCTGGCAAGAGTGGGCCCATGTGTCTGCACACGAACCTCGTCTGGAGCTGTGAAACGGATGCCCCTGAGATGTGCCCTTCAGTCAGCCATGGTTGCCACCAGCTCTGGTCGTCTCCTGACCCTGAGGCAGCAGTTGTCATTTATCATCACACCTGGCCTGTAAAAAAGAAATTGTGACTATGAAGCCATGTTAGTGGGACCAAAAGGCCACATGTTTCAAGAAAAATGAGAGAGAATATTTCCTGGTGAAGGTTAGGAATATTTTGACATGTTGAATATTCAAAGTGGCCTCGATTCCTATACACCACCTGCCTGGCTCCATAGGTAGTTGGGAACTGAAAATGGTGAGAAGTCTAAAAGTATCAGTTTTCCAGCATTAAGCAGCCTTCCAGAATGAATGTATTAACACCTTCCAGAAAAGGCAAGAAAGTATTTATCACAGTTCATGAAACATACCAGGTTGGTCCCCTCTCCTCTCTTCCCTGAGAGACGCGGCTGGCCCATCCTTATGATCTTTATTTGGGTTCTTTTTAGGTGATGTGACCCAAAAGCAGTCTAGAGTGGTGAGAGCCATCCTGTGGCTCTGCGGACTGGAGGACAAGGGCCAGGCGGAGCCCATGAGCAGAGCAGACCCTGTCATCGTGTCCTTGGAAGAAAATCCCTCTGTGAAAGCCCTTCTAAATATCAACCTCATACTCTGCCTCAGCTCTGCCATTTTTCTCTGGGGCTACTTTGCTTAGTGTGGGGTAAACCAAGGTGTCCAAGCTCACAGTTTGTTTTCAGCACCCCATTTTTTTAAATGAAGAAAAGAAATAAAGCTTTGTTTGTTTACCATGAGGCTTCAAGGGCGTTTATGGGCTATTTTCAACATGACATTTAGTTTTTCTAAAAAGGGAATGAAGTTTGGAGACTGGAAACTGGAGAGAAGCGTAAAAGCTTCCTTGTTTCCAAAAGCTAGTTATTCACCCTTCCAGTCCATGGTGCAACAGCAACAGCAACAGCCAAAGTCAAAGGGATAAACAAGCAAACACTTCTGAGACCTCCGAGCCTAACAGCAGCCGTATCACCTGGGCTGAGTGCTTGGTACTTGAACTTTTCCCAGCTCACCTTCAAGGTGCTAGGAATGGGATCTGCATTCTATCTTTTCCCTTCTAGTCTTGCTGACTGAGGTGTCCTGAAGGTTTTCTCACTGTGGTACTTGTTCCTCGATATGGCTTCTGGGAAATATACCTGAGTTGGTGCCCTGGAATCTTGTGCTATCAAAAACCTGGGGAATTGTGTGTGCTCCCCAGATTCTGCTTAGCCTGTGTTTCTCTGCTCAAGTCCCCACAATGATGCTTCCCTAAAACAATCAGCCAGAGGGACAGACAACTCCATAGGGATCTCTACCAGCTGACGGGCAACAGGGCTTTTGATCTGAAGGCACCCCTGCTCTGTGTAGAGCCAGCTGTCCTGATTTCTCTACTCTGGGTTACAATGGGCCTAATGGCATGAACTGAAGGGGCTGTTTGCCACATGCACAGTTAAGAGCAAGGGCAGGCCGACAGTTAGCCCTGAGAACATCTCTGGGTAACCCAGAGCCATGAACTCTCATTCTAGTCCCGGGAGAAAGGAGGCTTGAGGGGTGGGTTGGAACCACTTATTGGCCTGACAACTGAAGCATGGAGTAGACTCTCAAGGAACCCCAATATCCAAATTTCAAAGGAACATGGACAAGAAACCCAGGGGCCACTGGCTCACCTGGTCACTGAGTGATATCTTCAGCGCCTATGTGATGCCCTCAACACCTGCACCAGCATGGTCCGAAGGTAAATGTCTTAGCTCAGACCTTACCCGTTGGAGGCCTAGCTTTGCTGCACTAACGCAAATGATAGCTGTGGGTGGGGCAAGGGTACACACCTCAGCCCTCCTCAGAAAGGGACTATGTGGGGAGCTGTTCACGAATGTGTCTTCTATCCAGACCCCTGTAACTGGCTCCTGGCAAGAGGCTGAGCTGGTGTCTGGGACAAGTGGGCTCAAAAGGAGGTTGAGTGCCCCTCTCCAAGGGACATGGAGGTGAGTGGGAGGCCCAGGAGGCTTCCCCAAATTGCCCCTCAGCAAGCCCTGGTGGCTACTCTGGACTGTCACACCAAGCCCTCTGCTGACACTGGTTGGGGTCAGAAGTGCATTTCAGTGGGAGATGTCACTATGAACTCAGGCCACTGCCATTTTTCCCCAATCACTGCCAGTCTCCTGACTGGCCTTCCTGCTTCTAACCCATTCTCCAGCCCCTGGTAGGGAGAGTGAGTCTGATCAAGCCACTCCTCCATTTAGCCTCTTCCAGTGACTTTCCCAAATTCCCAGGATGAAGTCCACATTCCTTGACGGGAATTTCAAGACCCCTGAAGGCCAGGCCTTTGCCAGCTTCAACTCTGATCACTTGCTCTTTGCAGGCTAAGGTCACGCCTCACTCATTCCTTTCCACCTCCTGGGCTAGCACAGTGGGTGGCATACAGTGGGCTCCATAAGTATGGTTATAAATATCCAATAAGTAGGGGTTTTTTTTTTGCCTCTGCTCTTCCCTTTGCCTAAACTATCCCTCCTTCATCTTCGGGCTAACTCCTAATCTCTGCTTAACCATCACTTCCTCCAGGAAGCCTCCCTGATCACCCAATTCCCATCATGACATGTGCCTTCAAAGCTGATGTCATGCTTCGTTGGTTACTTAATGGTCTTCCCAACTGGAGTTTCTCAAGGGCAGAACGTCATTCTCACTGATGCCTAGCACAGTGCCTGATGAGTGAATGAATGGATGACCTTAAAACACCAATGTTATCTGGCTCCTTATCCATATCCACCTGCCACACCCCCTCCTTGGCATGGCTGTCCACCTCTGCCCAGGTACCTATGGTCAAGGAACACCCACTATTACTGCACCAAGTTAGTTCCTTGAGGTGTAAGCTTGTAGAGGTGACTGAATCCCCTTTGACCACCGCAGTCTCTAAGCTGCCTTGTGACCAGCCCTCACCTTTGGGAAGGGCACACAATCAATGACCCAATCATGCTGACTCAGCCACCCTAGCTAACAATGAGTTAACCCTAATCTAGGCAAGCATCTGCTCCTCTCTCACGGTCTCCTGCTTCTATGCTGGTCCCGCCCGAGTCCATATTCTGCACTGCAGCCACGAGGATTCAAAGTACAAATTGGACTGTCACTCCCTTCATCCCTTATGGCCCCTCTGCCCTTCACAACTTCCAAACGCAGGATGTAGAGCTCTTTCCATTCCCGTTGCCCCGTACCTCACAGCTGCACACCTCCCACTCAGCTTCCCTGCTGCCTCTGAGCACACAGCCACTGCACCAGCTGTCCCTTCTCTCTGAGGTGTCCACCCCTACTTTCCCATACTGTCCCACTGCTCTTCCTGCTCCACACCATCCCTACCTGCTTCCTGCGTGCTCATCTACAAGCTCCCTGGGGGCCAAGGCCATGGTTGTATGGATCAGGTTGGTTCTCCAGTGTCTAGGCCTGTGTATGGAAGAGTATGTCCTCAGTAATTATCTGGAGGACACGTAGCAATTATTTGTAAGACCTGGCTTCAATTCTAAGAGTCCTTGTGTGGAAAGAAAAATGAGTTTCTACCATGAAATGGCATACAAATGTTTTTTGGGTCAAATATAATTTATTGATGTGCACAAAAACTGAATTCAGAGAGGGCAAAAACAGAACCTTGGTGAATTTTTGTACTTCCAAAAACATATTTGGTTCAAATATACCCCCATGTATCATTTGTAATGTTTTGATGTGTGTGACAGCTAGACCCTAAGATGACCCTCAATGGTCCCACTTCCTGGTGTTCCTTGCCTTTGTATAATCTCCTCCCCAGACTGAACCAGTGACTGGCTTCTAACCAAGAATACTGTGGCAAATGTTGGCCTGTAGTTAATGACCACATTACATCACGTAGGACTGTCTTGCTAGCAGATTCACTTGAGTCCTTGATGGCTTGATGAAGCAGCAGCCACACTGGGAAAGCTCACGTATCCAAGTGCAGGCAGCCTCCAGACCATGATCAGCCAGCTGCCAGGGTTCTCAGACCTTGTGGTCTTACAACCACAAGGACATGAGTTGACAACAACCTGAAGGTGCTGAGGAGTGGATCCTTCCCCAGCTGAACCTCCAGATGCAACCCCAGCCTTGACTGACACAGTGACCACAGCCTAGAAAGGCCATGCAGAGGACTCAGCTAAGCTGTTCTGGGACTTCCGACCCACAGAAATTATAAGATCATAAATGTATTTTTTTAAGCCACTAGGTTTGTGGGTATTTGTCATGTAGTAACAGATAACTGACAGTGTATGGTTTGTGAACACCTATGTGGATGGGAAGGTAGAGTTGGGTGGGGAAGAGTGTGGGAGGACAGAAGTTTGCCTGAGGAGCTCTGCCATGTGTAGTGCCAAGAGACAGTGACAGCAATGTGGCAGCCCTCCAGCAGGGGCAGTCACATCCCTGTGGCATCATGGAGATGCTCCCACCACGATGTCTTTACAGCTCTGAATGCAAGACCAGCCCTCACGCTGTGACTCACCCATCATCATGGACAGTAGCCTTGACTTGGTACTGGCCTCTGACACATACACAAGTAAGAGTCAAATAAGTCATTTTTCTTTATGTTGGAGTTGTTGAGGTAAGGAGGTTGCAACAAACAACAGGAGAGTGGAAACTGAACATTCTTAAGGTAATGAGGGTATTGCTAGTATTTCAGTATCAGCGTTAACAAAACACAGTTGCATTCCAGGAGGACGTTCACCATGGACCCCACGCATCATGAGGGAGGCATCTCCGAAGTGCTGCAGGTGCCAGATTGTGGACAGCCGGACTCCCTGGAGAAGGAGCTCAACACGGATGAGCAGTGTTCAGACCTTTGCTTTCTATACCAGCTTTGTTCTACAGCTAAAGGGGAGCACAGAAAGATCACATGTGGATGGTGTATGAGGGGGGAAGAGAGTGAGCCTTAGGCAAATATAAATTTAAGATATGGGGGGGCGTGGGAATGGGCTTACAGGTACATATTCTCAAAGTAATTGATGTAGGGAGTACTTCAAGGTACAGAGAACTTTGAGTTAACAGAAAAAAGGGATTGACCTTTTCAAGTTAAACTTGCTGAGTTAATTCATAGTAGAAGGAGGTGCAGTGTCTGCTGGGACAGGTCATGATACACCCAGCAAACACCACTGGTGGTGTGCTCCTGTTTCCTCCCGAGAGAAGATGGCCAAACCTGGGCGAAGGGGAAGGCTGCTGTTGGGTCTGCCAACCTCACTTTACTCCACTTCCCTATAAGCTCTTCCCAAGTATTTCAATCCTGAGAAAAAGTGCCTTCTAGTCATTGGAAACTGGAACTCCACTGGGAAGAAATGGCTCTGGCGTCTGCATGAGGCCCGTGAGGTGGTGGGTCAGTCACAAGAGTCTAAGTGTCTTTGGGTGGACAGGAAAGGGGGTCAGGACTGGTAAGAGCAAAGGAAGAGCCTTACCCTTGGAACATTCACTGAGGGATAGCCAGTCAGGTTTCTGGGGCACCTGTTGGCTGGTGTCACTGCTGTGGCCTCGTTCTCTGTTCTTTCAAACATCTATAGTCACAGTTACACCCCCAGGTGGCTCAGCCACAATTATATTTGGTTAAGTGAACACGCATGCACACACATACACACAATCCAGTTTTTCCTCCAAGAACGATAAAGTTTTCATATAAACCACAGAATATATTTAATTCAAATTAAACATGAAACTATAATAATGTTCGGTCCTTATGAAGTAGCAATTACATGGTTTTTAAAAAAAGAACAGTCCATTTCTTTCTACATTCTGGCAATCCAACAAGGTACAAGTTACATCCAGTTTGCTGTGGTGACGGATCCAGCAGTCACCATAGATGCTCACAGCTGTGAGGGGTCAGGGACACATAGGATTGTACTTCATATAAAATGACTCTGCAGCAGAATGAAGTCCAAGTAGCAGGAAGGAGGCGAGTTGTGTAATGAATGTGCTTTATTAAATAGAGAATAACATGTTGCTTTTCCCATTCATTCCAAATTGCCGTTGGCGTCGCCTGCAGTGACGGCAGTCACAAAGCTCCACATTTCTACTCTTTCTACTCCAGGTTTCTGTTTTGTTTTGTTTTGTTTGGCGTCATTTCTTTCCTATGCAAAGAAAGCCAGCTTCTTCAGGACACAGGTCATTCAGCTTTAAGTGTCAGCCTCCACTCTGTCACTGGGCTGCTGGAAGGCAAAGCGCTATGTGGTCAGGCTTCTTCCTTCCCTCGATTGTAAGCTGCTCACTGTTTGGTCTGCAGAGGTCAATGTCTGCCTGCCCCATTCCACTCACAAGGGTGGAAGGGGTCATGGGCTGTGGTGGCTTTCTTCACAGGGCGGTACTTTCTGTATCATTGTCCATATCCAACAGAACGCGGCCAGGCAGGTCTTTGCTTGCTGAGTCGGGATGCGTTTCAGGAAAGACACTGCGAATCGGTTCTGACACCCTAGAATTGGCGTCTGGACAAAAACACAAGAGATGTGTTATCAATGCATGGTCATGCCCAAGAGGACACCCAAGGGTACTCTGAGAGGAAGAGAAGCTGAAGAGATTGAGAATCAGCCCAGATACACACACGTTCCCTTACCAGAGGCACCATTAGCCCTAAGAAATTGAGTCAAGCCTTTGAGACTCCACGGGCAGCCATGTGGCAGCCTCACCTCCTGGCCCTGCTGGTCCTTTTTGTGAGCCTGTGGCAGTCCTGAAATGCAGCACGTGAAGGACCCCCACTTGCTCTGATGGAGGAGAGGAAATCTGATTCTTTCCTCCATCAGAGCAAGTACGCCAGTGTCTCTAGCGTACTAATTGAAGCCTCCCGACAACATGTGGGCTGCAGGAATAGGTGAACTTCACTGGGAAGAACTCCCTCCTCTAAGGCTGATGAGTGTTCCTGCTGTTAATGCTACACCCTCAACCTCAGCACTGGTGATATTGCTGGGCCAGATCACTTTGGGTTGTGGGGACTGTGCTGTGCACTACAGGATGTAATAGCAGCAACCCTGCCCTCCACCCTCTAGATGCCAGTGGCACTAAGTCCTTTTCCCCCACACTGTAACAACCAAAGATGTCTCCAGATACAGTTGACTGTCCCCTGGGGGAGGGGGGCACAATTACCCCTGGTTGGCAATCACTAAGGTAGACTGTCAAATCTCCTGTAAGTAGTAATTTATTCATCTGTGTCTAAATTTTATATTTCTACTGTTTTTTTCCATGTCTTATGTTGGCTGTAACTCCTCTATCAAGGTGGCAAATACATGGTCCTTAAGCCACTGTCCCTCACTCCCATGCTCACAAGACACTTAACCAATCACAGCCCTTTTCCTAGTGAGGCGATACATCTCCATTCATTCATTTGTGCACATATACATACTGAGCACTTGCCATGTACCTGAGGACACAGCAGTGAGCAAGCCAGACACAGCTTTGATGAAGCTCGTGGTCGAGCAGGCACCTTGATTAAGAGAGAGGATTTGTTTCTCCAGTAGATTTAGGTGCCAGCCAACGACAAGAGCCTTGTCAGAGATTTTAGGGAGAGGGCCAGTGAGAAGGGACGTGCTCAGATCTGCTGTAGTTTCACTTTGCTGGGTTAGGGCCAGTCATATAGGGAGCAGGGAGAGAACTAGAGTGAGAGGTGGGCATGAAGCACAGCTCCCCCTTTATGCTTAAGAACTGCTTTCTGCCCTTGCTGTCCTACCTGCTTCTTACCCACACAGACAGAGCTGCCCATGCAGGTGCACTTCTGGGAGGCTCATTGTTTTGAGACTGGTTCCTGCCCCTATTTACTTCCTGAAGTTGGCAGACCTGGGTTGGCAGACCTGTCCCTCAAGGTTTCGTATGTACCACAACTCAGAGAAATTTCTAGATTTAGGATGGTAGCAAGGTATCCAAGAGTTCAGGTGCTGAATGCCACTTCAAATTATATAGTCTGATAACTGTAAAACCAACTGGAGTGTGTTGAATTGCACCATCCAATGGTACAGTCGAGGGTGGTCTAGTGCACAAAATAAAGGATGTCTTGAATTTGTCCTCAGTAGAAGGGAAGGCAACAGGGCAGGTACCATGTCTATCTTGTTCACAGTGCCTAAAAGAATGACTGGTTACTAGCAGATGCTCAATAAATTTTGTGGCTGGCCAGCTGGGTGGATGAATGAATGGATGGACAAATTAAAGGATGAAGAGTCATCTAGAGCAACCATCTTTCCAATCCTCTCTTTCCATAGTCTCAGGTAAAGAAGCAGCCATGTCTCAAAGGCAATACTGGTAGAAGAAATCTACTGCAAATTCAATCCTCTTTCTGTAACTCAACAAAGACAAGGAACTACGGCAGGGACATGCCTAGCAGGATGCATGAGGCAAGGGAAGTGTACACACTGTTTAGATTTCTACTTGTTCGTAACTGTATTTACAGGCAAATTCAACACCTATCCGCCACAGCTATCTTCAGAGGACAAGCTTGCTCTTTCTTTTAACATGACATATAAACTCTCAATTTGTGCTCGATTTCTGAATGTCTCTAGCTATTTATGATGAACACATTACTTATATACTCAGAAGTCGCTTTCCTCTCCTCCTGCTTACTCCGTTTGGTTAACCTGAAGTTGGCAGGTATGTGTCTTTCCCCAGCCCCTCTCTCTTACATGAATTATTTCTTAAAAGAAAACAAGTCTACTTACATACAACAAGCAGTAAGAACCCCGGCATGTGTGAAGAGCCACCTTCAGAAAGAGACTGATCTCCATCACAACAGCTGACAGTGTCAGTGCTGTGTATCAGATATGGTGCTAAGTGAGCACACCGCCTCATACTGCCTCACTGAGCCCCTGGGAAGCACTGGTGCCACCCTCAAGATAAGGAAGGGGGACTCCAGAGGCTCAATCCTTGCTTCAGGTGACAAGGCCAGCACTAGACAGAGCACCAGAGTCAGACTGGCTGGACTCTGGAGTCTGACTCTGTATCAGCATAACATGCTCCCTCCTCCCCAAAGGAGTCTGTATGTCCTTTGGTGAGGGTCTTGGTAGAGAGGACAGTATCTGAGGAGACAACGGGTTGGGTCTTAAACAGCTTGGTTCACTTTAGTAAAAAAATTATTTTAGAAGATTTTTAAATACTTCTAAAACTTTCTGGCTATGAATTTACATAAGGCACCATTTTTCATTCTTCGCATTCCCAGGAAGGCTGGTCTTTGAGCACAGGCTGCTTGGAGCTGAGTTCACATGACAGATGTTCCATTAACAAAACAAAAACAAAAGAACAGAGAAAGCGAGAGGGGCCCAGGAAGAGCCTCCACTCAGGCAGCATGTGATATGGTTTGCCACCAACTGGGGGCTCAGACAGACGTAACCAGGTCCCTCCCTTTCCTATCTTAATCCAGCAAGTGGGAGCTCCAGGGCCAGGACTGCACTCTGTAATTTAGGGTATGGTCCTAGAAGACCTATCTGTCACTCCAACAATTTTCCCTATGTGCTTAGGTTACAAACCTACCCTCCAAATCTCCAAGGTTATTTTGATAGCCACTTTGACAGGTATCAGACCTAAACACCTTATTGAAATCAGACAACTGCTGGTCAATCAACCCCCTCCCCACCTCTCATTCCTCTTCCCTAAACTAGAGTGTGAAGGAATGACTCCTTTCTACTCTTCAGTTTTCAGGGCTGTGAGAGGCTTTTCAGTCTCTAACAGATTTTGAGTCAATCTTGTATCATTTTAGCCAAAAGAGAGATTCTGCTCAAGTCTCCCTGGATGTCTACTGTGACATGACTCAATGACTCATATCTATTTATAAAAATAAACTGCAAACAGAAGCCACTTAAATGTCCAACTATAAGCCATACTACATCTGCTTAACAAAGTATTATGTGGTCATTGAAAAGGTGGTTATAAAAACTACATTGTAACATGGGAAAGAGCATTTGATGTAAAATAAAATAAAAATGTGAAGCCTATATATGCCAAATAATTATGATCACGTACTTTCTTGCCTTTTAGAGAAAATACTATCATGAAAAAGAACAGAATATGAATACTGGACTTCTTCAATTATAGATAGGTGATTTATTATTATTCTAGTCCCCCAATTTGCTTTAGTAGCTATGTTTATTTTTTAACACATTACTTTCATGCTATAAAGAGAGTTTAATTTTAGCAAGGGAACACTATGAGAACCAGTGAAGTGTCCATTTTTAATGACTACTTTGAGAGAGACTTGTTGCACTACCACACAGTGGGCAAGTGACTCACAGTGTCTCAGGTTCAGGAAATTAAGAAATGTCTTTTGTTCCTGAGCCTTTTTTTAAAAAGGATCTTATTTACTTATTTTTAGAGAGAGAAGGGAGGGAAAAGGAAAGGGAAACATCAATTTGTTGTACGTACCCCAAAAGGGGGCTGAACCTGCAACCCAGGCATATGCCTTCACTGGGAATAGAACCTGCGACCTTTCACAATGCCCAACCAACTGAGCCACACCAATCAGGGCCTGAGCCTTGTCTTTTTAGTCTACCACCAAATGGTGCACTAGAATCATACTGTGGACACCTGGGCCCCAGACTTCCTGTGTCTGGGTCCTAGCAGACTGGGTTGGCATATAAGTTTTAAAATGTTGACATATGACAAAACTCTGATTTTCTATTTTTTTCTAGGTAAAAGTAATAAATAGCTACCATTTATTTGGACCCACTGTGTATTAAGAACGGTAGGCTGCTTTTCTTCTTTTAGCCAATGCAATCCCTTCAACAATAATTCTCACAAACATCACCACTTTGCAGATCACCCAGGCTGTGCTCTGCCTGATACTACAGAGAGAACTGACATTTGATTTCATATATGTCCAGCTCAGAGTACACCCTCCCCACTGCACCTCTAGCCTGCCCTGTACAGAAAAGAACGGAAACTGAAAGAGTACCAAGGCCACCCTGTGACCCTTGTCACACAGCTGTGAGCGCACTTATTATTCAGAGGATTAAAGCAAGCATGAACAAATAAAGCCAGCCTCCTTTGGGGCATGCACTGTTAGTGGGGATGCGAGCAGGCAGGGTTAGAGTGACCGGTTAGTATCAGGCATTAGTGCACACATATGATCATCAAGTAGCAAAAATGCTTTGGCCAATCAGGTGCCTTTTCCTTACCATTAAATATTCCAATTTCAGTTCTGACTGATTATGGCAGGTCATACATCTAAATTATTTAATAAAATGTTTAAATTAGAACACTCTTCGCTAAAATCTATGACTTTAAAAACAGCAAGGTGTAAGCTATTTCCATTAGAAAGCTAACATCCGTACTACTTTTTAGAGTAACAGTGAAGACAGGGAAGAAGAGCCTCAAATGGTGGCAGCTGCCCCATCCCAGGGGCTGGCACTGAGCTGCCAAGAGTGGTGGCCACCGCTGCTTGGCAGCAACAATCTCCCCCAAGAGCTTATCTTAATCCCCAGGCCTTAATTTAGTATTTTTAAGAGTGAATGCTCCAAACAAACACCCGGTTTTCAGAAGTTTGTCTGTGTAAAGTTTTCCAAGTGAACCCCGATGTCATGACAAAGGACTGCCTGTCAATGGAAGTTCCACTTTCCTTCTGGAAATGCCCAATGGCTATATCCAAGATCAGTGCACAGCAGCATCGTCAACATTCACGGACTTGTAAGTTCTGAACACTGGCCTTGTGTGCTTCCAATGGCAGTCCAGTGGACTTTAAGAAATTGAAAGTTAATTCTGGAATACAAAGGTAATCGTGGTGACCTAGAATTTCTTGAGTTAGGAGAATTCATAGAATGGATTTGTTTTAAGATATTTAGCTAATATCCTAAGGAAAAGTAGTTTTTCTATAAATTTTCACTTATCCGATAATTGTAAAGTACAGAGCATTACAGTGTTGAAGCAGATCAACAAAATAATCTCCTGGAATAAATACATCCCAAGTAACAACAGCATTAAAGAACAGACACAATTCTGGTTTGTAGTGCTTCACTTAAATAAAAGGAAGGGTCTGGGAAATAGATTTTGATGTGTCACAAAAACTGAAGTGTTACAGGCTCAGCCTTAATTAGGATCTAGTCCCTTCATCCTGTGACTTCCGCAACTGGGCAGCCCCAGATTTTTTGGGTCATCTCCAAGGAGTCGGGAAGCTGGAATCATATCTGTGCTCTCCTCCATGTTTTAGAAGTTGGGCTCCTGTTTTCCCCTCCTGGTTTCTACAGAAAGCCTTATTTGGACCCAAGCTGTGAACACTCTGGCTAAGTATAAGTAGCCCACTAAAGGCTTAATGCTCAGATCAGCTGATTAGAGCCAGTGTATCCATTCTCATGCCTTATGCCATCCAAATGTGGGCCAAAAAGCAAGATCCAAATGAGTCTCACAGCGTCTTTTAAGAGCTCACGTGGTTTAGGAAAGCAAAATGTAAGCATGCTAGCATGTAAAGGGATTTAGTGTATGATCTTTGTGTTTCTTTTTGTCCTGAAAATTTTAAACATCAAATTAAGAAGCTCCATGCAGTTAATTTGCACTTAAAATTAAATTTTAAACAATTAAATATTAAAGCTCAAGACACAAGGGACACAATTTCCCATGCTGACTGCACCCAAGTCCTTCTTGGCTGGGTGTGACAAGCCAATCAATGACAGGTAAATCATGCCAGAGGAGCAGACTGCTTGTGAAAGGCCTATCGAAAAGAAAGAAGACATTCTTAGTATCTTATCTGACCAGCTTGAAATCGGGCTCTCAATCTACTGACATATAGCTCTTAAATTCAGAGCACTGCAGCTCCAAGTGCTTCTGATGATAACAAAAGTGACGTCTACATGCTGCAGGACAAATGGCAAGGGGGCACACGGCTGCTCCTGAGCACAAACTCAAAAGCACACACGCAGAACACGGCTAAGCGGGGACACTGGGGCAAGCTGCTGGGCAGCTACAAACCTTAGTCCTGTTCACCTTCCCCACCTGTGAGGGCGCTAGGGAGGGCATCTATTGGGAAACAAACAAACAACAAACCACAAGTGGCTTTGTTTTTCTAAAAAAGCAGGTGTCATCAGAAAAAAATTAACCACACTTATAACACATTTAAATTACACATTATATTCCTGAAAAAAAGTGTTATCAAAAGATAGACTAGTTAGCTAATCCTCATCATTTGGGGTACCAGTTTTGGGTGCCCCTTGATTCATTTCAGCTGAGAAGTCACTCTGTATGGCTGGGGAGCCCAGAGACATATTTCAGCTTCTTCTCTAAAAATAGCTACACTAAAACAACAAAAACAAAAACAAAAATAAAAAAATAAAAAAATCAAAATTAAAAAAATACAAATAAAAATTGCTCGAGAACAATATAAAATTCGGCTGTTGTAAAAAGTAATTCAAAGCCTCCGATTACTATTTTAAAAAACGCATTTAAAGAAATATCCATTCATCCCATCCTTAAATAGTAAATTAGAGCACTTTGGGTGAAAATCTTAAAATCATAATTAAATAAAGACAGTCATGTTATAGACTGCCTATAAAATATGTCTCGTTAGGTAGCTCACTAAAATATGCAGTCACCGCTGCATCAAACAGTTTCAATGGAATCAGAATCGTGAGAAAAATCTTGGTTCTTCTACTTTCATGTGATCTCCCTTTCCTGAGCATCCAATTTGGCACAAATCATGGTTGTTTTTAAGTTATACCTGAAATGCTTCACTTACTATAAACATTTTTATTCTTAGAAGGGAAATAACCATTTTAATGAGGAATTCACTAAAAAATGAATTTCATGCTCATGTTGTACAGATACCTTCCACCTAGATCAGGTCACTGTGCTTAGACAAATGTAGTGGGTTGGCCAAAAAGTCTGTCTGGTTTCCCTGTAAGATGGCTCTAGTAGCACTTAGTTGTCTTTAACTTCCTTCAAAACAATTTTGCTAGATTATATTGTGACAGCTGTTGTATCAGTGTGCATTTAAAAAAAAACATCAAAATTGGTGAATTTTTGTGTACCCTTTTAATATTGAAGATGAAGGAAAATATGCAACATTTGTGGCATATTATACTTTATTATTTCAAGAAAGGTAAGAACACAACTGAAACACAAGATTTGTGCAGTATATGGAGAAAGTGCTGTGACTGATCGAACATGTCAAAAGCAATTTGCAAAGTTTTGTGCTGGAGGTTTCTTGCTGGACAATACTCAATGGTCAGGCAGACCAGCTGAATTTGAGAGCGATCAAATAGAGACATTAACTGAGAACAGTCAATGTTATACTTCGCAGGAAAGAGCCAAAATGCTCAAAATAACCAAATCAGGCATTAAAAAAAATTTTCACCAACTTGGTTATGTTAATTGCTTCAATGTTTGGGTTCCACATAAGTTTAGAGGAAAAAAAATTTCCTGACTGTATTTCTGTATGTGATTCTCTACTTAAACATATCAAAAATGTTCTGTTTTTAAAACAAATTGTGACGGGCAATGAACAAGTGGATACTTTACAATAATGTGGAAGGGAAGAGATCATGGGGTAAAAGAAATGAACCACCACCAACCACACCAATGTCCGGTCTTCATCCAAAGAAGGTAATGTGTATATGGTAGGATTGGACGAGAGTCCTCTATTACGATCTTGTTCCAGAAAGCCAAACAACAATTCCAACAAGTACTGCTTCCAATTACACCAACTGAAAGCAGCACTCCACAAAAAGCATCTGGAATTAGTCAACAGAAAACCCATAATCTTCCATCAGGATAACGCAAGACTGCATGTTTCTTTGAGGACCAGGCAAAAACTGTTACAGCTTGTCTGGGAAGTGCTGTATTCACCAGACATTGCAACTTCAGGTTTCCAAAATTTGCTTAATGGAAAAAATTTCAATTCCTTGAAAGGCTGCAAAAGGCACCAGTACTTTGCTCAAAAAAGATAAAAAGTTTTGGGAAGATGCAATAATGAAGTTGCCTGAAAGACACAAGATGGTAGTGGAACAGAACCGTGAATACGTTGTTCAATGAAGTTACTGGTGAAAATGAAAAATGTGTCCTTTGTTTTTACTTAAAAACTGAACGAACTTTTTGGCCAACCCAATACATGTAGCTAGATCCTGAACACACAATGAAACTGTAAATCATGAATCAGCAAATTTAATGCGCTCTAGTCGGTATTGTAGGTTCTGCTAAGCATATCACCTCTCAAAACTCAGCTGTTTCAGCACAGAGGCAGCCTGACACAGCATGTAAACAAATGGGTGTGTCTGTTTTCCAATAAAAGGAGTGACACAAACAGGCTGGGACCAGACTTAGTCTCACTTGCAGACGCTGCTGCGGATCACAGCGGAAGTGGAGGGGCTGGTACAGAAGCTGAGCACCAAGTTCCTACTCACCCGTTACTATTTTGGAGGCGGTGGGCACTGCACTGGAAAGGCTACTGTCCCCCGCTGGGTGGGCACCAGGAGGGTGAGGGGGTGGGGGCACACTGGGTCGGTTCCTGGGCTTTGGTACTGGTCTCGGTCGTGGTAAGGTCCCAGCATGTGGCTGCGCAGTCTCAGGGTGGCCCCCTGCGGGGGGCTGGGAGGCCGGCAGGCCCAGGCTCTGCTTCGCTAAGGGCGGAGTGCTGGGGGGCGTGGGCGTCCTGGGCGGGGTGTGTGCGGACTGCTCCAGTCCCTGCTCAGCTGGCAGACCCTGGCCACCTAGCCTGGTGTGGGCCTGTGGGGCCTGCGTGGGGGGCTGCGGCGGCGGGTGACTGGGCGCGTGCATAGGAGCCAGGCTGCCTGAGGATCTCCGGGGTGCACACTGCTGCGAGGTGGCCGACGGCTGCCCGGGGGCTGGGCCTGCGTGCTGGCTGGGAGGAGATGGACTTCCGGTGGCCGGCTTCAGTGACAAGCTGGGTGCCTGCTGCGCTGCCCCTGGGGAACTCTGGCTCCCCGGATGGCCAGGAGGTGGGTTTCCTGGTTTCGGAGGTGCTGGAGCAGGTTTCTTGACAGCTGCACAAAGGGGAAACACACCTTTCAGTAGGAACAGCAGTGACAGCCAACACCCGCTGAACTAGGGAGCAAGGGTAACCGTACTGCTCAAGCCCTGCTGATGTCACGACTCCCAACAGGACGTCATCAGGGGGCACTTTACCTCTGCAGTCTTCTTCCTAAAACCCAGAGTCCCAGTCTCACCATGAGAAAAACATCTGAGAAATGCAAATTGAGAGACTTTCTTCAAAATGCCTGACTAGTGCTCCCCAAAATTGCCAAAGCCATGAAAAATCCACGGAAAACCAAGAAACTGTCACAGACCAGAGGAGAACATACAGAAAGGATAACTAAATGCATTGTGGCCCCCTGGCTGGAAGCAAGCCTGGAACAGGAATGGCCATCAGTGGAAAAACTGGGGACATTTGAACAAATACGGACTTCAGTTAATAGCAACATACCATTTTGTTTCTATCTGTGATAAATGATGTGAGATGTTAACAAGGGAATACTGGAAGGGAACTCTCAGCCCTATCTTTGCTACTTTTCTATAAAACTAAAATTATTCCAAAATAAAAAAGTTTATTTTTAAAAGTACATGATACATTTATAGGCCTTTAAAGACCTGTCATTTTATAAGTTCAACAAGAATACTCAGCGGCCATCCTGCCTACACGGAGCTGCTGCTCTAAGTCACTCGGTGCCCACTTGTCAGTGCCCTGCTCGCATGACCTGAGAGTGTGGGGAGAAAGGAGCAAAGCAAGAACAGCTAAGGGGCAACCTCCAAGTACAGGTGGTCTGCTGTGCATGCCATAGACACCTGCTCTAAGCCTCTTCTCCTAGAGGACTTGATTTTTTTAAATAATAGGAAGTCTACCAATTCTGAAATCATTTGAGCTACAAGATAATTCTAGGTAAAAGTAAAAGAAATCTGGCAGGTGGTCTTAGAATTACTTCTTTAAGGAGAGCTGAATCATACCCCTCCTCCCTTCCCGACGCCTGTTGAGATCAGCATCACTAAGCGGTCGGAGTTTGGTACTGAAGAGGATGGGATGGAAAATGTGGGTATGGAGTCCTGGTTTGGGGTTGGGAGGGGCGGTGAAAAGGAGAGGCTTCAGCATTTTTCAAATTCTGCTGAGATTCCACCAATCCTCCCCAAAGGGAGAGGGAAATGAAGGAAAGAATGACCATGTATCATTCACTTAACATATCAACAGCACCAAGACAGACCCTTTGTATAAACTTTCTCAACTAATCTCACAAGCTAACTGCAAGGCAGGCATTGTTGTATCCATTTCCTAGTGGAGAAACCTGAGGCTCAGAGAGGCCAAGTGTTGCAATAGGTCACACAGCTAGTAAGTGGCAGGACAGAGGCCCACTCCCATGTCCTTGGACTCTATTCCTCTTCCTTTAATTCCTAGAATGCCTGTCTTCCTGCTCATAGGGCCCGAATTCAGGGGTGAAAAGGGATAAAGTTTGATCTGCTCTGTTGGCCTAAAATTTTTGACCCAGGAACTCATAAGCCCTTTTCCCAACCAACCAGCTGACAAAGGAAAGAATCTGTAATATTAACTGTACTCTGTTTACCATAAGCAACTGAAAATGAAAATTCCTAGTTTTCTGTTCTAAGCAATACTAACTATAAGTTCAGACTGAGTAAAATCATTCCTGACATCTAAGGGTGCAGAAGGAATTCAGAGGGGAAGCATGAGAGTGGTGTAATGAGGTGACAGGCTCCAGTCCCACATGGAGGCCAGGCTAGGAGAAAGGCAGGCCTCGTCTAAGACCACCTAGAAGCTGGCAGGCCGGGGAGGGGAAAGGGCAGGAAGGATCAAACTTCCTTCAAGGAAGTCTGAGATCTGAGATTGCAGGTAGTAGGAGGCAGGAAAGATCCGTAGTATGGCTCAGAAGGAAAGTCTCAATCTGCAAGCAGGGTTATACCTGGAATCCAGGTAGAGACGACAGTTTTCCTCAAGCATCAACTGGGATACAATGAAAACTATGTGGCTCAGAAGAGAGGACAGCCTTAAGAAGGGTAAGGTTGGGTGGGTTACCAAGCAGTATGTATACCTGAATCTGTCTCCCTGTCTGCAATTTATAAAAATTCCACCTAATGTTTCAGTGGTGTTTTATAAAGACAGTGCTTTTATAGACAGGCACATCATATTTAGTCTCCACAATATTCCCCTTAAGAAGACATTTTATTTCTACTTTACATCTGTAGGAATTAAGTCAGGAAAGGTCAAATTGGAGTTTGTCCCTTCCTGTGGCCAGAGCCATCCTTTGAGATGGGGCTTCATCACTGTGGATGTCACTGCAATAGCGTGGCCTGCACTATGGCCAACTCAACCTTCTAAAAACGCTGTTGTTGTACGAACTCCACTCTGCTTAGGACTCCCCATCGCTCTGTGGTCCTGGTCCCTCCCCCTGGCACCATAGGATAACCACCGCTGCTCTGTCTGACCTACCCTCCTTTGCTTCCCAATAGTCCTGAAAGAGTAGGACCAATGTCTTCTCTATTCCCCATTAGAGTGTAGTTACGAGTGACATGAATTCACACATGAGACTTCAACAATAGTTCAGCCAGAAAGAGATAAGTCAAGGCAGGAGTGCGGGGGTGGGGGGTGTTGTCACTGCCGCTTCTTTCCTGAACCAGTCACACCCCACACATCTCTGAGTGCGGGCATCCTCCATGTCCAGATCATTTTTGATTCTGGCTGCACACACACTTTTTTTTTTTATTACAATCCTCTAAACTCAAGTCAACAACTGAAGAATTGGGATCTATTAGGGAAAACCTACAAACGCTGAGCCACCGATGGGGACCCTGAGATTTTAAGAGGTGTCCGGCTCATACCTGATTGCTGATCTAAGGCCTTGACTCTGGAATAAGAGACACGACTTCCCTGTATATGGCAGTTAAATGAGAGGCATTTACCCAAAATATCTGGGGTATTTACCTCCCAAAATTGAAATCACCATCTCAAAGAGATATTAGCATTCCTATGTTCACTACAGCACTAATCACAATAGGCAAGATGTGGAAACAACCTAAATGCCCATCCATGGATGACTGGATTAATAAAAAGTGTATTTACTTCTGGTCACGATGGAGGTGTAAGTAGATACACTTTGCCTCCTTGTACAACCAAAAAAAGGACAACAAATAATTTAAAAACAAAAAACAACCAGAACTGCCAGAAAATAAAACTGTGCGGGAGTACAACAACCAAGGAGTTAAAGAAGAGATTCATCCAGACTGATGGGAGGGGTGGAGATGGATAGCCTGGGTGGAGAGGATGTGCCACAAGACTGCAGCTGAAGGACCAGGAGGGTAAAGTGGTAGCTGGCAGACCAGGTGGTCCCACATTTGTTCCATTTGTGTGTGGAGAAACAACTGAGGAGTGAAACAGGCCACAGAAATCTGGGTTCCAGTATGGGAAAAGAAAGCCTCAGAACCTCTGGCTGTAAAAAGCTGTGGCGGTTGCGGCAGCAGGAGAAACTCCCAGCCTCACATATGAGTATACTGGAGAGACCCATGGGGTCCTAGAACATACATAAGACCACCCACATGGGAACCAGCACCAGAAGGGCTCAATTTGCTTGTGGGTGGCAGGGGAAGTGACTGAAAGCCTGCAGAGAGCGAAGCAAGCGGCACTGTTCCCTCTCAGGCCCCTCCCACACATACAGCACCACAATGCAGTGATGTCAGCTGCCTGGCCTGGCAAATACCGAGGGCTCCTCCCCTTACAACATGACAGGTGCACTGAGACAAAGAAATATGGCCCAAATAAAATACAGATCAGAAATCCAAAGAAAGAACTAAGGGACGAAGAGAGAGCCAACCTATTAGATGCACAGTTTGAAACACTGATAATCAGGATGCTCACAGAAATGGTTGAGTATGGTTGCAAAATGGAGGGAAAAGTAAAGGCTATGTGAAGTGAAATAAAGAAAAATATACAGGGAACCAACAGTGAAGGGAAGGAAGCTGGGACAGAAATCAATGACTTGGAGCTTAAGAAAGAAAGAAACATTCAAACAGAGCAGAATGAAGAAAAAGAGTTCCAAAAAAAAAAAAAAAAAAAAAAAAAAAAAAAGGAGAGTCTTAGGAACATCTGGAACAACTTTAAACGTCCCAACATGTGAATTACAGGGGAGCCAGAAGGACAAGAGGAAGAGCAAGAAACTGAAAACTTATTTGAAAAAATAATGAAGGAGAACTTCTCCAATCTGGCCAAGGAAATAGACTTCCAGGAGATCCAGGAAGCTCACAGAGTCCCAAAGGAGTAGGACCCAAGGAAGCACACACCAAGGCACATCCTAATTAAGTTACCCAAGATTAGAGATAAGGAGAGAATCTTAAAAGCAGCAAGAGAAAAGGAGATGGTTACCTACAAAGGAGTTCTCATAAGACTATCAGCGGATTTCTCAAAAGAAACCTTACAGGCAAGAAGGAGCTGGCAAGAAGTTTTCAAAGTCATGAAAGTCAAGTACCTACATCCAAGATTACTCTCTTTAGCAAAGCTACCATTTAGAATGGAAGGGCATATAAACTGCTTCCCAGATAAGGTAAAGCTAAAGGAGTCATCATCACCAAGCCCTTATTATGTGACATGTTAAAGGGACTTATCTAAGATAAAGAAAATCAAAACTATGAAGAGTAAAATGACAACAAACTCACAACTATCAACAACTAAACCTAAGAAAACAAAAACAAAGTAAGCAAACAACTAGAACAGGAACAGAATCACAAAAATGGAGATCACAGGGAGCGTTATCAGTGGGGAGGGGGAGAAGGGGGAAGTGGGGAAAAGTTATAGGGAATATGAAGCATAAATGGTAGGTACAAAATAGACAAGGGAGGTTAAAAACAGTATAGAAAATGGAGAAGCCAAAGAACTTATATGGACGACCCATGGACATGAACTAAGCGGGGAGAATGCTAGGGGGAGAAGGGGTATAGGATAGAGGGGATAACAGGGAGGGGGAAAAAATGGGCCAACTGTAATAGCACAATCAATAAAATATACTGTAAAAAATAAAATTAAAAAGTATTACAAATGAAAAATAAAAAGTGTTTACTTGCAATGGAATATTATTTAGTTTTATAAAGAAGAAAATTCTGCCACGCTTGACAACATGGATGAAACTTAAGGACCCTATGATAAGTGAACTAAGCCAGCCACAGAAAGACAAATACTACATGATTCTGCCTACATAAGAAATTTAAGAAATCAAGATGGTGGAGGAGTGAATGGAAATCACACTGACCTCTTCCCAGGACCAAGCTGGAGTTACAACTAAATGGTGGAGAAATCACCTGGAACAAACAACTGAACAATAGTGAGAGAGGAGGCTTATAACCTCAGACAGACAGAAGAATCAGTTTCAGCACAAACTCACTGGTAAGGAGTGAGATAGAGACTTGAGAAGGCAGACAGGGCACCCACAGGCAGCAGTGTCACAAGGATACTGAAATGGCCAGTCAGATCCCCCTGAGAAGAGTGGGGCCTAATCCAAAAGCAGGGATCTCCAGTCTACAACACCAGAGCCCCAAAAATACACAGACAGCAATCAGCTGCGAAAAGCGGTAGGGTTGGTCTCCGCCAGAGACAGATGGCTGGAGAGGCAAAGAGCCTTTTAAAGGGCTAACACATACATTTTTATTTGCAGCCACTTAGCCTGGTCTCCAGCATAGGTGGGGGCAGAGTGGGCTAGAGACGCCTGAGGGAAGACTTGGGAAGGATGCAATGGGGAGAGAACTGAGAGTAGGCAGCAGGATCCCAGTGCTGACTCATCCCCCATACAGCAGCAGCCATCTTGCTCAGGCAGACCACTCCTCTGAGTGGCAGCAGCATGAGAGGACAAAACAGCCCCATCCTGAGGAGGGACTCTGTCTCATCCTGTGGTGCATAAACCTGACTGCTGAGTGCAGAGTGACTAGATTAACAACTGAAGTAGACAGCCACAGACAGTAGATTCCTGGAAGTCTCAAACAGACTGCCTAAGGTCAGACGGGGTCCATATCTGACATCATCAGAGGCAGATCCAGAAAGAAAGAACAGCGGTCTCCAACCACAGAAGTTCACACCACAAATTCAGGAAATTAATACAGATCAATTTAAGAGGCAGAAGCAAAAAAGAACAGTCTTGCAAATAATGGGAAGAAAAAGAAACACCACCCAATCGAAGGGAAAGGAGGAATCCCCACAAAGAGAACTAAATGAAATAGAGGCAAGTAAATGATCAGATATTGAATTCAAAACAATGGTTCTAAAGGAACACATGAACTCAGTGAGCTCAGAGAGAAATACAAAAAACTACAGGGAAACTACGAGGCAGTTACAGCACAGTATATCAGCATGAAAAAGGACAGAGAAATGATCAATAAGAGGCAAGAGGAAATGAAGAGTACAATTTCTAAATTGAAGAACACAGTAGAAGGAATCAAAAGCAGCCTCGATGAAGCAGAGAATCGAATCAGTGAGCTGGAGGATAAGGTAGAAAAAAGTTCCCAGAAAGAGCAAGAAAATAAAAAAGGCTCAAAAAGAACAAAGAGGCATTTAAGGAAATGCAGGACATCCTGAAACATAGTAATATCCATATAATAGGGATACCAGAAGAAGAGGAGGAGGCAGGTATAGAGAACCTGTCTGAAAAAGTGATGATGGAAAACTTTCCTAATTTGAGGAGAGAAACAGTCACACAAGTGCAGGAAGCACAGAGGGTCCCATTCAAGAGGAACCCAATGAGGCCCACTCCAAGACACATCATCATTAAAATGGCAAATATCAAAGACAAAGAGAATCCTGAAGGCAGCAAGGGAGAAACAGATAGTAATATACAAGGGAGCCCTGCTACATCTAGCAGCTGACTTCTCAACAGAAACACTACAAGCCAGAAGGGAGTGGCAAGAAATATTCCAAGTCATGAAAAGCAAAGGCCTGCAACCAAGACTGTTCTACCCAGCAAGGCTGTCAATGAAAATGGAAGACAAAATAAGGAGTTTCCCAGACGAAAGAAGGCTAAAAGAATACACCTCCACCAAACAGCACTGCAAGATATGCTAAAGGGACTGCTTTAAGAAGATGAAGGTAAAGAGTCTATGAATACCCAGTTCCTTCCACAGTCACCAATACTTGATATTACCAGTATTTTTAATACTTAATAATCTCATTGTGACAATGATGTGTTATTTTAAGTGTTACTTTATTATTTGTTGAAACTAACCTGTTTTTGTATAATTCTTGCCTATTTCTATTATTTTTAAAAGCTTTAAATGACTTTTTGGTATTCTTTATCCATTTTTTGATTAAATGTTTGTAGAATTTTTCCCCTAAAAAAAAAAAATCACAACTATTAACACTTTTTTAGATGTGTTGCAAATACTTTCCTATTCTCTTGTCCTTTGACTTTTTTTATGTATATATTACTGTAGAGTCTTAAATGTTTAATATAGTCATATTGTCAATATTTTACTTTACAGCTTCTGTGTTTGAACATTTTCCTTCAGGGTAAGAAAAATATTATTTCGTATTTTCTCCTAAAACTCTTTAGATTTTACACATTGATTTTTAACTCACCTGAATATTTGTTGTATAATGTGGGAAATAGGGCTCTATATTTGTTTTACTTCAATAGTGGCCCATGCACATTATTTGTTGAATAAGCCTTATTTTCCCCATTGATTTGAAATATCAATTTAATCATATATTACACTGTTAGATATATACGTTTCTAGAATGCTCATTTTATTTCACTGATCTATTTGATTATTTCTGTGCTGGTGTCATGTTGTTTTAATTGCTGAGATTTTATAATGGATTTAAATTTTTTAATATTTTGGATTAATAATGGATTTTGACATAAAAAAATAAAATCAATTTGTATTTAAAAAAAAGAAAGAAAGAAGGAACCTTTTATAACAACATGGATGGAACTGGAGAATATTATGCTAAGTGAAATAAGCCAGTTGGTGAAAGGCAAATACCGTATGATCTCACCTATAAGTGGAATTTGTTCAGCAAAATAAACTAATGAACAAAATAAACCACAGGCATGGAAACATGGAGCAGAGTGAAAGTGACCAGATGGGATGGGGAAGGATGACAATGGTGGAAAGGAGAAGAGACTAGACAAAGAACATGTATGGATGACTCATGAACATGAACAACGAACAGTGTGGGAACTGACTGTGCGAACGGGGAGTGGGGGGTGGGATGGGTGGAGGAGGGGAAAGCAGGAAAAACTGAGACAACTGTAATAGAATAAACATGATTTAAAAAAAAAAAAAGAAATTTAAAATAGTCAAATTCACAGACTCAGAGAGTGGAATGGTGATTGCCAGGGACTCAGGGAAGAGAGTACTGGGAAGTTACTATGAACAGGCATAAAGTTTCAATTATGAAATAAAAATAAATCCTAGAAATCTTCTGTAGAAGGTTGTGCCTATAATTTTGTACTGTACACTTAAAATTGTAAGACAGCAGATCTCATGTTGAATGTTCTTATCACAACATTTTGTTGTGAAGAAAAAAAAAACAGATGAAGATGTGGGTCAGAAAGTTCTGGAAGAGAAAATGAGTGAGGTAGCTCTAAAGAGTGAATGAGTTTAGTGGCTCCGAAAGCCAAGAGCAGACCCCTGTGGCTGCACTGCAGTGAGGGGAGCGAGAGGAGTGAGCTGAGCTGCCAAAGGTCCCGGCCAGACCACATAGGACATGGAAGCCACTGGGGAGTTTCAACCAGGAGCTGACATGATGTGCTTTGTGTTTTAAAATGATTCCCTGGCTGCTGGGAGGAGGGCCACAGGAGCCGGAGATGGGAACAGTTCAGATTTTACGTTAATTAGGGCCCAGCAAGTTGTGCCCCCAACCCAGAGGCTGCAGTGGTTCACAGACCCACAGAGCCTGGCCACTATAGACGCTGTGGCCAGAGTGAGACGCTATAGACAGAATGAGGGCTTGAAATCCCACATTCCTGGAACACTGGGAACTCTTTGTGATTAAATGACTTTTTGTTAAGCTTTGTAGCTTAAACATATTCTTAAATGAATGCATTTCTGCTCTCCATTTTTCATCTCCCTTTAATGATTTTTCTTGTTAATGACAGATTTTTCTGCCTGACATTTTTTTAACAGACATGAGAATGATCTATTGGAAAGTCTGGCAACCCTCCTTGCACTCTCCTAAGGTGTTGTGCACATCCCCAGCAAGGGCACAGAGGAAAGGTGGCTACTTACCTCGGCGCAACGTGTGAGGGCTGGAGCCGGTGGGCCCATGCGCTGGGCTGACAGAGAGCTGATGGGAGCCGGCAGCTGTCTGCCCCTGGCTTTGGCCACTGGCCACCTGACTGCTGTTTCTCCCTGGAACGGATGCAGGCACAGCTGCAGCTGCAGAGTCCTTGACTTTGGGAGGACTGAGGGGAGTAAAAGTCCAGTTATATGGCAGACATGCCCAGCCAGAAAAGCTAAGCACACTAAATCATACATGATTCCCACCACAGTTTTCACCTCAGCAGGCAAGGAAGTGACCTGAAATTTTAAATAGTTCACACCGAGCCTAGAAAAGTTAACATTTATTTGATGCCACACAGGATTACCTATTTTATGAGACTCATTTCATCAGACTGTCTTCCAACTACCATGCCACTCAAATATCATGATAGAGACCATATCACAGCAACGACAAGAAATTGCAAGTTTTAGTTTGCTTGTACTTAAACTGGGCAATATTAAGAAACCGTGAAAGGGCTTTTGGAGTTCGAAATAATGTGATTTTGGGATCTACATTATACAAAACTAAGCAAAAGCTACAGCAAAATACAAAGCTCTGAGTTATTAAATGCTCAGTTACCATCAATAATGTGGACTGGGGAAAGAGAAACTCTGAGAAGCTAAGTGACTGATCAAAGTTCAGCACTGGGGAGTAGTGGGTGGAAATCAGAACTTAGGTTCTGTGTGTCCTGGCTCAGAATTTCTTTTCTATACTGAACATTACGTTTTTGTCAAGGTCACCAAAGAGTGAACACCATTAGTGAAATGTATACAAAAATCTCTAGAACATAAAAGCAAAGAGCACATTAATGACTGACATTCCATCTGTCCTTCTGCAGTGAGGACTCATTATTCTCTTAAATATTTAGCATTGATTAAACAAACAGAATGCTTTGCTAAATGAAAATGTGTGAATTCACTAACGCTTTTTTTCTCAAACAAAAATAGCTAAACCAAAGCAAATACATATAAGGAGTGGCAATGACTAACAAGTTAACATGGAGCTTATGATGTGCATATGAAGCCCTAGGAAATTTGAAGATACTTATTTTTAATCAAAAAGTGAACTACCCCAAATTAAGTAAACAGAAAGGAATTCAAGAATTTCTTATTTCTTAAGCAGCATCATACATAAGGAGGCAGTCCTTCCCCAACCAAAGAAGGTGCGAGTTCTTTCAAGGCAAATTCATCTCTGTGTGGAGAAAAAAATCCCGTGTGGATCACTAAGTCGTCCTTGTTTTATGCATTTGTTTTCCTTAATATATGATCATTTGTGCTTTATAGGCAGCCAAAGTACAGCAGATGACATGTTAGCACTTTGCTCATTTTTTTATAGCTGCTGCCCACTTAGAACCTCCTGAAGTGGTCTCTGGTGGTCATCTGCCCAGGTCAGTGTTAAGAACTAAATTCAGGCAAATTAAATAAAACTCTCAAGTTCAAAGGTACTCTTTCTTGAAGTTGTTATATATTTGTAGTCTATTACAGGTGGCTAAGCAAAAGATTAAGCAACAGAAGAGCCTTTTAAGAAAATTTATATTGCATTTTGTACCTTGTACTCATAATATATCAACTCCCTACAAGACTGAAAGCCACGCAGTTGGGGGGATCTTAGTCACTTAGCATGCCTAGTACAGTGCGTGGCACATATTACTCAATACTCACTTATTCAGCAAATCTGAGTGGATGGGTGGATAGGTGGATGGGTGGGTGGATGAGTGAGTGGATGGGTGGGTGCGTGGGTATGTAGATGGCTGGGTGGATGAATGGATGGACGGACAGACAGTGAATGAATGAATACCAGGAATATTATAACCTAACTAACTTGTTAAATTGTTTACTAGTTAGCACATTAGATGACAATAAGCAAATGGTACACAAACACAAACTAAACTTTAGAGAGGTAAAAGAGACTTATAATACTGCTAGACACCTACTGGCTTCCAGCTCTCAGCACCAAAGCAGTATGATAAAGAATGCAAATACATGTGCATTCTTTTGAAAACAGGAAAGGAAGCAAGCAATTTAGTCTGTTTTTTCCATCCTTTGCCCACCAGAGGAGTGAAGGCAAAATTGGTTTGTTCCATGCTGGGTGACTCTCGGGGCAAGACGCTGTGCCTGCAGGACAGCACCTGCAAGAAGGCAAGGGCGCCCAGCACCCACTGCCAGCAGAAGCCAGCCTCCTTACCTGCTGTCGCCGGGGCTCAGCCCCTGCTCCAGTATGCCCGCAGAGGAGGGGACAGGCCCACCCTCTGCACCGCTTTCAGCCCTAGAGCTCTGGGAAGGGGGCTCTGGGCCTGCTGTAGCCAGGGTGCTGCCATCTGTGGGCGGGAGTGGCGGCTGGAAAGCAGGGGATACGTGCTTTCTATTTAGGGTGCCACCCCGCCGGTAGGCCTGGAAGTCCATAAGCTTCACACCAAAGCTACACAGAGAGAAGAAACAGTCAACACACCATGCAAGCCGACGACTGACACAGAAGCCCATCAGTCTGCGTGTGTTAAAACCCACACAGTACAGCCACCCAAGTTGCCCAGCATGCAGTAAAGCGGCAAGGACCACAAGGATGGTCGTCCCCATCACCAGGACAGCAACTCAACTTGGCTTTACTTGGCTCCTTCTCAGTCTGCTGAGAGCAGCTGACGGCACACAGGCAGGCCTCATTATGAGTGCAAGACATCACATGAACCTCTTTAGGTCCATCTTACTACATACAAGTCCATTGTCTCAAATCTGTGTGTTTGGAGCACAAGGTGAAAGCTGAGTGCAGGAGTCCCACCAGAGGCAACGTAAGGTTTCCCACCACACTGCCTGCAGCTGTGGTGCACAGATGGGGTATGCGTATGCAAAGAATACACCTGAAAGCGTAGGACTGGGAAAAAGTTGCTTTGGGGCCGAATATGTGATTGGAGAACAGGACAGGAGGAAGACTCACTTTTCACTTAAGCTCACTGGTATAGAAACTTAGAAAACTTTCCTTTTCAGTTGAAAAGGATAAAGATTTCTGGCTCCCTGAGCTTGTATTTCTGATGGGCATAATCCCCCCAGGGAGATGACTGGGAACTGCTCATTGTCTGCTAACTAGAGTACTAACACTGCATTTTGTAACTTAAAATATAGGCAGGCAGATTTTGCTCTGGACACTTTGTCTTCATGAAGCATTGCCAGATGTGTGAATGGAAAACTTCTGCACATAATAAATGTGTGTTTCCGAGTGAGAGAATAGAAAAGTAAAGCATTTCCCCTCACAATGGGTTAAAAAAAAGAGGCAAAACAGAAAACAAGCGTCACTATAAGATCAGGCAACTAAAATACGAGCTTGTTTAATTTTAATGTACAACTACTTTGAGTAATATTACCACATGTATGCAAAAAAAGCACATCACTGAACAGGCATCTCTAACTCAGCACTGCTAGTGAACACAGTGGCATTTCATCACACATACCGGACAGGTTGGCATCTGACAACAGTCACAATAGCCTTAACAACCTTTGAAAACCCTACAAATCCCCTGTGGAGCCTCGTAGAGAGATGTGCTGTCTCATGCAAAGTCCAACACAGACACTTTCCCCTTTCAGAATCGGCAAATACTGAGGCTTCTTAGCTGCACGAAAGATTCAGTGGCTGGTTCCACTGAGGGATCAAGTTATACCAAAAATGTGTCTCTTTAAACACTAAATCACACAACTCACCATGAGAGGTAGGTTGCTGTCACATTCACTCTTGGACATAAGTCCACAATATTTAACTTTTTTCTCAATCTACCCTCCCCTAGTCCAGTACATATAGGTGAATTTGTAATGAGTGTAAGAGGCCAGTCCCCTGGGATGTATGCCAGACCACCAAGGAAAGCATGAATGCATATGGTACAAATGTTACCTGAGAAGCTGCATGCCTATTTTATGGCACAGTAATGTCTGCAGTGAAGTAGAGCAGAGTTCCCAAAACTATATAGACTCTGACAGTCCTGGTCCATAGTGGGCTACTCTCACATGACAAGACCACAAGGCTGCACCAGAGACCGAAGGCTTAACCATGCCTGTCTGGAAGTGATCAGCTCGAAACACACCTCTCCTTCTTGACCAAGTCCCCTTCCATCACGGCCATGCTGGCAGGTCGCTTCCTCTCCAGCGTCCCCGCGTCACAGTCATTTCCAGTGTGGGATGAGTGATTGGAATTTGGGGGAGCAAGAGGTACAAATGCTTCTGATACATTAAATTCCACCTCTGCAAGAAAAAGGAAGAAGTATATGTGAGAAAGAGCACAGGGATTGAGAGAGTTTTAAGACACCCCACTGGAACAGGGGCTTTCATTTTCAGTCCATAAGCCCTGACTACTTGGTAAGTAGAAGCCCCAGGCACTCTCATCATCTTCTGAATGGCTTATTAAACCAGGGGAAAGCAAGACAAAACTAGAGATAGGGGAAACGGTATGATTCAAAATATGTTATACAACTCCTCTGCTGTCTTTTTTGTAAGCAAACAAACACAAATACAAAAGAGGACAAGGAGTATGGATTACCTATTTGAATCCTAAAAGAGTGATTTCCTTTAGTTTGCTATAAAATAGAAATAAAAGGCAACATCAACTCAATTCTGCCTGCTGCAGTTTTTGCTTAAATCTTTCCTTCAAAGGAAATCTTTGGCAGAATGTCAATATTTGTTCAATCACCATCACATCCTGAAAAAGACTGGTGAAGAAAAGACCAGTGTGGCCCTGGCATCATGCGACTTCCATGCCAGGGAAAGTGAGAGCAGGGCTGCTCTGGGCAACACAGGGATGGGAGGTCCAGAGTTGGACCAACCTTCCAATACTTGCCCAAGCAGTACCCTCAAAGGGGACCATGGAACCCCTAAGGAGTCCAGGACTACAACAAGCATAGTTTGAAAATTTATTGCCTATAGAATGAAACCCTAATTCTCCGGAATCTGTTCAGACCTTCACACAAACGGGTCCCACTCAACCTTTCCTGCTTTATCTTCACCTCTGCACAAATCCAACCCCCTGCCTAGAGAAGCAAAAAAGCCCGCTTCCAAGAGGAAACACCTGCCTATTCAATGTCACTTCTTCTACAAAGCAATCCCTGGATCCCTTCCCAACATCTGAGTTTGTCAAATCATTGTTCATCTACCTATCCTAATTTGCCATGTATTACAGTTTCTGTTTATGTGGCCTCTTCTCCAGTGGCCCGAGTTCCTCCAGGGAAGATGGCAAACTTATGGCACCTAGTGGGCATCCAATATACACTGAAAATGAACAATTCTGGTGTTAAGTAAAAAAAAAAAAAATGAAACATAAAATAATGTGTTACCATTATGTCAAAATACAAATACGATCAACTATGTCAAAATACAAATACGATCAACAGCCTCTAAAGAAAGGTGAAAGAGTGACACAAATTATGCAATCATGAAGTGATTACTGATGCATTTTCTCCTTTAAAAGGACTTTTTCCACTGTTACACTATTGTGTTGCTTTGGCAGCCAGTGAAGTTGCAAAGCCAATTACCTTCAGGGAAGAACCAGTCGGCGTGCTGAATGATGGGTTCGATCACCGCAACCACATGCACAGAGGTGGCAGCTGCCATCTCAGCCAGCGTCCTGCAAAGAAAGTCCACAGAGCTCACCTAGGCGGCCTCTCATTTCTGTTGGCTGACTCAGGGCCATTCAATTTTAAAAGATAAAATATTTGAGAATAATGCAAAAATTAAATCCACAAGGCCCTGGCCTATGTGTGTGTGGGATCACCCAGGAAGAAAACTGACACCTCTAGGCTGTTGCTCCTCAAGCTGGTGTGATGGAATGCTGGTTTCACATCAGTTTGGGACAGGGACGCCTTTCCCACTGGGACAGTACAACCCATGGCAGCTACTGCAAGGCCCAGCATCAGCAAGAGCCGAATCTGCCTATGAGACAGCCAAGAGCATGGATTGTTTCTGTGTCTTTTTTATCATGTCACAAACTCTGAGCCCCCGTGTTTACATGTATAGTGAAGGTTATCATATGGTATATGAACTGGTCCCAAGATGCATGTTCAGAAGTTGAAAGTATCTGAATGCCAGAGCTCAAAAGGAAAAAAAAAATTGAGAATCATTATCCCTGTCTGTCAAACTCATATTCCAGTTTGGGGTCAGGACACCATGAACGCAAACAAGGTGCAAAGGCCCAACATTCACTGAGCATCTACCATGCAACAGTGCTTCAGGTTCTTTGCCTTATTTAACTCAATTTTTTCTACATGGTGACTGTTAGGTTGTTTTACATCACGGTACTTTATTTTATCAAAGACGATGCTGTACTCCCAAAAAGCTGGGTCCCAGGTCTGACAGCCCCAAACCTATCTCCTATTATCACTCTGACCTCTCTTTCCCCAAGGGAAGAGTATTTTCACCCCAATTTCCAACCAAGCCAAAGTTCTGGCTCCTTTCAAATTCCAGGTTCAAAGGCAAGCTCTACCTGCAAATTCTCCTCCCTATCCACCCTTTCCTGTGCCCCTTCCTCCTATCTGGATTTGAACCACTCTTCAAGCCTTAGGGTCCCGCTGGACTAGGGGGGAACTGTCCACTCACGTTCTTTTTGAGAAGGAGCTGTTTGTCTATTGATTTACACGACCTTTTACATATTCTGGATATTTTTGGAGGAACTCCTTCCTAGTTTATTAATTGCCATTAGTGTAAGCTTTTTGACATACTGAAGTTTCTAGCTGTACTAGAGCCCAATTTATCAATTTTTAAGTTTGTTTCTTGCATGGTTTTTATGTCTGAAAAATTCTTTTCTACCTCAAAAACTAGTAAATATTTACCCATAAGGCATCATTTTTTATGGTTAACTCCTTGGCCTACCGTGAATTTACTTGCTATAAGATACGATTTATATAGGTAACTTTGTATGCCTACTTGTCTTTCACTTTGCTTTATGATGTTAGATCTTTGTACATAATCTTATAAATACTTTCTGAAACAAGATTGGGCACATATGAGTAAAAGGTAAAAAGAGAGACTTTGATTCAGAACATCATTGCACTTTTTAATGGACACTTGAACCACTGTGATTTTATGAAGCTGGCGAGCAGTGACGGGCGGCAGGACAGGGTGGTAAAGCTTAGGGACACAGGCTGTGGTCAGCGCCTGGGTTCCCCATTTCCCTGCCGTGCAACCTTACCCAAACTCCTTGCCCTCTCTAAGTGTCAGGCTCCTCATCTGTAAAAAGGAGGACAATAGTACCTACTTCAAAAGGTTATTTGTGAGGATTAAATGAGATCATCTAAATGCCACCATCAGAGTAAACATCAACGTTAGTGACCTTCCAGCTTTCTAACTGATCTACCTGATACACTCTCCTAATGCTTCTCAATGCCAACAAAATTACCCTTTTACATGCAATTTGATCAAGTCATCCTTGTGCTTAGAAATCCTGATGGTCACTCTCTCTCCATGACACATAAAATAAGTTTCAAACACCTCAGCAAGATACCTAAGGCCCTTCGTAACCTGGCTCTGGCTTCATTAATCTCAGTCACAGCCTCGTGTCCCCTGTGCTCAAGTTATACAAGATCATGCAACATTCCTAACATTAGGCACCTGGCACTTTAATGTCTGCAACACCTCTGCTCTCTCAGGTTCCACCTGTAGGGAGCTATTTATCAAAGTACAACTCAAGTGCCATTTCCAGTGCAGAGATCTCTGTGAATTTCTCAGCCTGAACTGTGTCCCTTCAACAAGTACCAGTGCCATCACACTTTGTAATGTCTGTGGTGTCTACACACAGGTGTGTGGGCAGAGCTTATCCCTATGGCCACTCATCTGCCCAGCTGCCCAAGATCGGGGCCCTCTGAGGAACGGGACAATGTCTCCCACATCCGTCCATGGCCAGATGAGGGACAGGATCAAAGCAGGATTCTGAGAATGTCAGCTACCTGCAAAGGTCAACTTCAGAACATGCCAAAGTGCACCTTACACTAAAATGTGTGCCTTGAGTTATATAGTTCTCCTGTCCCCATCAAGTGGAAAAAAGAAATAAAGATAAGATGATATGGGGAAACATTACTTACCCTTCATTTTTGGCCCATAACAGGTTAGGGCCTAATACAATGGCAATATTGCTGGGAGTCATTTTATTAATGTCGCTGGTCTGAGCAAGCTTTGCAAGGAACTTGATTAAATACCTATGGAACAAATGAGAAAGGGAAAAGCATCTACTCTGAGATAGTTGCAGAAACATTATTTTCTTGATCAGGTTCCCAGGCCCAGAATGCTCAGGGTGTGACTAACTCAGAATCCAACCCCAGTTAAACTTTTTACAAATTTCATGTGTTCTTTGTTTCAGAGAACAGACAAATTTAGGGCTTGGAACACCTCAAAGGTCAACCTCAATGATTCAGCCTCTATTTGTTGTATATTTCTAATCCATTTCTCCTTTATGCTCTATCTATTCCACTCCTATATAAATTACAATGTGATTAACAGTGGGCTCAATATATACAAACATAGTACAAACTATCTCAGTAAAACAAAAGTAGGAGTACATACAAAGGTAGTAAAGACAGAAGTGTAGATATATTGCTAAAAAGAAACTGTATTTGAAAATGCTTCATGTTGTAATTGTAAAAATATCCAATTTATCATATAAATGTACTTTCTTATGCTATAAAATAAAAAAAGTAAGAACAACCCCACTATTTTTCAATAGGTGCTGGTTAAAGAAATCACAATATATCCACATTGGAGTACTATGTGGCCATGAAAACTTACTATGTTCTGATGTGGGAAAATCTCTGAGATGTATATTAAGCAAAAAAGGCAAGGAGAATGATGTATCTAATACATACTATAATTTGGTTTCGAAAAAAGTGGGGGTTGAGAGAAGAAAATGTATGTACATATGTATGCATGTATCTGCTTACATATGCACCAGCTCTCACTGAGAGGATATATGACAAACCAAAGCCATTGCTTATGTCTCAGGATGGGAATGAGGTAGCTAGGGGACAGGAACAAAGACATATTTTTCACTGTACACTTTATGAATTTTGAACCATGGAAACATACTCCCTATGCAAAAGAAAATTGGTAAAAATTATCAAGAGTAAAATATAAGGCCAAATCCCAAAGAACCAAGAACTGGGATTCAGTCCCCACCATCTGACACTGAACAGATTAAGAATATCTGCAATGCCAGGCAGGATGTGTTAAATGAATCAGTGAGGGAGGTTATAAATAGTGATGTTCTCAGAAGACAAGGTTGATCCATAAGGTATAAAGGGGGAACATCTCCTTTAGCTTAGTGATGTAGTCCAAGACTGAGTTAAAAGTTAAGTAACATGCCAGGCATTTCACCAAGGAAGTATTTGCCATTTTAGACCAAGTCTTCTTACAATTTTTTTTTAAAAAATAATTTCATTACCAACAGCCACCCTTTCCTCTTCTCTCCATGCTTCTTTGAAATCACATTTTAAGTCAAAGGAAAAATAAAGGTTAAACTCCAGAAATTTAGACTATGGTAAATTTTCTTAGAAACATAGTCATTCCATAAAATAATACACAATGTCCGTTTTTTGGAAATTTTACTTAATAGGATGATTTATGCTCTATTTCAAATGCATTACTTAGCATATATAAAAGGTATTACCGAAAGTATAACCATTAATTTTTACCTTTTACATATAGGACAGTTTAGACTATGAATCCCGCAGATAGTCAACTGAACTTGTCACAGACATTTCCCTGTGGCTGCAGCAGTGAAATGACTGCGCGGCTGACCTGTGGACGCTGTTGTGCTGCGGATGGGCCGCAGCAACCTGACGCCGAACTCCATTCCTCCCCGCAGCCCCAAGGGGCCCCCCAGCACTGGTGAGTGTGCCAGACACGCTTGAATTAAACAGCCCCTCTGCTGGGGATTAAACCTATTTTCACGCTTCAGCCACTGTAGTTTGGTGGCTTTATTTCCAGAACGTTAATTATACATACCTAAAGTTAACAAAATTTGGTGGTGGCAACTTCTGACATATTCTCCATAAATCTTGAAGTTTTTTGTCTTGATCCTGCACGCTAAGAAAAAAATTTTACCCATAACCATTTATTAAAACACGTATTAGAAATCCCTGTGTTTATACGCTACATTAACAGTGATACCTCCAGTGATTGAAAAAGCAATTGAAAAACAGCAGATTTGAGAAATAAACAGATCTGGGGGTTATATGGCAGCAAACTATTTAACTCTGAGCAGTCAGTTAACCTCACTAGCAATCTCCTGAGGTGCTGACCTAAAGTAAGAGGGTTGATTCTGCCGCGTGACTGAGGTCTCAGAGGTATAACTATGTGGAACCACCCAGACCAATCAATATCTGGCACACAGAAGACACCGTTGGAAATTCTGTCTAAAATATGTGTATATTTACGCAGGGCTTCATGGAACCCAGATTTCTTGTCCTAAACGCAGCAAGCACAGGTGAGGTGGCCTAGCTCCAAGATCCCAGACCTTGTCTTTCCCTCCCTCCATCCTGTTGTGAAGCAATTCCAGGAGCTCTTCTGCTACACAGTTTCAATGTGCAAACTTTCACAGACACAAAAAGGGCCTGACCACAGCATGCAGAGCAGAGTTCACTCTGCTTACCACTAGGAGACAGCATCAGAGGCTGCCTATACAATACGCCCTAAAACTTAAAACGTTCTTCAGCACTGAACCCATCTGGAGACTTATGGGTAGAGATTAAACTTAATTTTACTCCAGAGGCCAGCTGATGTGTCCCTGGGATAGACTGGTGGCCTGTGTTGATAATTCTCAAGCACATAATCAATATACCAAAAGACAGACACCTATTTTAAAAGTGTATTTCCTCACAGGGACAAGTGTGAGTGTCAGAGCAGAGGGGAGTCAAGGTTTAGGAGGAGTAGAAAAGGCAACCCAATAAAAGAAGCCCAGAGCTCTCCCCTACCTGACAGAATCAGGTCCCATTCCTCAGTCCCACAAACACGGATATTTACATCAGGTTGAGCCCCACACTGGATTCCGAGGAGACAACCATGACTGAGAACTTGCTTTGAATCTGAAATCCTCACCATCTATCTACCAGAGACAAAGTCTCACTCCACAGCAACAGAAAAGCTCAAATACAAATACCTCGTTGAAGTGACCACGATGGTTTCACAACTCCTCTACCAGGACAGATCAGAGCAAATGGCTTATTTCTAAGGAAGTGGGTGACAGTGTCTGAAGATGGAGGAAGGATATGGAAGGGAAGGTCATAATTTGTTTCTCTTCCCTCAGGGCTGAGGAATTAGGCACCTTTCAAAAAAAGGGATGAGAGAACAAGTCTGCTCTGCTTAAAACCAAGTACTCCTAGACATGCTGACCCTGGGATGGAGGGACAAGGTAAAGGAGGAGAGCACAGTCTCTGGGACCCACAGGTCAGAATTATAGCTCTGCCAATTACTCGCTACTGTCTTGGCCCTGTTCCTTCCCAAGACTCAGTTTCCTCATCTGTAAAATGATCACAGCAACAACATCTGTTGTTCATGCTACTAACTATGGTTACAAGGCATAAAGCGTATAAAATTAGTACAGTACTCAGAACATAGTAGATGCCCAGTAAGCTTAATTACATCAACATTACATTATTGCACGCCTGACTTCCCATACAGTTCAACAGGCACGTTGGCTGGGACAACACCTGTCCCCAGTGACAGGCCTTTCTTCAATATAAAAGGGGATTTGATCAGTCAATCCATAATGTGGACACTTAATGTCTTCATTCACTTAAATGACATACATTTAAGCCAATGCGTAAGTGATAAACTTCCCACGCTAATAATTACAACACTCAGTATTTTCACCATAAACTTAAGAACTGAAGCATAGATTGTTTAACAAATATGCTATTCTAATGTTACTTTTCTCATCCAAGAGAGTAAGACAATTTAAAGATGGGACATCTTTAAATTACATCATTTCCTTCAACTTTTAAAACTCAGTGTTCTCTAAACTTACCTGGCAACTTGTGTCCATTCTTCATACAGAGTAAAAGTCATTAAAGGTTCAGGCAACTCCCGTAAGTAGGACTTTAAAGCACCTGAAATTATTAACACTTTCTTTGAGTATGAAAAGAGGGGAGGCTGGGACTCTGAGGACACACTATGTTGCAAATTGAAGTGATCTCAATTACAATCCTCCAAATATACAGAACAAATTGTGAATTGGTGGGAGTGGTTAAAGAATGACAATTTTCATCCCTTACAACATACAGGGTGGGGCAAAAGTAGGTTTAGAGTTGTCTGTATGAAAAATAATAGATTAATAAATAATAATACAAGAGTGGGGGGGGGAATTGGGACAACTGTAATAACAGTAAAATTTTAAAAAAAGTAAAGAATAAATTGTGTTCCATGTACTCATAACTGTAAACCTGTGTTTGCCCTACCCTGCATATTGAGAGAGCAACAGAAAATCAAATCAGCTTCTAAGCCATCTTCTTAACATATATCACTTCCCCAGGCAGATGGAGATGTTGGAGCTGAAAGAAGGGAAGAAAATACAAGCACCTCTTCAAATATTTGGATTCTAAGCCACTTTCCCCTTCATGTAATAATCAGGGGGAAAAATCACAGGAATAGGGGCATGCGTGCTCTCACGTGCGCGCACGCGCGCGCGCGCGTGTATGTGTGTGTGTCTACTTTTTCCATTTTGTCACTTAAGCCTGTAAGGAGACCATTTAACTTAAAACTACAATCAACATTGGTAAAATAGTGATGTGTCAGACACAGAACTCGCCCATCACCTGGAGGGCACTCCTTGAAGCTCACCTGCTACAGCGTGGGGGTCTGAATAAAACTCATCCAGGTGGGAAGTAGAACAGTCTAAAGCAGCTTTCAGTTTCTTTAATTTGGAGGCTCCTGCCCCAATTCTGAAAAGGCCCTAAAGACAATGAAAAGCCATTAGAATCAAGTTCAAGTTGCCAGCCTGACACTGAGCAGCACCCACCCAGCCCCAAACTCCAGCGCACCTTACCCGCAGGAGTGTTCACACTGCCTACCCGCAGTCCTTGCCCTGCCCCGCTGCCAAAATGCCCATGCTTACTAGAAATCTACTTAAAAGCAATGTGTTATACTTCTACAGGGGTGATGCTATAGATTTTTGAAGTTAGGAATATTTTTAAAAATGGACATCTCAAGAAAAATTGTTAGACTGAACTGCTAGTCACCTTCACTGCCCTGAGTTTTACTTAAGAGAGAAAAACTGTTTGACATGAAGGGTCAAAAAGTGAGGCAGGACTATGAAGACATTGGGCCAGGAGTTATAAGCTTTGCGTTTTAAGCAAAATTAATCTTAGTCTGGATTTCTGAACCTCAGCAGTACTGGCATTTTGGCCAGATGATTCTTTGCTGTGGGGCCATCCTGTGCACTGTAGGATGTTTAGCAGCATCCCTGGGGCTCGACTCTCTGGATGACGGTAGCAACTCCCCCCTGCCCTGTCATGCTGTGACAAAAATGTCTCCAGACCTTGTCAAATGTCTCCTGAGGGGAACACACTCCTGGAGGAAAAGCACTGATCTAGGCTATTAGAAGTTGAGGTTACATCATTTGGGAAGTAGGTGGTGACTAGGAACAAACACCACAAGCATTCCTGGGGTGTTTCTTGATCTGCATGCTGATTACACATGTGGCTTGGTTTGTGAGAATTTATCAAGCTGTTTGTATGATACATACACTTTTGGTATGCCCATTTATGTCAATAGTTTTCTTTTTTATTGTTCAAATACATTTCTCTCCATTTCCCAGCCACCAGTTTCCCCTGCCCCACCCACCCCAACCTCCCTCCCTCCCTCAATCTTTTCCCACTTTAGCTTTGTCCATGGGTCCTCCACACGTTCCTTGACTTGACCCTTTCCTTGCAACCCCCCCACCCCCGCCCCATCTCCTTCCCTCTTGATTCTGTTGGTTTCTTTTTTCTTTCAATGTTGCTGGTTATATTTTCCTTGCTTCTTTGATTCACTGGTTAGGTTCTACTTATAGGTGAGATGACATGGTATTTGTCTTTTGCCCCCGGCTGATTTTGCTTAGCATAAATCCACGTTCCATCCATGCTGTTGTAAAGGATAGTAGTTCTTTATTTCTGCTGTGCAGTATTCCATTGTGTAAATGTACCATAGTTTTTTGATCCACCCATTTACTCATGGGCACTTAGGTTGCTTCTAACACTTGGCTATTGTAAATTGTGCTGCTATGAACTGGGATGCATAGGTTCTTTTGAATAGGTGTTTTGGGATTCTTAGGGTATAATCCCAGCAGTGGAAACACTAGGTCAAAAGGAAGTTCCATTTTTACCTTTTTGAGGAAATTCCAAACTGTTCTCCACACTGGCTGCACCAGTCTGCATTCCCACCAACAGTGTACTAGGGTTCCCTTTTCTTTACAGCCTCGCCAGCACCTGTTGTTTGTTGATGTTTATGATGGCCATTCTAAGCAGTGTGAAGTGGTATCTCATTGTGGTTTTAATTTGCATTTCTCTGATGGCTAGTGATGCTGAGCATCCTTTCATATGTCTCTGGGCCCTCTGTGTCTCTTCCTTGGAGAAGTGTCTGCTCAGATCCTTTGCCCATTTTTGAATTGGATTCTTTGTCTTCTTGGAGTGGAGTCGTGTGAGTTCTTTATGTATTTTGGACATCAAACCCCTCTCTGATGTGTCTGTGATTGGCAAATATATTTTCACATACAGTTGGTCTCCTTTTCATTTTGCTGACATTTTTTTTAGCCGTGCAGAAGCTTCTTATTTTGATAAGGTCCCATTTGTTTATTCTCTCCTTTATGTCCCTTGCTTGAAGGGATATATTGGTGAAAATATTGCTGCGTGGGATATCTGAGTTTCCTATGTTCTCCTCTAGGACTTTTATGGTGTCTCGACTTATATTTAAGTCTTTTATCCATCTTGAGTTTATTTTTGCGTATGGTGTCAGTTGGTGGTCAAATTTCAATTTTTTGCATGTAGTTGTCCAGCTCTCCCAACACCATTTGTTGAAGAGGCTATTTTTACTCCAATTTATGCTTTTGCCCCCTTTGTGAAATATTAATTGACCATAGAGATGTGGGTTTATTTCTGGGCTCTCTATTCTGTTCAACTGATCTATGTGTCTGTTCCTGTGCCAGTACCAAACTGTTTTGATTACAGTGGCCTTATAATAGTTTTATGTCCGGTATTGTGATTCCTCCTGCTTTGTTTTTCTTTCTCAAAATTGCTGCAGCTATTCGGGGTTATTTATGGTTTCATACAAATTTTTGAAATGTTTGTTCTATGTCTGTGAAATATGTCATTGGTATTTTAATAGCGATTGCATTGAATCTATGAATTGCTTTGGGTAGTATGGACATTTTGATGATGTTAATTCTTCTAATACATGAACATGATAAATGCTTACATTCATTTGTGTCTTCCTTAATTTCTTTCTTCAGTGTTGTATAGATTTCTGTGTACAGGTCTTTTACCTCCTTGGTTAAATTTATTCCTAGGTACTTTATTTTTCTTGTTGCTATAGCAAAGGGGACTTTCCCCCCCTGATTTCTGCTTCTGATATTTCATTGTTGGTGTACAAAAATGCCTTCAATTTCTGAATATTGACTTTGTATCCTGCTGTTTTGCCAAATTCACTTATTAGATCGAGTAGTTTCTTGGTGGAGTCTATGGGGTTTTCTATGTACACTATCATGACATCTGCAAACAATGATAGCTTTACTTCCTCCTTTCCTATTTGGATGCCTTTTATCTCTTTCTCTTGTCTGACCGCTGTGGCTAGAACTTCTAATACTATGTTGAATAGAAGTGGTGAAAGTGGACATCCTGTCTTATTCCCAATCTTAATGGGAAAGCTTTTAGTTTTTGCCTGCTGAGTATGATGTTGGCTGTAGATTTTTCATATATGGCCTTTATTACATTGTGGAATGCCCCCTTTATTCCCATTTTGCTGAGTGTTTTCATCATAAGTGGGTGCTGTACCTTATCAAATGCTTTTTCCACATCTATTGAGATGATCATGTGGTTTTTGTCTTTCCTTTTGTTTATGTGATGTATTACATTTATTGATTTGTGAATATTGAACCATCCTTGCATCCCTGGGATGACTCCCACTTGATCATGGTGGATGATCCTTTTAATGTGTTGCTGGATGTGGTTTGCCAATATTTTGTTGAGGATTTTAGTGTCTATGTTCATCAGTGATATTGGCCTATAGTTTTCTTTCTTTGTAGGGTCTTTATCTGGTTTTGGGATTAGGGTGATGCTGGCCCATAAAAAGGGTTTGGGAGTCTTCCCTCTTCTTGGATTTTTTGGAATAGTCTGAGAAGGACAGGGGTTAGCTCTTCCTTAAATATTTTGTAAAATTCTCCTGTGAAACCATCTGGTCCAGGGCTTTTGTGTGCAGCGAGTTTTTTGATTACTGTTTCAATTTCACCAGCTGTTATGAGTCTGTTCAGGCTTTCTGCTTCTCCTTCATTTAGTGTTGGAAGGTTACACTTTCCTAGAAACTTGTTCATTTCATTGAGGTTATCAAATTATTGGCATATATTTGCTAACAGTAATTTCTTATAATCCTTTGTATTTCTGTGGTATCAGTTGTTATTGCTCCTCTTTCATTTCTGATATTATTTATTTGGGTCCTCTCCCTCTTTTTCTTGATGAGTCTGTTTAAAGGCTTGTCAATTTTGATTATCTTTTCAAAGAACCAGCTCCTGAATTTGGTTGATCCTTTGAATTGTTCTTTTAGTCTCTCTGTCATTTAATTCTGCTCTTGTCTTATTTCCTTCCTTTTACTTGCTCTAGGATTTGTTTGATGTTGTTTCTCTAGTTCTTGAACTTATAGGATTAGGTCACTTATTTGCAATAAAGTTTTTATAAGGAAAAAGACTTGGGTTTTGATTCTGACTTTGCCCCTGGGTGAACTCCCTGTGCACTGAATTCCTATCTACACAATGAGACTGGCCCTGCTGGATTCAAGGGGTTTCTTGGGGTAAGAACTTCAGAAAACAAAGTATATAAACATACCCCCTATACCTAACAACTGCATAGTACTACACAAATGTAAGGCTCTTGCTACAAAAACTGAAGTTCATGGAAGCCCTGGTCCCTTATTGCGTGATGAAATTCATTCTTACAAAGCATAAGCAGAATGTTAAATGGATCAAATAGGACAAAAATTCAGAGTGAGCTGCAAGGAGGGACAGTAAAGACCGTCCTGGGAAACCGCAGCTCCGGTTTTTGTTTCTGTGACGGTTCTCAATTTACAGTTGGGTCACAGTGAGTAAAGTTGGAAGGCCGCTGCTCTGACCCTCCTGATGAGACTGTGTAACGAAGGCGGGTGCAAAGGCAGGGGTAGGGGCCCCAGAGGCCCGAGGTGGCCTCACCTCCTCCTTCATGCCTGTCTCTAGCAGCAGCATCACACAGGCTTCGATGGGCAGCGCGATCTCCCGGCCGCTCCGCTTCAGGTGTTCTTCCAAAGGAGTCCCGAAGGCTGGCTTCTCTGCCCACTTATCTATGGCAGTAAACTGGTCAGTAAGACCCGACAACCTTATGGCATCACCAAGCTATTGCCTCCCCAGGCTACAAAAGGGGATTATTTTTAGCAGACTGGTAGCTGGGGCTTTGGGAAAGGGGAATATCTGTTCCCTTCACTTTTGTTGTCTACCACTTACTACAGCATAAAAATGCAACAGGCCAGAAGGGGCCTTTTGGAGCAGAAGCATGCCTACATGGTACCCAACGGTAGCTGCCTGGGAGAATGGGTGAAGGCGCTTCCGCACCCTGCACCACATCCACGTTAACACACGACAGGTGGGCAGACTTGGCTAGGAGGACATGTGGGACACAGTATTCCTGAAAAAGAAATTTATTCTAGCCATGAAAAAAGCACCAGACTTTATCTAGAAGAAAGAAATTGAGAAGACTCCTTCAATGTGAAAAAGGAGTTAACTTCTTAAAATTGTAAACACAAGTCAAGCACGGTCATACAGGACTGGAGATGCTGGTATGAATTCAGACGCAACACCCCATGAGAGGCAGTGCCTTCGAATGCCATACCCTGCAGGTCCAACAACTAAGCGGGAGAGAGTGAGGTGTCTGCAGCCCCACAGTGTGAGGCTGGGAGCTATGCTGACAGCAGGAAGGCAATTTTTTACATTATTTTCAGGTCACAGACTCTGCTTTGGACCACAAAAGATTTGAGGCAGTTTGGCAGAAATATATACAATAAAGCAGGAAAACAGAAGCAAGAACACAGGAAAAGGCTGTATTAAGCCAGAACGGGCAGTGTGTGGTTAGGTCTGGCCTGCTGGGGGCTGCAGGGATCTAGCACTGAGAGGCTCCTGGAAGCAGAGAGGGAACCACCTAGTGAAAACTCTCCATGAGGAGCACTCAGTTTTTCCCAATGTTAGGAAGGGTTCCCTTGCTTCTCACGTTGTTAATGCACATTTACTGTTGAACCTTGGCTCAAAGCAGCCAGTGTCCTCTGTGTCCCTGTACCCCTGCCCATATGGAAGAATACACAAGGGGCCCATCGCGTGAGCCACAACAGGGAAGGAAAAGAAGTTCAACCCCTCAAAACCATGGACCTGAGCACTTGTGAGAAGTTAAAATTCAACAGAAAGAGCAAGTGGGCAGAGGCTGAACGATGAGGTGAGGGAAGGGGTCGGCGGACAAAATCAGAGAGCAGGCCACCCTCAGAAGAGCCTGCTGTGTCTGGTCCAGCCCCATCCAGCAGAATTCCTGACAAAGAAAGCAACCAGGGGTCTGGCCCTTCTCCGACACAGAGCTCTGTGAAGGCCCCTAAGAGGCCAGCTCTTACTTTGAATTCTTTGTCCCTTTTATCTAAAGCAACGATTCTTGATGTGAGCAGAACATGGCTATCTGATCCCTCTTCTGGGGGAATATATCAGAATCACCCAGGAAAGTGGGGTCAGTGGCCCCTGTCATCTCCTCCAACACATGCCTGACCATGCGATGCCGAGAGGAGGCAGGCTCCAACTCCTGCTAGAACTTTCTAGTAAACAGTGAAGATTGTGCCCTGTTCCCCACCCTGCTGACATGTGAGGAACACTGACCTAGAGACAACTCCTGGGGCGAACTCCACCAAAGTCGCTGGCCTCTCAAACAACACACCTACTATGTGCCAGGCCCCACAGCAGCACCCAAGTTCACAGAAATTCTCACTGTTGGTGTGAGAGTAGTCTAATCATGAAGAAAATACAGGCCATACACATAAACACATAACAGCAATGAACAAGACAAGACACGTTTGCTTGAGTCAGGGCATAAAGACAGTGTAGACGGGGTCACAGAGCATGTTGTCTACAGGGGCCGGGTGGGCTGGGTGGGTCTGTCGGTACTGAATCAGGTGAGGTAGCACAGGACCTCCTGAAAGGCCGCAGCTGCCCCTCGGAGCCGCGCCATTGTTGCTGCACGGGAAAGCAAACCCTGGGTCACCAGGCCTTCTGAACTTTCATGGGAAGCCAGAAATTAGGATTGTGATGAAAAAAGAATATAGTTTTTAAATGATGGCAACTAATTTAAAAAAAAATTTTTTTAAATGAGATGTGCCAGTCTGCAATTTCTCGTGTAGACCGTAAGTGCTAGAGCAACTCAGGAGACAGTGCTCACTGTTAACTTCAGCTGTCAGGGAGGACCTCGCAAGGAAGGGAGGTTGAGGGGGTCTTAGAAGACAGACCAGAATTAAACAGATCGAGAAGAAAGCCTGAGAAAAGACCTCGAGCTTGAGTCTGGAGACTGACATTTCATCCCACAGCTCGTGCACAAGGTCACAAGGACACGGAGCACAGACAGACAATGGGAGTGGAGAGGAAGGTGCCACAGACAGAACTGACCATGGGGGATGTCAAAGGAAGGAGATGCCTCCAAGACTTCAAACCTGGACTGTCTGGAGAAAATGACAGCTGGCATGAGGGGGAGTCAATTTAAGGTGACAGCCAGTGACCAAGGGGTGAGCTGAGGCTGTCAAATGAGGGTTGCTAGGAGAAAAGGGATAAGGGAGGATGGTAGAGAGGGAGAGACACAAAAGCAAGGGCAGCACTTTGGCAAAGGCTGTCTTTTAGCAAGGGGACAGAAATGGAGAAAACACAGCCCTAATAGCAAAAGAAAATATTCAGGTGAAATGAGGGAAAAAACTTTAACAAGAAAGAGATGGCCCAAGCTGCATCAAATGCCAGGATATGACAATTAATAGGTCACTGCTCCTTTGGGAATTATAGTGTTGTTGTTTTTTTAACAGCAGAGTGATTGGGAGTAGAAACCAGAAGCAAAGTAGAAGGTGGTAAGAAGGTGCAAGTGGCAGGTGGAGATGAGTCATTCAAGGAACCCACCAGAAAAATGAAGGAGAATGTAGTTAAATGGGACACTGTGTCAGCTGACTGTGAGAGTGAGGTCAAGGTATGCAGGGCCATGGGGGTAGAGGAGTCAATGTATTTTTCTATCATAGAGGCACTCTGAGTCTTTCTGAAAAAAGAGAAGAAGAAAAAGGAAAAAGGAGACAGGACTAATATGAGAGGCAGATATGAGGACAGGCAGAGGTGGAAGGGGCTGAATTCCAAGGCGGAGGGGAAGGAAGCAACCTCAGAAAGGAAAAAAGGTGGATCACATTTCCTTTACTGGCTGTTCCCCTACCCATACCCCATCAGCTTTCCTTATTCCATCCTCAACCCCTTTCCTTCCCTGCTGCCTTCCTCTTCCCCATGACTTTGACATAGTTCTCTAGGAAAAATAGGCTTGGGAGAAAAACAGAATGGAAGTTTCAAAAAAAAAAAAAAAAAAAGACTGCTATATTAATCTTCTCTTTTTTGTGCCTGTTAATCAAGTCTTCCTAACCAGACTTTAAGCCGTGCAGAGGCTAAAATGATGTTCACTACTTTGTTCCCTGCAGGGCCCTGAACACAGTAGGTATCCCATAAAGACACTTTCTCTGTGCTCTGAACTTGGCTTGCAAGTTTGCTTCTGCCTTGTGTGAGGCTGGATGTTCACCAGCAGCTTCTTTTCTTTGCACTGTGCTCAGTGGCATCACTCACAAACCAGGAACCAGATCATTCAGAATGGCAAAGGCACTCGTCTTGGGAAGAATGGCTGGGTGCAGCAGTCACACTGCACCCAAGACTGCCAAAGAGTTGACTCTGCGGTCATCAGGGTACAGAATTTCCGAATTCCATAACCTAAAAACTTTCAGCCACAAAGCCAGAACCTGCTGACACCTCCTAAAACAGTGGAAAAGTGACCCTTGAGGGTGCCAGTGTGTGTGCACACCCACAACACAACACCTACTCACACACCTGCTCGCTGCCTTTACAGCCAGTAACCACACTCAGCACCTGGCTTTATCCTTTCAGTTCAGTAATGGTTTTGCAGAGAGAGCCGAAGCTCCAAATGTCAGGTCCATACCTCAAGCGAAATAGTAAAATAGGTCCAAAGAAGACACAGCGACTTCTGCTTCAACAATGTTTACTGACTGATTTCTGTTGGTAAATGCTCTGATAGCAAGTTGGAGAGAATGAGAAGCAGAAGCTGTAATGTTCAAATAAAACTATAAAACTAAACATCTGGCAAAGTTCAGTCCACTCATAACTGTGGGCAACATCCACAATGTGCTTGAATAAGGCAGACAAAATACCAGTGCTGATGTGAACAAAGCCTTGTGTCCAGACAAGAGAGGGTCTGAAGGACGTGGCGCTGGGCTTACGATTCAGTCACCAATTAAGTGCCTGAGGATGGAGCACCAAGGACTGGCTTCTAAATTCCTTTTGCAAAGACCAAAGCATTTTCCCTAGAATGTGTGCTCATGGAGTCACAGGGCCAAATAGAGCAAATGGAGCCCATGGGACAAATAACTGATTTGGGAAAAGATCATTAAAGGCTAGAATTTTTCAAGCCTATTTAGAAGAGAAAAATATACAGGAACTTCCCCAAAGGGTCTAGCTTTCTCTTTAAGTGAAGATTCCAGAAGAATTTTAAGTGTTTTATTAGTATGTTAATTGGGTTTAGAAGAAATTGGAGAATGCAGCAAGAAAAGATGAAATTATGCTGGGAAGCGGGCCCTCCCAGGCAGAGAGGCTGCATCCACAGGAAATGCATGCAGGGGTCAGGGAAGGACAGAGGCAGAGGCGGCAGAGGAGGCAGCAGCAGCACGCGGTTACGTTACCTTGATGGGCTTGCATTTCGGGAAGGGCCTTTTCTAAGACTGCTAATGCTTTTCTATGGTAATCTGCTTGGGCTTCTAATAACTGAGAACAGACCCACATTCGAAAACAAAAGTAACGTTAGAACTGGATGGACACACACACACATGGCTGAGCAAAACTAAAAATGAAATCTTTTGCAAAAAAAAAAAGCTAATATTACTCAATTTTTATAACACTTTAACACTCTGTCAGGGCCCAGTGCTTACCGTGACAAAGAACTTGCCATACTCCCCTTCTTTGGCCATGAAGTTGTACATATCTGCTGCAAGCTGATCCTGGGTGAGTAAGAGAGAACACATGGCATGAGAAAGCGCTGGAAGAAAACAGCACCTGGAATTAACCTTTGGGAGCTCTGAGTGCCAAATGGGATGGAAACAAGAGCCGACAAAGCATCCATCAGCTGACTGGTACAACCCAGTGTGGGGACAACAAAAACAAACAGGAAGCTTATTACAGATGGATGTGGAAAAACCTCCAAGGTATGTAGTTAAGAAGTGAGGTACAGAGCCCTACTCATGGTATGTTACTACTTGGGTTAAAAAAAAGGACAGGAGAAATGATACGTTTTTATTGCCATAGTTACATAAAAATATCTCTAGATAAAAACAGAAAATTAGTAACAGTGGCTACCTATTGGGGGCAGTGGAAATTAGGCAGAAGGAGGACAAGGGTGTAAGGAAAACTTTTCTGCATATTGTTTTTTACTTTTGATACTTTTTTAAAACTAATGTAAATGAATTACTTTCGTAAGTTAGTTTTTAAAAAGTGATATATTAGGCCCCTGGATATATATTGCCAATTTTCATATATATACACATTAGAATTTCATACATATGTTTTTAATGTACTGCCTTCTATTTTTAGCATCAAGGTACACAAAATTAACATGAAGGCCCCTTGTTTATTAAAAATCTGAAAATGCTAGTTCGGAGTAACAGACATTCTTTTAGAACAACTGGGAAAGTAACAAAGTGAATTCATGGATTCTCTCCCTGCCAAAGAAAGAAAGAAAAGAAAAAAGAGAAAAAAAAAAGAAGAAAAAGACAAAGCAAGATAGTAAGGAAAAGGAGGGAGGGAGGGAGGGAAGGAGGAAGGAGAAAAACAGAGAGAGGAGGGAGGAAAGGAGGAAGACAGCCAGGATGGAAAGAAGGAAGAAGGAAGACGGAAGAAGGAAGGAAGGAAGGCAGGCAGGCAGGCAGGCAGGCAGGTTGACTGGCTTGACATGAACAGAAGCCAGGGATGAGCTGATGAGTCTGTGCCAATTTTGGTAGCCAAGGTGTTAGGGTCTAGCAGTCATGTGGGGTTAGAGGACAGAAAATGAAACCTTGTACTTGGTGAAGTGAGGACCTGTAACTGACAGGTGCATGCACATCACTCATAAAAGATAAAATTTCTGAGAAACTATACCCTCAAGAAAGAGTGGATTAGAAAAAATTCACCAAGCAGACATGGAAATAATAGAGTATATCTGTTTTGGATTGGCTCTGGGTCTGGGACAGTAAAACATCTCCCTGTGCTTTCATAAACGTAGACCTGTTTTCATGAGGTTATAAGTTTGAGTTTATATGCGTGGCCCCAGAATCTTCAAACTAAGGATGTTGAGTTAAAAATGACCCATACCGGTAATAAATATTCTCTGGGGATACTCATTCCCAAATCCCCAGGAATCCCACAGATGAAGTCCCTCTTAAGATGAGCTTACAAAACAAAACTGTAAAACAAATGAGAAAACTATTCACTATAAAGCAAACTTTATAAAGCACCACTCTTACCAAAGTCTGTTAAAATAAGTATATATATAATGATTAAAAATAAGTACTAAAAAAATGCAATAATCAAAAAAGGCAGTCTTGAAGAATTGAAACTTTAGAAATGAAAAATTCAGTCAATGAAATTTAAAACTCAATGTGACTAAATTAAACAGCAAATCAGACACAGCTAACATAATCAGTGAAACAGAACTTAGATCTCAGGAAATTACCCAGAAGTTAGCATAAAGAGCAAGAAAATTTTTTCATAAGTCGTCATCATTTGAAATGATAAGCCATAGTGTGGAAGTTTAGAGAAGAGACATCATTCATTCTATAATGTACCATTTCAGATTCCCCAAACCTCTAGCCAAATTTATAATAAGTAGCCAATAGCCAAGATCTAGGTTAGACCAGAAAAGACCGCAGGGTGAATGACACTGGCAAAGCTAAAACTCTGCTGAACAGGATTACACTAGTGTGAGACTATTTTATCAGAAGCATTTAAGCATCTTTTTAAATGCACGGCTATGGCATGACTTTGGGAGTTTAGAACTGATTGAAATTTGCTATAATGAAAAGTGAATTATAGCATGACCTGAATAAACTAAAAGATAATAGACCTAACACTATCTAGTAGAATAGAGAGGGCATTTTTAAAAAAGGATTAATAATAAGAGGAAAAGTCTAAGTTGATTGTTCTGTAAGTCATCAAACCTGTGTCTTTACCACCTCAAATAACATTTGGAATAAACCTCTATTTTCATAAATAAATGACAGAGAAATTCCAGATTAGGACTTAACCATCTAATCTGGAATTTAATTTATAAGATACAAAGTTCTGTTTCTCCCAAATTATAAACCAACTGTCAAAGCAACACTTAAAAAAATAATTCTTCCCTTCCCTAGGAACATATCATGACCCCTTTACTATAAATTCAACTTTTAAATATAATCGCATCCATTTTAGAAAATCTGATCTATTTTGGTGCCTACTGTACATTGTTTTAATTCCTGTAACTTTATTGTATGTTTTGCTATGGTTTTCTCTCTTTTTTTTTTCCCACCTATTCTTCATTTTAAATAAGTTTAGACACTTCTGTCAAGTTTTTAAAATATCCTACTTGACTTTTTAGAAATAATGTTTTATTCTTATTATATAGGAAGGCAGAGTCTTAGAAAATAAAGAAAAAATGAAATAAAAACCACCTTTAATATCATACAGAGCATTCTGATAGGGAGTTGTTATATGATAGGGATTTGACCTTTCACCCATCATTTGCAAAAACCTAAAAGCTGATGCCAATACATGTTCTCATACCTTGCACTGTTCTACTTTATTTCCAGCTTCATCCATCTCTTCCTTTAGGGTATCTATTTTTGAAGGAAGCCCTTGAAAGTTGGTTCCTGAAGATTTGTGAGCCTGGTTCCACCTGCAAAATACAAGGGTAGTCAGTATCTGAGAACCAGCTGTACACACTCACCCTATGGACCTAAGGGAGACAGACTCCTTCTCCAAAACTGATTCTACCTGGGACAGGTACCAGTATCTGGACACCAGCTTCTCTCATGTTTATCCTCTAAGAATGGAATCAGGCAAAAAAGAGCCATCAGCTTCCCACCATGACAGGATCTTAAACTGCTGGGAGGAGTTGTCTGCGCCAAGCAGGACTGACTATGCTTGTCTCACATAAGCCCCATTGCCAGAAATCAGCCACAAAACCCCTGTCCTAGAGTGTCCAGTCATGGACTCCTTGCCATAAAACACCCCATTCTCCTGCTTTGATCTGAATGTTCCCTATACCACTGGGAGTCAGTTCCACAGCACTGCTAGGACTCTTCCTGCTCCTATCCTGACCTGTCATTACTTTCAGCGAGTAAAAGCCAAAACTCCAGTAATGTACCTAGCCATCGATAGCTATGAAAGCACTTTAAGAATTAAAAACTCCTGTAAGAATGAAAATTCTAAAGAAAATATCTACAGCATATCTTAAACATAATGTGGACTATTTATGTTCCTTTTGTATAGTAAGTCAAAATGGCAAAATAAAAAAGAATTATACTACAGCAATAATATGGGAGTTCACGGGGGTAGGGGTGATAACTGATATGTGCATTTAATGGAGTGGTATTTCTCCCCCTCCTTCCCAAAGCCAACAGTAGATCAGTAGGACATCTGATAGTCAATGGCTTCTTGGAAGCAATGAAAGGCAGCGTTGTCACAACTTTTCCAAGTCTGCAATAAAAGCATCTGACATGAAGAAACTCAGTAAATGACAGCTGTGTTGCCATGTTTGCCAAGTAGAAATAATCATATCTACTTCACAGGACTAGAGTGAGGATTAAGAGCTAACAAGCAGGTGCTGGCAAAGCCACATGGTTTTAGAAATAAAGTTTTATTGGAACACAGCGATGTTCATTCATGTGCAGATTATCCAGGGCTGACTTTGTGCCACAGGAGCAGAGCTGAACAGTTGCAACAGGAACCATCTGAGCTGCAAAGATGAGAACATTTTTACCATCTGGCCCTTTAGAGAAAAAGTTTGTCAACCCTTGTAATGTAGGAGAAAAGCCTGGTGGTGGTGGCTGCCTCCCTATTCCCAACTCTCAGGCCTGAAGAGAAACCCATGTAGGTCATTGATACAAATGTGCTTAAGAACGCAGCTGAGGCTGTGGCCAGGCCACGAAAGCATTAGACCAGTCATAAGACATCAGCCCACAAGTCAGCAGCCATCTGGGGCGGTTACTTAGTTTTACCCGACTGCCTCTCTTCTGAGCGTGGCATTTGATTGTGAAGGTAATCATAACCACACACGGGCTTTGACATGTTGGGACCCTGAGGAGCTGCTAAAATCACAGATCTAATTATTCCTATACTCTACTTTGCCAAGAGCAATGCTCTTAGAACTGTCTTCTCTTCCCCCAAGGCACTCAAGTTTTTTTCTTTCCTGTTTCTTTTCATTATTGGTTCACAAAGATCAGGATTGTCTAACATCATCCCTTCTGCCATGTTTGGGAGAATGAGGCCTAAAAGCAGGTGCAAGCAGCTTGGGTGGGTAAACATGTGTGGCAACTCCCATTTGTCCATAAAGCAGTCTCTCTCACCCATGCTGGGGATGGGAATGGTGGCTGGGGAACTGCCATAATACTGCATTATTGGTTATTCTTCTGGCTCTACCTTACCTGGCTCTGACCGAGTCCCAGTCTAACACCAACTTGGCAAGCTGTTTCCTCTGTTTTTGGATGTTGGGAATCTCCACCTAGAAAGAACAAAATTGAGATGAACTTCAGGTTTTTGGCTTAACATTTAAAACTGAAATATTAATTTACAAATTTCTTTTCTTTTAGGTAAAGGATTATGAACTGTCAATTCACTCCCTGTATTTCCAAGAAGAAGTCAAAGACACTGATTACTGTTAAGGTTTCAGACACAAGAGAACCATTTGTTGCCCAGCCTGTACCAGATGTGCCCACCTCTGCTATGTTATACAGCGGGTCCACAATCTCCTTCTCCACAAAGACCTCATGCTGAGAGAGCTCTAGAGCCAGCTGATTCTCGGCATCGCCACACGTCTCCAGCATCCTCCTTTAAAGCAACAAACCAAGTTCACTAAATCAGGCACCTAGTTACAAAGGTCAGTTCTGTTCTCTATAACAGAAGGCTGCCATGGACACCCCACCCATCCACTTCCCCTGACCCAGGGCGCCTGGCTCTTTCTGAAAGCAGGGCCTCTTACCCGAGGAGAGAGTCTTCCAGTTGTGTCGCTGCCTCTTGCATGTTCTGAGCAAGAGCTGTCAGAGGGAGCTTTTTCTGGAAGGTCAAAGACAGTGAGTGTTTTTCATGAGTATTGACACCCATTCTCAGTTACCTGCTTCAGGTCATCATTCCATTGATTTCTCCTCCAGGCAAACCACACAGGTAAGAGACAGCCTGACTGGATTCTGGCTCTGGTCTCAAAGGTATGAACTGTGTGACTTAAGCTCTGGTCAGTTTCTGTGCACCTGGAATACAGGGATGATAACGGTGCGAGTGCCCCAGGGCTGTCGTGGATCTAAGGAGGTATTCAATGTCAGGTACTGAGTACATGTTAAAATACTCAGGAAATGTTAGCTGCTGCTTTGTTGTTGCTGTTGTTATTACTATTAATGAATCAAGTGTACACTATGTGTCAGGCAGTAGGGACACAAGACTTGCTCTGATTATCCCAACAAATAAATGCAGTAGGGTGCTCAATTTCATAAACTTTTGCTAGAACACACATTCTTACACTGGCTCAACTTAATTTGGCTGTAAACTTTACCATCACAAAGATTAAGCTTTAGTTACATATATAAAACTGACCAAATTTCTAAAGAAACGTTTTTTAAGGTTTTTAAGCACAAAGCCACCTGTTTTCCTATTACAGATTTTTTTTTTTTCCAGCTGGAAATGGCTGTAACAATCATCTGATTAATGTTCTAACTGCATAGTCAAGGAAGCTGGAGGCTGGGAGGTTAGATGGAATGGCCAGGCACCCAGGTGAGGGGTGGCAGAGCCAGACTCCAGTGCTGGTGGCCTGAGCCTTGGAGTCAGTCTTGCACCACTGACTGACGGCATATCTCAGAATATGGGGAAAGTAACAGGTGGATTGGTTACACCACCATAATCTGCTACAAGAAAATGCTTTCAGTGTTGTAGTGCCCCATGTAACTTTGCCTTCCCACTAGAAAGGGCACTCACATTAGAGAAAGGATCCACCTCACTGTGGCTTTGTGCCTTAACCGCGGGCACGTCAGCTGTCTTTCCTGCTTTCACAGGGCCCCACTGACACACTCACACCCATATTTGCCTGTATTGTACATAATGTCTCTGAGAGGCTATATAAGGAATACTGGTGGTTATTGAGAAGGTAATGGGGAAACACCTCACTTTATGTTCTTTTGTGTATTCTGGATTTTGACCATATAAATGTGTAGCCTATTCAAAACAGTACATTGAAATTTAAAAACAAGCAACGTGTATATTTACCCCTTTCTCCTTCCCCCAAGTTATTTTCAATAAGTATCAGGCTTCCCTTGCCCCCTTGCCTGATTCCACACTTCTAGGCTGGGAAGACATAAGAAAACAGGCAGTGTGCCTTGACTGCAATAGAAGATAGCTCATAAATTTTAGTTATGTGCCTTTCTAGGGGAATTTAATACAGGGTAAATGTAATAATCAAATATACTTGGTAGAACTCTGGAGCTCTATGGGTTGATGGGGAGGTGGGGAATGATAAAGAGAGGAGTCTTTTTTGATGAGTATCATTCCAGCTTCCAGCTATAAATAGCCTGTGGTTTCTGTGCTCTGACCCCAAAGCCACAACAATCCTGTTTCTAATGTCCATAAATAAGGACATTCTGCTTATTTAACAAGTGAGCTCATAAACGAAGATGCTGTCCACCAACATCAAACTCCTCCATGGGGAGAGTTGAGGGCTTACACATAAACAGCTTTTTATCACCAGGACTTCATTTTTAAAAAGCTTTAAAGTCATGACTTATAAAATGCATGCCAACTGCACAAAAAGAAGTAATTCCAGATCTAATATGAACTATAACATAAGCTCTGCCATGTCGATGGCTTGGGCTGAGAAGGCCACCTGCCCCGTCTCTCTGTTCTCAATTCTTGCCTCCTCACATCTGTGGGTATTTCTGGTGGTGCTTTTCGAGTCTCCTCCTGTACTTCCTAGGGCCCTAGAGACTGCTGTGATTTTCTCCATATTATATGACCTCTTCTGGTCACCTCTTCTATCATTTCCATGGTGACCCCTCTTCCCACATGCAGAGCACAGACTTCTTCAGAGCCCTGTCTGGGGAACTTTTGTTTGAGGTTCGAAAAGGAAGGCTAAGGCATTATGTTTTAGAAATGAGGGCTATGTAAAGCACTGTATGCTTAACCCCAGGCTCACTACCATCTAGAAATGAGGGCCAGGCAACCTTTGCCCTGGGTTTCTGGAATATGCCCATCACCTACCACTCATTCCGTCCTTTACAGCTAGGCTACCACCTCCGCCGGAAAGCCTCACCTGACTAACCCTCTTCTCTTTTGGTGCTCATTCCTGTTCCTCTTAAAATACGCTGTGCATATTTTGTTTAGCATGTTGTTTTATAATTATCCATTTGTGCATATATCCCCCACCAGGCTGTCAGCACCTTCAAGTGGAGATGACCTGTTACTCATTTTATACCTCTAGCACTTGCACATGGTATGTCTTGTTCCTTTTGCATCTGCTTTGAGACACAGCTTGGCTGTCACATGTATTCACTAGAAACAAATACTTGTCAAACACCCAACTGTGTGAAGGACAATGGCATATAGCATGAATGACAGGAAGTAGAGACAATGAGATTTAGAAGGGAAAACTCAGATTATCAAGAGCTTAAGTCACACTAAAGAGCTCAGACTTTAACGCAGGCACCAAGAAGTGGAATGTCCCTGCCAGACACTGCTGGTGTTACGGTCACCTTCCTGTGCACAGGCATCCTTCCAGACAGATGTTTGGCATCCTACCTCACCTTCCAAATGCCAGTAGTGAACCCCAGTCTCTATGGCAACCAAAAGTGTCTCTACACATTTCCAAAAATCCCAGGACTGTAATCTGGTCCCTGTCTAGGACAACTAAACTAAGTTTTGTTTTTGTTTGTTTGCTTGTTTTTAGGCAGGAGGACAACAGGATCAACTTGTATTTCAGGAAACCAACTCTGGTGATCAGGTTGAAGACAGTCTGAAAAGAGGGCAATCAGGGGTAGGAAATGCAACTCTGGAGAAGCCTGCAGCAGGCTAGGTGAGAGGTCATCAGGTCACACATTAAGGTGAGGTGGCAGAGTTGGGCGGCGGTGAGGAAGTCAAAAAGTACTCACAGAGGATCACAGGACTTGCTCATCAAGGCACTCCAAGAGAGAAAGGATAAGATGAAGGGGGATGTAAGATAACCCCACAGCTTCTAGCTTGCATAACAGGGTGGACAGAATTTGAGTCAGCCCCTAAGGAAGAACTGGTATGCATGCTAAAGCAGGCAACTAGGAGACAGAGCTCTTTGCTTGGTTGAACATGGTTTAGAAGTCCCTGCATGGAGACATCAGTTAGAAGCCATGAGACTAGAGGAGGTGGCCCAAGGAATGTGACTACAAGACTGAGGAGGACAGAACCTTGGGGAACAATATTCAAAGGGCAGGCAAGCAAGAAGCCATGGCAAGGAGAGGAAGAGCAGCAGGGGCAGAATCAGTGGATTGGGTCTGATTTTGGAGGACGGGACCTGTGGCAGGCACTCCTGAGATTGTAGGTGTATGCAAACTTCCACCCCTTTGCTATACACGCTGCAGAATGCTTGGGATTGTGCAAGAGAGAATGGCCCAGTTGTCAAGATGCCCCATAAATGTCTGCAGGAAATGTAAAAGGGTGACACAGGTCATCTGTGTACCAGTTCTTCCTTTTGAGACACCTGGTAACAAACCAAACAATATAGAAAAAGGAGGTTTCTCACCCTGCTAAGACAATCACTGGAAGAAAAAGCTTTCTACTCCTGTGGCACACACGCATGGAAGAGAGCACCAACGGAAGCTACTGGTAGCCAACCTGCAACGAGGAGGGCTGCCGATTTACGCCGACTTAGGGGCCAAGCAGACACTGAAGAAAGGAGAAGGAGAGAAGGAAAGACAATGGGCTTCTGGTCACATCACTGAAATGCTAGACCAAGCCTTACCTAAAGTTCAATCCAACTTCTGGATTTTTCAGTTAGTAAGCCAATAAATTCTATTTTCTAACTCAATTTCAGACAAGGCTTCAGCCTTTTGCCATCAAAGGATTCCTAACCGACATGTCCCTTCTCTAATCAATGACAAATAGCTCAAGTCAAAAGCGCTGAAGTGAGCAGGGCTTTCAGCCCAGTGATATCTTAAGCACAAAAGAATGTTATGGGAAGGCAGGTGCTGTGAGCATGAATGGGATATAAGGTACAAATCTGCAGATGAATCCGCTGATGCTGCTTGGGGAAATCCAGCCAATTAAAGGAGAAAAGCCTCTCAAAGACACAAGAACTCCGACTCGGAGTCATGACTGATACTCACGTGTCTCCTCTCAGCATCCGTACCATGCTGGCCCTGGAAACATGCCGTCAGGCGCTTGTGAGAATGGTGGCACATTGACCGCACTGCGTCCAGGCGCCGTTCGATCTGACAAAACAGAGACAAATGAGCTATCTGCAGGGTTTAAGAAAAACTCGGCCTCTTCCTTATGTAGTGTCTGCATTAGGCAGTAAAAGCATTCTGCAGTCAAATTTGTTGACTCTTGGGTGTAAACGCAAATGGTTTCTGTTCAGTGACACCAGGAATTCTCACTACTGACATCTGGGGCCGGATAACTGTGGGCTGTGGGCAACTGTCCTGGGCATTACAGTATGTTTGGCATCATCTCTAGCCTCATTTACTGGACTGCAAAGAGCGCTCCATGCCACCAATTTTGACAATCAAAACTGTCTCCAGACAATGCTGCGTAACTGCTCAGAGGGCAAAATCACCTTTGGTTGAGAACCACTGACCTTAACTCTGAGAGTTTTAGTTACCTTAGAAGCTGAATCTATTTACACAGAGAGGAGACAGTCCCACCTAAAACTTGCTATCAAAAAGAGCAGTGGCAGTTAAGTCGCATACCACAGCACCAGAAATGTGCCAGGTCCAACCTACAGAGGTGCAAATGAACGTCCTGGGCCCAGACCCCAGGCCATTGCAGGGAGGGGAAATCCCAAGGCATTCAGAGGCTCTCTCCTGCACAGGGCAGCGCAGCCTTCCACACACAGTACATTAGGCAGGAAAACAAAATAAATGGTCCACAATTTAACCCCAAGACCAGAGTTTTCAAAATTATTCCTTATTGGGCTGGGGTAAGCTTTTGTTTTTGTTTTTATTTTAAATAAACCTCTAAAGCAGAATGGCAGCCACAATAAGGAACACTGACTTAGAGGACCCCCACATCATGATTAGCTTTCCAAAATATTACTGCTGGGATATGGCTGTTTATGGCAAAGGAACTGCTTTTTATAGGAAGGAATGCCAAAAATGTGTATTCTGATGACTCATTAAGAACAAGAGCAGGCCCTTAGGGATGCTTTCTATTTTAAAGAAAAATCAACAAATTCGAAGCAGAATACATTTTTACCCCAAAACATTTTACCCAATGAGATGGTTTTGTCCTTCCTTCTCTAAGGTCCTCATGGCAGTAGTGTCTTCAGTCCAGACGGACCACAGGGCTCTGTCTGGCTGGCACATTCACACTTAGGAGCAGAGGCCACATCAGTTTCCACAAATCTTACAATGGCCAGATTTTAAAACATTAGACAACGAATAGACTCTCTTCATTTGCCATAAAAGCATAGGGAAAAACAAAACAAAACAAAACCTCCCTTTCATTTTGATTCCAACTCAAATGGAAAGCCTACGAGAGACAAGGGCCTTGGTCTGTCATCTGGCACACTAATGGAGGGGGTTCACTTAACATCTGTTGAAATGACACGTATCTACTGAGTCCCTGTGCAAAGTATTAGAAAAGCAATAGTAAATAAATGGTGGTTCCTGCCCTCCTGGGAATCACAGTTCCCCTAGGAAGTAACATATGAGCTAAATAAAAAGACAGCTTCTTAAACTGCTGTTATGGAGATCCAGAAAGGATGGAGGATAGTAATTTTCAACACGTGTGCCACAAGAATTTTACCTGACTATTTAGTCAGGGGCACCAACCTCTTTTCCCTTAGATTGTCAAATAAAAAAAGTAGCAATAGCCAACACAACAATAGCCATCCAGTGTGAATGAATCAAAATTATACCTATTGTTTTTGTCAGATTGGCAAAAAATGTATTTTTTGGTGTGCCGCAGAATTTTAGTGATTACATGTGCTATGAGATGAAAAAGGTCGAAAATCACTGTTCTAGGGAAACAAAGAGTAAGTTAAAGGAAGTTTCACACCAGAAACAAAATCATTTCTGTGGCTTGCAAGAGTAGAAATAAAACAAGAAATCATCATTTAGCACTGACCACGTACAGGGTTCCGTTCTCAGTGCTTTCCATGTTTAACTCATTAACCCCTCCCCCAAAACAACTCTATAGTGGGATACAACTATAACCCACCTTGTAGAAAACTAGAAACTGAGGCACAGGGAGGTTAAGTAAACCTCTGAGGCCACAAAGCTAGTAGGGGCAAACCTGGAGTTTGAGTCTAGGTAGCTAGGCACAAGACCCCACACTTTTAATCCACTACTCTCCTTCTATATATTTAAAAACAACAGAAATCAGGGAAACGTCTGTAGCAATTGTGGTAGACATGGAGTAAGTATCTGTGTCACAAAATAAGGAGTTCCTAGAGATTGGCAAACTCTCCAGGCCCCAGTGGATGTTTGGGCAAAAGGATGAGAACAGATGGCTGCTGCCTGTGTTCCATGAGAACTCAGGCCCTCTGACCTCATCTCAGAGCTTCAAGGATTAAATGAGGTGATCTTTATCACTGATGGGAGATGTGGGCAGGAGAATACTGATGTGAAAATTGAGTGCAGTTAAAGCTTACCTGGACCAAACCATATTTCTGTATGTCTGAAAGTGAGTTTGAAATATATGACAAATAGAAGTGAGGAAATATTATGAATATGAGTCTCTAATAAATCTTTGTGGGGGGGGAACCCTTCTAATCTTTAGCAAAAACTTCAAGTCCTCCAAAGAAGAAAAAGAAATGTTCTGAAAATATTCTACCTACAGATGTCTGTCATAATTTAGGATGTCTTGGCATGATATGGTGAAATAAGCATTTTTAAAAATTACACGCCTTCCCTTCACAGGAAGAGCAGAAAGTCACCTGGGAGCAGGTCTTTGGTCCTCGGGGACTCAGTGGAGCACACCTGCTGCAGGTTATGGAAATAAGAGGCAGAAAGACCGGTGAGGAGGCTCAACCGCAACCTCCATTCCAAAGAGGTTCTGGTTCTTCCTGAAATACCTGGTGTGGGTGAGGATGGAGCGCGGTAGGGTGAAGCGATGTGCATCAAGGGTCCCAAAGTTAGGGAAACCTGATGACAGATGGAGTGGAGTGGCCCTGGCTCAGGTCCTTGGCAGGAAATGCCCTTTCTTACAAAGAGGAAAGAAAGTTTGAGCTAATGTCTTAAGGCCACCCTATTGCCTCATGGTGGTTCTGACATATCCAGTCACTGTCACTGAGACCCTAACTCCCTTAGGACCCAACTCAGCCCAGAATTGGGGAACAAGGCTGTAAGAGGGAGCAAGAAGTCAAAACTCTAGACTAAAACCTTGGGGCCTCTGCTGCAGCTAGCAAGGCCTGTCCCCATCAAGGGCACCATCACAGTAGCCCACTAGAGTCCCTCTGCCTGCCCCGGACCCATGACCAAGCCACAGGGCCAGAACTGGCCAGGCCAACCAGGCCCCTCCCCTGCCCCAACTCCAACACCTGGTGCTTGAAAGCAGGACTAGCCCCATTTGAACTTCACAACATGACAGCAAAGTTTCAGATCCCCTTTTTATCACCATTCAACTCAACAGCTGTTCTTTCCTGTTCAAACCATGCCAATCAACTTTATTCTGTTTCAGGTTTAAAAAAAAAAAAAAAGAAAGAAAAAAAGAACATAAGCTGTAGTTCTAACTTATGGATTTTTTTTTTTTTAACATGCCTTTAAACAGAACATTTCAAAAAGACTTAATTTTGTTACCTGTAACAGATCTTCACTGAGGACTTCGGTTTTCTCAGCTCTGTGGGAACAATTAAAAGTTCAGAGTTAGAGATCCAGAGATGAAAAGCAAGTCAGGACAATTAGTAATTATTATCCCAGAATTTAAAACAAAACAGGCAGGCAGAATGAATGTAACAAGGGGAGAAATTCTATCAATTTTTACAACAGATGGCAACTTTAGCAAAACCAAAGAAACCCCCCCAAAATTTATACAGAACAATAACCCAAAACTCACCGCAGGAGATTCTAACTCAGTAGTTTTGGAGATGCCTCCTTCTTTAACAAGTTCCACCCTGCCTAGAGATCCATGGCAACCCCACTGAGAACAGGCTGCTCTAGAGAAGCTTAAACTTCTTACAGTAATCAGTTCTGAGTTTCAAAGCCTTACTGAAATTAAGTTAGTCCCAAATCTAGAAGCATTATTCAATGAGACACAGTAGTAACAATTAGTGCTCCTTCCTTCAGATTTCTCCTTATCTTTACTTCACTTTAAAAAGTTATTTTCACAATTTACCCTCATCTATGCTTTAGAACTACTGCTAGTACCACGGACCTTGCAGAAAAGCAACATGGTGGCCACAGCCAGCAAAGGTGTTGCTGGTGCCCCAGCTGCCGACCACAATCACTTTGTAAAGAAGACTTTTCTCTGCAGCTCAAAAGGGCAGCATGTTGCTATATATTTAATGACCAGAATTACTACAGTCAAAGTGCCATTTGGACTTCTGACTCAAATAGTGATTTAAGCCAAGTCATTTAACAACCCTAAATAAGAACATTTCTAAGAGAAAAGAAAAAGTCTGTTGCAGCCCTCAACAGTGGGGAGCGGTACAGGAGGGGAACACCATCAAAGAACGAGAAATTTGAACTCTTTTTTATAAGATATGTTGCAGAATGGAATGCTGCAGATCTTGCCCATGAACTAGTGCAAGAGAAGAAAAAGCCATTTGGCCAGAAAGTGAATGCAACCCCCTAAAATGACCTATAAACACTGCTAACCTCAGATCAGCACCGGCTGTGGGCAGTACGGTGGTGCATACCTCCAGCCCATGCTGGGAGCCGGAATGTCAAATAAAACCTAGGCAATGCCACAGAGGACTCCAATACCGGTTGTCACAGCAGTGCCCCAGTTAACTTGGATGCCCACGGGAGTGGCTCACTTACCAGTTTCTGCATGAAACCAGAACTCTGATCTGACTCAACTATCTCCCAGGTTGAGAGAAGAGCCTGCAGACCAGGTCAGGGCCCCAGCTTCTGAGGAAGCTCTCTGAACAAGTCCTGCAAGCAGCAGGCCAAAATATGCCAGCCCAGTGCTTGCTTGGCGCATGGGCTAGGCATTGCTGAAGTGCCAAATTCAGGTAGTCATGCCACTTAGGGAAGTGAAGCGAGGTTCCAGCTGACCGTGAGCTCAAGCAACTGGCATCAAAAAGAACCCCGACAGTCAACCTAACAAGGGCCAACCTGGCAGGAGACTGCCATAGCTTCCCAATATCCGCCCACTCCCCGGAGCCTCGCCCAGCCTCTAGCAAAACACCTCCATGGACTGTGAACTTTCACTTTGTCTTCTCTGGCCCAGACCCAGAGATCTGAACAGGGCCCTACACACCTTGACAGAACTCTGAAACCTCTTTCTTCTGTGAGTGTAAGTGTAAGTATACACAAAGGAAAGGCCCAACTCCTATTAAAATATAATTGGCCCTTGAACAACGCAAGGGCTAGGGGCACCAAATCCCTGCATGGTCAAAAATCCACATACAACTTTTCACCCTCCCCAAACTTAACTACAATAGCCCACTGTTGACCTTACCAATAATATAAATAGTCCCTTTACACATATTTTGTATGTCATATGTATTAGATGCTATATTCTTACAACATTAAGAAAATGTTGAGAAAATCATAAAGTAAATACATTTTACAATATTTATTGAAAAAAATCCCTATTTAAGTGGACCTGCACAGTTCAAACCCATGTTGTTTCAGTGTCAGCTGTTTTCATAAGTTCAAAAGAAGAAATTCAGAGCAAATATGTCCTCTTATGAAATGAAATTATTTTAAAACTATAACAGAAGAAGAGGCAAACTTGTATTAAAATCCCAGTGTGGGCTATTAGCAAGTGAGAGCTAGCAATTGTTCAGTGGTCTGTTGGCGCTGGCTCAGAAGAATCAGTTGTGTGCATCTTTTCCTAGTACCTTGTTCAGTGACCTCACACTGGTAATTTGAAATAAAAAATAAAATACAATACAAACAAGTGCAAACAATCCAAATCAGGGCTTTGAGGGAGTGGGAGGGGATTCAGATGTTAAAACACAAGCATAGCACTGCGATAGTCACACACAGAAAAAGCAAAGTGAGTATTAACTTGAGAAAGAAACAAAAAGTCCATCGGAAAGATAAGCACAGTACACTACTACATTCACCTTCATATGACTGATTTGGTACGATAATATAAGGCAAATCTCAAATAGTAATATATCCAAAAACTGCAATATAATTGTATTGGGCAGGATAAGGGCTCAGAAGCAGAGAGGAAGGTTATACTAACCCTAAACCCTCATTTATCATAATAACAGGTCAATAAATGATATCTGAACTTAATAACTCAAAGGGTAGTAATTTACACATATTAATAAATATGAATTTGAGTTAATGCCAGAATAAATAGCTAAAATTTGAAAGGAGCTACCTCTTTGGTTGGGGAAATCTCAACTGGGAGAGGGGAGTGTGTGGGGAGAGAACCCACTCTACTTTGTGATAAGCCTTTCATGATTATTTGATTTTTTTTAACTACATGAATATATAGTTGCAAATTTTTAAAGATATTATGTTAGTTTCATTTTCAAGTAGCATGCTTAATGATTTTAAGTGATGCCTAATTTCAAGGGAAGCATAACTGTACCTCTAGAGCATCGTGTCCAACTGTCAACCTACACAAAGTACAGAAGAGCACATACCTCAGAGTATCCAAACACAAGGCAAATTGATATATTTATTTTCCTATTTATAAATTAACAACTGGACTCTATGCTTTAAATTTAGAGACCTCTTACCTGAAAAGGTATTTGGAAACTGAAAAAATATATGAAACGTAAAAATGTGAACATACTGTTCAAAATAAGTTTATACTAGGTTTCCTGCCTTTGTGGACATTTTGTGTATTACATTGATAAATTTAATTTCAGAAAGAGATCCAATGCATCTTAACCAGATTTTAGGGTTTACTGAAATTATTTAAAATTATAACTAGGAACGATTACTTTTTCTTCCAGCTTAACTGAAGTATAATTTACAAATGAAACTAAATCTATTTAAAGTATACAATGTGATGACTTCATTTACATTGGGAAATGATTACCACAATTACATTAATGAACTCATTAATCCTCCCGAATCACCATTTTTGTTATAGTTGTTTTAAGAATGCTTAAGATCTACTCTCTTAGTAATTTCCAGTATATAATACAGTATTATTAAATGCAGTCACCATGCTGTACATTTGATCCCAGAACTTATTCATCTCCTAAGTGAAGGCTTGTATCCTTTGACCAAAATCTTCCCATTTCACCCACTCCCTGGCCCCTGGCAACTATCACTGTACTCTGTTCCTATGAGTTCAATTTTTTTTTTTTTTTTAAGATTCCACATATAAGTGAGATCTTACAGTTTTTGTCTGTGTCTGGCTTATTTCACTCAGTATGATGTCCTCTCAAGTTCATCCATGTTGTGGCAAATGGCAGTATTTCTTTCATTCCTAAGGCTGAGTAATACTCCAGTGTGTGTGTGTATTACATCTTTGTCCATTCATACAATGACAGGTCATTTTCATATCCTGGCTATATTATGAATAATGCTGCAATGAACACAGGAGTGCAGATCTCTTTGAGGTACTGATTTTATTTCCTTTGGATATATACCCAGAACTGGGACTGTTGGGTCATAATGCAGTTCTATTTTTAATTTCTTGAGGAACCTCCGTAGTATTTTCCATAATGGTTGTACCAGTTTACACCAACAGTGTAAAAATGTTCTAATTTCTCCATACTCTCACCAACATTTATAATTTCTTGTCTTTTTGCTAAAAGACATCCTAAACAGGGGTGAGGTGAAATCTCATTGTGGTTTTTCATATACCCATTAGCCATTTGTATATCTTCTTTAGAAAAATGTCTACAATCATGTCCCATAAGATTATAATGAACCTGAAAAATTCCCATTGCCTAGTGATGTTGTACTTTCACGATGCTGTAGTTTTCATGTAGTAGCATAAAGACTGCAAAAATCAACAAGGCTGTGGTTGAGATGGCAAACAACTTAAACCTGCCATGTGAATGAGGGTGACACAGAAGAGGTCCCAGAAGTGGTTCATGAGGAATCGTCTGATGAGTTGTTGCTGGACTGAACAGGAGCACAGCTGAAGAAGAAACAAGAGAAAGGGAAACTGCAGAAGGAAGAGAATCCCCAAGAAAATTCATAGTGAAGTGTTTAGCAGAAGCTTTTGCAGACCTCAACAAGCGCCTTAAAATGTTTTAAAAACATGGACCCCAACACTGAAAGGTTTTCATTAATAGAGAGGAATATTCATGGTACATTATCTTCTAACAAGCAAAACTATGATGGAAAAAAAAGAAACAAACCAAGCAAACCACAATGGATCTATTTCTAAAAAGAGTGACACCTCCTCACGAAGAGCCCCAGGCAGGCCCTTTGGGAGGTGTTCCACAGGAAGGCACTGTTATCATAGGAGATTACAGCTGCATGTGCTATTTATTACTGCTGAAGAGCTTCTGGTGGGCAAGATGCGCAGGGGCAAGGCAGTGATATTGGTGATCCGGACCCTATGAGGCCTATGCTAATGTGTGTGTCTGCATCTTTTTTTTTTAACAGAAAAGTTTAAAAAGGGAAAAAAAAAGTTAAGAGAAAAATGATTAATAAACTTTCAGAGTGTTTGTATACCCCACTCCCCAAAAACAGATTATAGAATAAGGCTATAAAGAACTGACCCAGTCCTGCAAATGCCATTGT